GCTGCATACAACTTCCACTGCCGCTCGTACTGCGCTGCACTGAATTGATGCATTGTGCAGCAAAAATAGAAGCCTTGCGTATCTAATCCAACCGCTGGAGCAGATCCGCAGCAGAGCCGGACAGCAGACGCATTATGTGGAATCATGCACATTGATTATAATGGTTGTGTATTTGATCAGGCTGCCGTTTGGGGACGGAGCACAGCTGTTCCGTATCCTGTGGAATTTAGCTGTAAGCCTGCAGTTTGGGTCTGTGAGAGATTCACTGAGATCTGGATGCAGAAAAACTCAGAAATGCAATTTTACATTTTTTTTCATATGTCCTGGAGTATCAGAAAAAAGAATATATGAACATGTAGACGACAAGAAAAACATGATTTTCAAAATAAAGAAAATAATAAGCCCCTTTCACACATGCACCTCAGCCCTGTACGTTTCCAGACTTGATCCAAGTGTGGTTAAACATATAAATGTGAACATCCAAATATTTCACCTCAGCTTAATCCTTAGCAACGCTGTCGTGTATCTAGACAGATGTGAAGTCTTTAACCACTGGTGGTCTTTGAGGTATATTTTTGTTATAGCTGTTGCCAAGAAACAAAGCAGTGCTTCCTACAAACTAGATCTACATTCAGGGAACATAACTAATGAAAGGATAAGCACTCCTACAAATGAGATTAAAGGCAAAACATGATGCACAGCGTGGCAGTTTGGAGAAAACTGCAGAAAAAGAGGGAAACCTAAATTCAGTAAGAGTGTAGTAACACTGCACAGCCTGAAGGGGCCTGAGCTGAAGCCTTTATTGCAGGAAGTGTTGTGTAGGCGGATATCAGACAACACAAAGGAGTGCTTGAAGTGCTGCATAAGGAGGCCAGAACACGCTGGAGAGAGACGGGTTAGGGTCTCGTAAACAAACAAAAGATCAAACCGAAGCTCGTGTGACCGAGGTATTTATCAGAAAACTTTCTTGAGTTGTCGTTTCCGATCCTTTCACCGGCCACCTTTTGTGCCGCCCATCAGAGTGAAGCATGAGTGTTGCACAGCCTCTGAGATAACATTGAAATGTGCTCAGAAATGTTACAAAGCATTGAAATAGTCCCAGAAAGGCTTTGTGGAGGAATAAAATACCGGGGTGAGTGATGCAGGAGCCCTGGCAGACCTGGATGCTGGTCATGATTGAACGCACACTGACTCTTTGTGTTTCACTACACAACGCGGGACAAATTAGAGAGATTAAATTGTGTACTTGCATGAATGCACTCAGGTGTAGCCTGATAATAAGAGGGTGCAGTTGGTGTTTTCATTATCCAGGACGCCCCCTGAACAACTGTTGTCAAAGTTTAGTTGTTCTACCTGATCAGGTCACATTTAAACTGCAGTGGACGCACCGCAGTGAGATTAAGATGTAGAGGTGGTGATGAATAATTAAAAATCTGCTGATCCGGCACAGATGTCCGTACCTTGTGTTGTTATTAAAGAGCTGTTCCACTGATTTTCAACACAGTCTTATTCTAATCATACTGGCGTTTCATCCTCATGTGGCACTTCATCAACAAAAGACTCTTTATACTCTCAAACTACATTGTTATAAATAAGCAAGTTATAATACTAATGATAAAACGATTTCTGGTTATAGAAAAGGACCTAATTTGATCAAAAGTGATCGGGTTAGATGACAGAAATGATCATAATCCCACTTTGCTTTTCTCCGATTAAGCAGCTACAGACAAAGTTAAATTCTAGCTGTACAACAAAGCAGATCCTTCATCATCAGAGAGTTTTGCAGACTAAATAAGCGCCAATAGCTGACTGATTGGTTTGCATCGACAAAGTGGCGACTCTTGATCAGTTTTCTTTTACAGATTAAAGGTGGTGTAGTCATGATCTGAGTTAGTTCCAGTTTTTATGAGAAATCTTGAATGTAAACTCTACCCCTCCAACCAGTTTTCCCCTCACTCCTCCTCTCCCCTCAAGCCCCGCCCACAAACAGACGCTCCTGCTCGCTCGTATCGTTCCAGTTAAATTCAGATATAATGCAGATAAATCCTTCAGATCATTACAAATGGGGCCCAGTCAAGGTGAAAGTCAAAAGCATTGGTGCTACTGTAGATGCCAACAGACTACCAGCAAACACAATGTTTGCAGGACTTCTACAACGAGGATAAAGTGACATAGTCCAGGACCCGAGGGAGGACAGTTTAGCGATGGCGCTACAACACGCTACAGCAGGTCCGTTTGACAAGAAACACTTCTGTTACAGACACTTGTCTTACTTTGTTAAAGCGGTTTACCTGTCCAGCAGAAAGGTTACAGGGTCACCAAGATCCCCAAGCGTCCCCCATCGTTTATGTTGACCCGGCTTTTTAGCTCTTGTCCGGTCTACCTCCGTTTTAAGCGCCCGTTATTCCTCCAGAGTCTCCGGTATTTACTTTGTTTTCTTGCTTGTGTCGGCAGTCGTGGCCAAAGGAGGATTCAGACAATTTTCCGAACTTTCTGGTTGGTTTCTACTGTCCGATATTGTAGCACGCTAACTTTGTTTGGGCTCCTGAACGACACGGGGGAGCAGCGTCTGCCTCACAACCAATCAGGTAAGAGGAGGTGGAGAACGGCTTTGTTTACAGTCAGAAAGAGCGGACCGCTCAAAAATGTTCAAATGTCGACGACACAGACATAAGAGAACACAGAGATATCGTTATATTACCAAATGTCATCAATAACTAATAACTATTGACTGATATTAACAGATTTTTTAACATCACAAAATTCGATGCTTCTTTAACAGATTCCTGCCGACCCCACCTTTAAGTTCAAGATCCAGAAGATATTGAAATTCGTTGACAAAACTTGACAGAGCGGTCATTTCCACCTCCAAGTACTTCACAGTTTTGAGCCGTATTACTCTGAAACTAGGGGTAGTTTAATAACCAGCCGCAGCTCAGTACATGACTCAAGTTCCTGTCCCCAAGGGACGAAGTGAACTCCATCATCAGTGTCCAAGAAGTGCATCACATTGCAGCGTGATGAGTGTAATGCCTCCAGTCTCAAGGATCTAATAAGTGTATAATATCCTTTAGTGAGCCATTCAAAAGAGTAATGTCCCCCGAACTGCTTTCCTGAGCGAGTGATGCATCGCTGCTGCTGCTGAGGTCTGTTACCGGACTGTCACAGAGTCTCTGCGGGTCTGGAGTCTGGCCTGGTTCCACAGCGGGACAAAAACAGCTCCGAGACAGACAGAAAGGGTTCATGCGAGTACAGATTTGGGCTCGGAGCCTCACCTGCGGTTTGCCAGGTGAAAACAAAAACCTCGTACCTGCAGCTTCTGTGTGGGGTCGATGTTTTCTTGCTTGTATGTGGACTTAATTGGCTTTTGCATCATCCTGCTCTCACCCTGACCCTCGCAGAGACCTTCCTGTCTCTCGGTTCAGCAAAGCAGGATTTACTCCACTTTCATCTGTACCACCTTGCTTGGGCAACAAGGTAATTGCCTCTGACTTCTGACCTGTGAGTGTCAATTCTTTGTGCCACGGTGCAATTACATCCAGTCCGCCCGACTCTGGAGGTGGTTCAGTGTTTATTTGGCTCCTGGTTAGACTGCCGGTGTTGTTTTCTTAAAATCACCGCTGTTGTGAGACACCTCACGCTCTTATTGTATGGCAGGACTGATTTATTCTGTAATTTCTGAGTAAACAGAGAGCTACATGCTGTACACTTGATGAGGAGGGGGATACAGTACAGGGCCGCATTGTTTTTGCCTTTTTTTTATGTTGCTCCAGACTGAGGCAGCCCCTCGGAAAATCAGTCACAGTAATGAAGCAGGAACACTGTGTGTGTGTGTGTGTGTGTGTGTGTGTGTGTGTGTGTGTGTGTTGACTGAGAATGTCCTACTTTGATTGAGTACACATAGCTGTTTTACTGCAGCTTATTATACTCTATAGGAGCTGTGTTTCACATAGCTGAGCTAATCAATTTTAATCCCTCTGACAATGCTATAAGGTCATTTTTTCGCAGAGGTTCCTAACCAGCAGCTGCAGACTCAACCAGAGCTCACATTTGCTAACAGGGAGAGGAAATATGAAGCCGAACTTGGTCTGTTGTGATCATCTGCAGCTCCTGTCATGCCCCTCAGAAACTAGATTCAGATTTCTAACTGGAGTAAATGAGGAAGTCAGCCTGTCACTCACGTACCGACTCAGGCTGTTTCCTACTTTACTTACTTCTGCTAATACGAGGGAACAGGACAGAGCGTCCACAGCCGAGGGTGTGAGGGTGTATTTCCACACAGTAGGGCCTTTAAGCTGAGATGATCACAAATACAATGTCAGCATGGTGATGTTAAGAAGGTGTAATATGCTGCGTAGCGTGTTAGCATGCTAATACTTTATAATTAGCTCTAAACATAGAACAGCGGATGTGAAGATTTGCAGGTTTTCAGTCTTAAACCCCCATAATGGCCGACGTTTTCATTTATGTACATGACTCGGACTTTGATCACATGTTATGAAGCACGAACGGATCATAATACACAGAGATTAAAGTCCAACGAAGCAATGAGGGATTTCCTACAATTTCATAATAACCGGAATATATTCGGATATTTGTGAACAGAGACAAGAAGTTAGAATACAGGTGAAAATAATGAACTGATAGTTTTGAGATAAGAATGAATTATGTGACTCAAATAGAGCTGTAATCAACCAAAGACATTCTTAAACCCTTAAACTAAAACCATGAAATTTTCTACCAAAAATCTACTAATCAGGGAGGGGGTCTGACTCTTACGGCAAATCCTTCTGCAGGCGGGGTAAAAATATACTGATATAAATATTCAGCAAACCACCAGGCGTTGATTAACACACAAAATGGTGAAAACAAGGGGGGTGTTCTGAGACAGGCTGTTACCTGTGAAACTGGGGTGCTCTGAAAACGCCCCTATTAGAACTTGGTACGTTCCTCCTGATGACATTAACCACAGACTGTAAATTGACACGGAAAAAATCGAGTCTACCAATCAGAATTTTGGTCGATTCAGCACGTATGGACCGATAAGTCGACCAGTCGACTTGGACTTTACAGCCCTAGACCCAAGTGTATTATTCTGTCTCTGTGGCAGTCATCTTGTCTGCAGCATATTGTCCACTTAAGTTGGTGTTGAATGAGTTATTTTGCTGGTGAACATCAACCTCATCCTGTGTTGGTGTGTCCAGCAACTCTGAATGTCTGAGGAACACACGCAGACACAGCAGGTGAAGACCACACAGAAACATCAGCCTCATAGAGCAACGCAGCATACTCTGTGCACATGCTTAAAAACTGTCCTGTCACACTTGGAGAAAGGTGCAGAGCTGTTGAGTTGTAGGTACGTGATCTAACAGGTCAACAAGGAGACGACCCAAAGGTAAAGAAGTGGGAACATATCGGTACCTAGAGATGAAGAAGTAGACATGCTCACCTGGTTCTTGTAGACTGGGTCAAGAACAGTAGTCCAATTCGTAGGGCTGTCCCAATCTGATCTTGTTATCAGATATCGGTCTGATATCAGCCAAAAAAACAAATATCGGATTATATCGGCCTGCATCTAAAATCTCAGATATCAGCTCTCCGATACAAGCAGTCCATCCCAGACTCCACTCCAGAACCTGGATCCAGCATGAGAGCCCACATGATCACAACAACAGTGTGTTCGAGGAGTAGGAGTGATGTCGGCCATACATCTGTATTTTTCGTCTAATTCCGAAAAAGTCGTTGCAGCTGAGTGCAAAACTAGTCATGCACAAGTTTGTGCCAATATCAGATCAATATCAGTATCGACCAGTTCTGAAGGCTTCAACATCGGTATCATATAGGAAGTTAAAAAAAATCGTATCGGGACACCCCTACCAATCAGGTCACTTAATTAAGCTCTAACTTTAGTATTTAACTAAGTGGTTTTGGTCTGAGTAGCTCAGGGTTTCCATGGTATCCACTGTACAGGAAGTATTTTTTTTTTGCAACGTGTTCATTTTGAAGGTTTTTTTGGTTAGAAGATCGGTGAATCAGAGGAACTTTTGACTAAACTGATAGACCGGCACACTGTAGCCTTTTGTGAGGAGGTAAAAAACCCGCCTTTAGCAGGTTGTGTCAACATTACCAATATGGGAAACGCCGCCATGAGGTCTCAAAACTTCTCTTCAGAGTGATGTCGCCAACATTTAATCCAGTAATTTTACAGTCTAGGATGTAAACCCAATAAATTCAGGGCAAATAACAAAAGCAGGGACTCCTCTCGTTTACTTGTTGGCATTTTTCAACCATCAGTATCCCTGTATCATCCTCTGTTTGTTCTCAACTTTTGCAGACCAGTTTCATCATCCAGCCCCGCTTCAGTTTGTGTCCTCTGTTTGGCCTTTTGGAGCCGGACCAACACTATTGTTACCTTTCTCTCCTCCTTTATCCAAAACTGAGAGGTTTACCAGTTTGTGTCTGTTTGACGTTACTCTCTTACAAGAACAAACAAGTGAGCATCCTGTTACATCGGTGAAAGGACACATGCATCAGGCAGTGCACTGTGGGGGATGTATTTTAAGTGTTAGTATGAGTCGCTAAGAGGAAACAGGAAAGAGGTTGTCAAACACCAAAACAAGACAATGCATGATGATGTGAAAATACGACAAATACAAGATGTTATTACTTATGTGAAAATAGGGCTGGGCGATATGGCCTCAAATCAATATCACGATATATTGATCAGTTCACCTTGATAACGATAAATGGACGATAACTACTCCACAAGCTGCTCACCCCCTCCCACATTAACTTCGTCTACTTCAGCCGCTCCAACTTCTGAACCGTCCTCCATCTCCTCACCTGTCTTTACCTCTTTGTTACGGACTGGATGGGGTGGAGTCACGTCTCTGACGTAGGACAGCGTCTTAAAGGGACATGAGACCATAGCCTACCTACACACATCTAAAACCAACTTTGATTTACCGTATTTTTCGCACTGTAAGGCGCACTTAAAATCCTTTTGTCTTGTCGGAGCGCTGCAGCTACCGTAGCCTCGCAGAGTTATTGAATTAGTTCAATAAAGTTTGACTTTTCTGACTGTTTTGTTTGGCTTAATGCACTTTATAATCCGGTGCGCCTTATGTATGAAAATAGACGCGAACAGACGCGTTCATTGATGGTGCGCCTTATAGTGCGAAAAATACGGTATTAATTTTTTTGACACTGAATATATTGACATGGGCAAAATAATGTTGGTTATCGTCATAAATTTCGGTATTGGTAAATGTTCGGTTTATCCCCCAGCCCTAACTGAAATTACAAAAAATTAATAAGAAAATATTTCAGGAGTTGATTTGGGTGATATTTATTTATTTTTCATCGTTTTCTGTTTAAATTTTAGTATTGGTTAATATTCGGTGTATCGCCCAGCCCTCAGTTTGCGTTTTTAATTGACGTATATCTTTTGGCTCGAGTGTTGGTGTGCTAATCTGAATTGTACTCCTTTGTCTATTCTCATTCTCCACACCCTGCACTTGTGAACTAATCCCAGCCCTGGAGAACACGGTGTATCATAGGTGGTGCTCCAGTGTTAGAAAAGTGATAAAAGTCTTTATTGGAGTGCAAAAAAATGAGAGGAACTGCATGTAACAAGGTAACAAAGAGAAATAATGTTTCAGGGATGACAAGAATTTGAAGGCACTTTGCAGGAGTGTTTGAATAACCTCCTGTACTCAGGCCTTTCCTTTCCCAAGCCCCGATGCAGACTCATTAATAGTTCCTCTGGGACTTTAGGAGAAAGGCTCAACCATGTCTGACCCCTCAAGCGTTCAGAAATCTTTCTTTCAGGTGCTTTAGGTAAACAATGTCTGTTGTTTACGTAAAATGGATTTCTTTTGGCTGCGCTGTCCAATAGGGTTTATAAATCAGCTAATGCAGGAAAACCCGACTTCCAGAAAGCATCTTATCTCTGAGAGCACAGACATTTCTGATATCCTCCATAGGGCCCCCTCGTAGTGAATGACTTCAACCTTGTGTGTGTGAGACCGGCACATGACAGAGGGGTGGGGAGAGCATTGTAGGGGCACGGCACTAAGCCTCCCACAGCCAATAAGAAGTTGTCTGACCTCTCCATTTAGCAGCGTAGTGTCCACACCGTCCAGCTGTTTGATCCCGGCGCTGAATGAACTCAACTTTTCAGCCTCACATGAAGTCTGAGGCCGAGGTGCTGCAGGCAACTTTTGGACTGTCACGGTGGATATAGAGCCACAGATCTCTCCTGAGGCATATGCAGTGATTTCTTTTTTATTTCATACATATTTAGAGACTGCGAGTCCCATTCAATGAAGTCTGCAGTGTGTTAACGCGCCCCAGAGACTGCTGTTTATCTGCAGAGCTCAAGAGGCCCCCTTCCAGAGCTCCTGATAAGGTAAGAGGCTTGAAACACACAAGATGCACATTTATTATATTCAAAACATCACTTAGAAAATAATTACCTCTGCGGTTATTTATGAAAGATTGTGTTGTCAATGTTGAAACAATACTTGTAACGGGAGTGTGCAATTTCCTAGAGCAAATATTTCGAGTGTGATTGTCATCTAAAGTTAATCAGAGAAAATTCACCTGAAATTTTAATGTCCCTGAGGGGAAATTTGCTTAACAGGCAGTTGTCAAACACAAACACAAACAATTTATCAAACACAAACACAGTGTGAGATTAATTTCTGCAACACTGTCACCGCAGATTTGATCAGGTAAAAGAGAAAAAACAGACGTGAGGAGGGGGTTTAGTTTGATTAAAAATCCTTCAGCAGATGGAACAAATGACAATCAGCTCCTATTATCGCCGCCTTTGGGGAAAAATCAACCTGTGCTCTGGATGGAAGCATCTGGAACTCAACATGCGAAGAATATCCAGGGACCCAAACAAGAGACGGCAACTTTGAGATGACTTTCACTTCGTTCAGGTGATCAAAGTTACTGCTGGGAGACAGTGGTGCCACCAGGGATTTCAGGGCCCAGGAAAAAACATCAGACTGGGCCCCGCAACTTCAATACCCCAAAAGTTTTACTTTCCTCCGAGGCCCCCTGTCAGTCATAATCTCTGAGTCATCCTGACTCTTTGTCCCAGGTCCGGCCCCCCTCTTTGTAATCTTATCTGACAGCTTGACTTGTTTGTCCTGCTGCTTTGTTGTTTTCTTGACCACAACATTTCAGATACTGAGGCCTGGATATTTACCAACAAAACAAATGAGCAACAATGGTGAAAAATCCCTGATTGTTACAGAAGTTTACCTGAAATTACTTTATTTTTCATGAGTGGGGTGGGCAGAAGCAGGGCCCCATTTTTTTAATCTGGGATGGCCAAACTATGGTGGCCCTGAGGTGCAAAACACAAAAGCAAATATGAAAGCACAACACGAAAAGAGAAGACACGATGCCTTTAACCATTGTGTTTTCTCTTTCTGCGTTGTGTTTTCTGATTCGTCATTGTGTTTTGTACCTCAGGGCCTCCGTACCAAACTAAGGCACTGACTTTAACATGATGGTACAAAGTGTATCCACACTCATTAACGATTTACAGTCATTAACTTCTACTATTTCCAGAAAGCAAACTCATAATTAACATTTTAGTTTCACACAGACTCACACCTTTATGTTTCAGAGCTACATTTACTGATTATAGCTTAATTGGTTAATTATTGGTGTCAGCAGAGGTGAAAATATTATGTCATACAATAAGGTGTTGCATATTAATTATGTGCAATTATGTGCACACAATGACAGATTGCATAGGCTCGCTGCATAGGAGTGTTTGAAAGACATCAGACTAGGGCTGGGCGATAAAACGATAATGATATACATCAAAAATTACTTTCCCTGGATACCAACATGAAACACGGTCAATATGCTTTTCGATATTCGGCATTCTGCCATGTTTTGGTCGACTATACGAATAGCCAATAAAAGGGAAGTTGCTCTGAGTCCGACCAGTCTGATTTCTCTAGCGCAACACCTTATGACAAAACATTGAAAAGACACAAAGACCTCACAGATATTGTATTGCAAAAGACATGCTACCAGAGAGCACTGTTAAATTTCATTTAAGAGTAACAGGGAACATTTCAGATTGACTAGTGAATTCTTTATGTCATGAAATATATCGATATCGACTGATATGAACAAAATATATTGTGACGAACTTTTTCCCCGTATTGCCCAGCCCTACATCAGACACACTCACTTAAAAAAACACATGTATTATGGATGGTAGAATCAAATGTTTGTCATGTTTTACGTCTGCTTCTCAAACAAACAGACTTTCACAATAAGAGTAACGAGTAAATTCTATTACAGGAGAAAGTTTGTGTTGTTTACATTTAGTTTGAAAATATCAACATATCAATTAAAGTCAAAAATCTAATATTTTGCATAAATACTACATTTAAATTCAAGGAAGCTGTTGCAATAAAACCTGAAAAAGTTGATCTTTGCACAAGTATCATCTCTGGAAAGGCCTGATAGGGATTCATGGTTTAAGATTTTAGGGTGGCAAACTTGGGGAAAGGAGCGGCCACCCCTTAAATCCGCCCCTGGGAGGAGGGGTGAGGCTAATTAGTGAAGTAGCAGTTCATGCAAAGCAGCGCCCCCTTTGGTCAGGATTTAAAGACACAGTTGTAGAACATCTTTAATAGTGTTATGTTGGGTAAAAACGTTCAAACTTACTGAAAACAGACTTGTGTAACACGTTAATGTCAGGATGTGAACTGTTGGTCATTGTCTGTAAACACAGCGTTAAAAGTTAACTCCGCCTCCGTAACTTAATGATCCTGAGTAGGGGAGACCATGGTCCACCTCACCAGCAAATTAACAAAGACTTGAATCAGTGTTGGAGAGAACAAACAGTGTTCTCTGATCGCTTCACTCTGTTTTGGTGCTGAACTGGAGTAAACACACCCCTGCCTCCAGACAGCCCCGCAGGAAGACGCCGGATTTTATGGGATCCATTTGAAGCCACATTTCATCCCGCCTGCTGTATTTGGTTTTGCTGCTGTGTGATGCTCAGACCCGACCTGTGTCTAATAGACAGACGCACAGATTTGCTGTTGGCTCGGCAGCTGCACACACACACACACACACACACACACACACACCACTCCTCAATAATGTGAGCGCGGCAAAATAATCAGAAAAACTGCAAATGCAGACGGAGATCATGTAGAGACAGATAATGCTGCTCCTCTGGAGGGTCAGAAGTGATCATAGAGAGGGATTATTTTCTCATGAGGCTTTACATTGTGTGCTTTCTCTTTAGGAAACACCCCACACTCACACACACACACACACGCACACACTCTCCTGTAGAAAGTCTCAAACTCTTTATGTTGCTGCTCTGCTGCCACCGCCTCACCCTTGATCACATATTGGGTGCAGGGGCCCTCTCTGAAAATCAATAAACATTTCTTTGGTCTCGGCTTCATGTATTTGGAGGAATGTGGCAACGCCAAAGTAATGTTTATTGATTTTCAGAGAGGGCCCCCTGCACCCCGAGTGATGGAGGGTGAGGCTGTGGCAGCAGAGCAACGATATGAGTTTACTGCTCAGACCCAATCAAAAGTACCACCCAATCATATCAAGGTCTCACCACCAAAAATCGACCATTAGAGTTTGATTTGTGGAGGTCTGAAGATATTTTCGATAAAGACGTGGATTCTGGTTGTTTTAATATTCGGCATATTTATTCATTTTGGTGATACAGTTACGATTACGACAAAAGTGTCGATTTCTATGACCTCCTGTATCTAATGATGCAAAATACTCAGACTGATGTTTGTGTAAAAAGTTGATTCAACTCAGTTTTCTTTGAGAAAATGTTAAAGTTTTAAGGGATAATTTTATAACGAATGCTGTGGTCCAGTTTCCTCAGAAGTCAGATATCGGAGCTGGGAATGACGTTACACCCAAGTTGACGGCATTCCAGGAAACAAGTCCGAAAACCAAATGGACGCCTACTGTTGTTAGCTGTTGTTAATAATCGTCAGCTGTCATTAGCTGTTGTCAGCTGTTGTCAGCTGTTGTTAGTTGTTGTTAGCTATACCAGTTTTAAACAGCCCATAACCCAGTATTTTACTCTCAAACACCATTGCACCGTGTTCACAGTTAGAGGTTGGTCAGTACGTCATAAATCACTGATTTAACTTCACAAAAACAAAACAGAAGTGCTAATAAATAAAACATTACAAGAGCTTTTACTGTTACTCTTCACTGTTGATTCACTGTGCTGCCATCTTGGATTATGACTCAGAGCTCTGAAATCTCGACTTCAACTGGAACGCAGCATGATGCCCAGGGGCGTGTCCGGAGGGCGGCTAGGGCAGCGAGTAGCTTTTGTAGCATTTACATCAAACACATTTTCTTTTATTGGTGCTTAAAACTAAAAATTAAAGTTAAATTTAGTCCATAAAAATGTGTGTGGAAGAGGGAGCAGTCATTCAAGAGTTTCAAACAAACTTCCTCATTCATTTATTAGAAGCATTTTGATGCCAAAATTGCCACCAAAATCTTTTTAAAGAAAATTGATTTTACTCGTTTTCACTCTGCATAAATTGCAGCTCAAAAAATCTCCATATTTATCTCATACTGGTGTTTGTTTTGTCTGTTTTTCCACTGATAAAAAGTTAGATACAGCTTATGGGTGTTACTTTTTACACAGCATTATCGCACATTTTGTGGTTTTCAGCTCACATAGAAAGTCTTCATATATGACACAGCCCTTTAAAAACACTGTTGCTTTAAAAAACGATCTGACGTCGGGCTGTGGCCATGTCTTTAAAGACATCCAACATTGTAACATGCTTCAGTTCGGTTAAGGAAGCTTTATTGGTATGACTGGAGAATGAGGATGTGACCAAAGATGTTTGTCAAGACCAGGTGAATTTAAAACATGACAAAACAAAACAGAAAAAAGAAAATATATAGTTTTATAAGAACAAAAGTCGTATTTTCACAACTACTGAGAGAAACCTAATTAAAAGTAAATGAAATTACAAAAATCAAATAACATAATAGGATAAATAACAATGGAAATAAGTCAAAAGAAAAAATTAATATGCATAAATTCATTGTTCATCTGCTTTAATCTATGTGTGTGTGTGTAATTGACAGTTGGTCTTATCTGTGTGTGTGTGTGTGTGTGTGTGTGTGTGTGTGTGTGTGTGTGTGTGTGTGTGTGTTCAGGTTCCAGTGGTTACCCTCGGGGCCTCACACGCTGTGATGTTTTTTTCTGCAGCTGTTATCTCTCTGTTGTGTTTTTCTCTCAGTAGATACTGTAATTTCTGTGTTTCGCTCTAACTCTGGATATTAGTCTGATATTTGGGAGTAGTGTTGTTCCCTCGTACGCCTGGTATTTGGAACAAGATGTGAAAAAGTGCAGCTCTGTTTCTGCCTGTAATGTGTCATATTGACAGTAGAGGATTTCTCTCTGTGGTGACTCGACTGTAATCTCAAAGTCTGTGTCTCATCAGGTTTCCTCTTAGTTTAGGACTTTTAGAGCGAAGGTAATCTGCGACTGTGTTGAAGATCTTACTCAGAAATTTAACATCTACTCTTAAATTTGGGGGGAAACATAAAGGTTTAAAAATGTCATTTATTCATGGCTGTGTGCGCACACACTTAAGGAGATATTCTGGCGTAGATTTAAGTAAGGTGCACCTCCAAAGTGTTTTCGAGGTAGATAAAAACAAGATAGGTAAATATATGTTCAGCCAAGTAAAAGGACCAGTGTAAAATGTAGTAAATATATTTTAAAAAGAGGGTAGGGATTTAAAGCCGAGTAAACTCGAAGAAAGTGCAAGAAAAGTAGAAAAAACAAGCACCAGATTTGAGAGCTAAGAGCCGCTGCACCCGTGACAACTTTTTTAGCTTTGCCTGGTTTCTTTAGCAAAGAGACTAAACACAACTCACCTACTCTCCTCCAGCAGCCACTTGTTTGTGGGGGGAGCCCTGAGAAGTCAAAAATTTGGGTTTATTACTTAATGGAAATGCAATCATATACCTATATGTCCTGTTGATGAAGTTAGGTGCTGTTCTGAGCATTATTTGTGGCGTTTTGGTTGAGGTTTGCGTGTGGAGACGTAGACCGCCGTGTATTTCTATCCTGCGGTCGTTACTAAAGTTGGTATAACAAGAGAAGGAAGCGGTCGGCAACATTTATCTCTGAAGGGGGTGTCTAACTCAGTGTTACGGTGTGTTTGACCCTAACTTAAATTTACACCGGAATATCCCTTTAACACCACCCCAGTGTTTGGGCCTCCCCAGTCAAAAGTTCTGGATACGCCCCTGCTAAGAAGCACCAAAGTCCATCCACAGATTAAAGTTTCACTTCATTCAACATTCTGAAGCAACTTTTGTTCTTGAACTAACCAACTTTTGCTTCTATCTATGTCCTATTTATATTTCTGCGGCTCACAATGGAACAAAGCAGAGGGGCTGATTAGTCCCGGAGGTCCTCTTACAGAGCACGTATAGAGGTGGGGTCCCTGAATGGAGCATATGGAGGATATTTCTATAAGGAGGACGTGCTTTGCTTGAGTTGGCCTCCTGCTAATTTGGGTCAAGTCTAACAAAAAGGTTTTATAACTTCACATACCGAGCCTCGGGTCCCGACTGTGCTGTAGGTAACTCATGTTAGATAAATTAACTCCAAAGGGGGAGGTGGTGGAAATCTTGTCTCCTTGAAGCTGGGACATTAAAGTCTCCTCAGCTGATGTCCTCTGTGCAGCCCACCCTGTTATATATCTGTGTGTGTGTGTGTGTGTGTGTGTGTGTGGATGTCAAGTGGCACTTCCAGGCCACCCACTTTAACTTCTTTATTTAGACCCTTCCAGTGTGAGCGAGGCCAGCATTGATGCCTCCGCTCATTTTTCTGCTCGTATTATTCTCCAATGTGACTGAAAAAAAATGAACTCTACACTTTTAAAAAACTTTTCTTTGAATTTTAGAGACAAGCAATCAATCCTTAGGGTGAAATTATCTGTTTTATTCATTATTTTGGTGCTTGTTCCATTTTATCCGGAGTCCCATCTGTCTGAAGTTGTTCTGCCATTCATCATCCGATGTCAACCGCTGAATTTTTTATCCTTTCGAATACGAGAAACTCTTTCTCTGCTGCCACTAATGTTAGAGGCCGCTCATGGATGTGAGAGGACGATTTCAGACGGTGATTTCTTTCTCTTTCAACCTTCAGAGTTTAGGGTGGGAAACATTGATGTGTAAAGATAAATTTAACATATCTGTATTTTCCGTTAGTCAAAAAAGATGACAAGAGCTTCATAACTCTTAAAGTATGTTATAGCTGAGGAGATTGATAAACCTCATGTCCTTTTCGATGCTATATCTTGCAAAATAAAAGTATATTTTTGAACAATTTCATGATCAGAATCAACACAGGCGATACGACAGGCTGACAAGTACATTTTTAGTTATTTAGAGCATTTATTTCTTCTATACCCACACTCTCACCACCAACCAAAGCGATATTAATAACAACAAACCGCGTGTTTTCACAGAGGTGGAAAATCTATGAAGTTGCTCCTTTGTGAAGCTGTCATCATTTTTGCACTAACCTGACCCGCTGACAGAAACTCTTGTTGGGAAATGTCCACAAACTTTTAGAGCCAGAGAGAGAAAAAAAGAGGTTTTTTACTGGAGCGTAACCCTCTTTACTGCCATCGTTAGGGGGACCATACGTCCTCTTTTACCGTCCTATTTTTGAGGCCTGTCCAGAGGGAGTTTATAAAATCCTTCAAATGTCCGCGGTTTGTATGTATGTATGGAAGTTTTGAGTCTGTGTCGTGTGGACTAACTAAAAAAACCTCGACCCAACCTGAAAAACTCTCAAAATTTTGCGTGCGACTCTGCCCCATATAGCAGTATCCTCTTTTTAGGGATTCAGAACATGGTCACCCGAGCCCCAAAGGCCTGCCAACCAATCCTCGGGTGTTTTGTCCAGGAGGTAAAGATGTGAGCCATCATTTTAAAGATATACAACATGGCATTAACAACCCTTCCCTTGTTGTTGTATTTGATCTGTATGAGATCATTTTGAATGCAAACTGATAATTTGGGTTCCTTGAGGCTCTGTTGATGTTAAACCCTTTCATTCGTGTTGATTTTGGGGCCCCCTGGTGGACAAAAAAAGAAACCTCTCCTCTCTTTGCTTTTGATTTGATTGAAATTGTTTTTTTGGATCCACCATTAGTGACAACAAGATATGCAGTAACTATTCTTCCTTGGGTCCTTAGATCATTAGTTTAGGACTCTCAGAGCGAAGATAATTTTGTTTGAGGAATGTTTGATTTTGTTCTGGGAATCACAAAAAATTTCACTTTCTTTGTTTTTGACTCTCACCTGAAATCTTAGGCATGAAAAGGTAAATGGACGACGTTTATTTCGCGCTTTAGCTCTGGGCTTCTGACCGCTCATGTGCAACTTTGCTTTACATGTCGTATCGACCCGTTTCGACCACATGGACACATTGATAGCAGAGGCAGAAATGTGAAGTCCAGTGGGACCTGGGATCGAATTCCCAATGCGCCGTAGCTGCCTTTGATTATCATTGATAATCATTGATATGTTGATTGATTTTATATTATTGTCCTCAAAAACTGAATGTGAATTAGAGTTGATGTATTGTATCTGTAACAGAAGAGAGGCCTGCAGATATTTCCTCGTGCTTTTGCAAAGCTAAGCTAACTTCACCTGCCCCAGCTGTGAGGTAAATATCTTTTTTATTTCTCTCTCCTTAGTTTTGTAGAAAAAAGCAAATCAATTCCCAAAATAATGTGTCGACTCACGTAACAGAATCAGGCACAAACAGTTAATGTTACCCAAACACCACTGCCTTTTTAAGATAATGGTGTTGGAGTAAAAGAAAAAAAAAGCTTTACATCTTCATTTCTAAGACCACACATTGACAAATCCTCCAGCGTTAATGCAAATGATCAGAAGACAGACTCCACTTTGTGCTCAAATATATTCCTTGTCTATAATCTATATGCAAATGTTAATTTCCCCAAATCTTACTTATGTGATCTAATTATTCTTAGTGAGCCATAATGTCTCTCTATATGAATAAATAAGAAATAACTCTTATCTCCCTCCACTGAGCCGCTGCCTATTGTATCCAATAATGCACAGAATAAAAGAGGAGGCACATTTACAGCTGCACAGCAGCAGCTCAAGTCCCCGCTCAATAACAAAATTTCTTTAACGCATTAAATATTCACTACTCGCTGCACACTACTGACTTATCCAATAAGTTTTCCAAGAGCTAAACCAATTCATCAACCACATCAAGTCCTCCTCGGCTGAAAAACACTACATCATCACCCACTCCTGAGCGTTGCCCTGAGCTATCGAGCAGTGTGAATTCAACCTGTATTCACCTGATCGATGCTTTCTCTGGATACTCTCCCCTGTGTAAACCGTACAGTAAGTTGTTTGACTCTGCAGATGGGCTCTTATTTATCACCAGGCCGGAGGAGGTTACTCAGTGAATACGTGCAGAAAGAAGGACGTCAAAGCCAAAAACAGCTCTCCTTTAATTCAGAGGCTTTTTTCTGTTGAGTAAGGGGAATATTTATCGACGAACCTGATCTCTCTTCAAATACACATGAGGTGTCAGCAGAGCAGAGATCCTGCAGAGGCCTCATCAGTTCATATACAGAGCATGTGCTGGATGTTTAACATGCTGACAGTGATTCCAGACAGTGAATGAAGAAAGAAACCACCTGCCACCAGAGGATAAGACGGTGGAGATGGTCGATATACTGAAGATGAGATGCATGAGGAAAAAGAGAGGTCAGGGGCCAGGAGACGGAGGGAAATGAACAATGATCAATTCTGTCAGACAGCCATAAACATGGATATCTCCCATGTGGGAGGGACAAATGCATATTTAAGAAGTTCAGCACTTGATGAGGAAAAGGAGGAAAGACAAGGTGATGATGGATAAATGAAGGAGGGAGAAGATAACTCTGTGGTCTTTCTCTGTTATCGCTCATTTCAGGTTTTTATCCTCCGCTCTGAAATTCTTCCTTTCACATCAGAAAATAAAATCCTCCACAGACAGAAACACCGCACACAACGTACTCTCGGTTCACGGTCGCTGTGAAGTCTTTTTAAGGCAGTGAATACTAAGACCTGTGATTTATTTCAACCATCGTAAAAGTTCAAGGGCGAGCACGTCACCCTGCAGTGACAGTCAGACTAGAGCTCCTCTTATATCTCCAGGTTGGCGTCTTCTTTGACTATAAACCCGTGCAATCAAACACAAAGATGTGCGTTTGTTACTACTAAGTTCTAGGGCTGCATGTGAAACACATTTTAAATCAGAATACTCCTAATGGCTGTGAGACGTCATCGTCTGTCCGGTTAGGGTTAGGATTAGGATGAGGGTTAGGATTAGGTGATTCAGAAGTGCGATAATGTTCTGTAATGTTCTGTTCGATGTACAGAGCCAACGGCCCGCGTTTGGCTTGAGCGTGTGATGACATTTCCAGCTTTTCTAGCCAATCAGACATGAAGGAGGCGGGACTTGTGTAAACAAACATGGCGTTTGCAAAAGAAGGTGATAATTTTGTGGTTGAATAGGACAAGAGCGAGTCAGTCGTGTTGAATTGGTACGACAGATGAAGAGCAAACCACCCCCCGCTACAAAGTCTGTCTGAAGGCGGTATCAACCCGTCCACAGTTTTATCATCCGCAGAAAAACCCTTCCTGCCGACTTTTGACAGACAAATGCATCATTTATCGTGAATATTAAGTGTGTAAAAAACTACAGGCATGATTCTCTAAAACCTAACATTTCTATTTCTCTGTCTCCTGAACAGATCCTAATATCCGTACAACCCCACTGAAGAGGAGTTGTGTGAGTGAAAATGGCGCCCGCTGTTGGTGGTCCTGTCGGCTACACTCCACCTGAAGGTGGCTGGGGATGGATGGTGGTAATCGGAGCTTTCATCTCCATCGGTTTCTCCTACGCTTTTCCCAAGTCCATCACAGTCTTCTTCAAAGAAATCGAGGTGATCTTCAACGTGACCAGCAGCCAAGTCTCCTGGATTTCTTCCATCATGCTAGCATGCATGTACGGCGGAGGTAAGGTTATGCAAACTGAAGAAGTGTTACACAGCAGACTGAATCCCGGCTCCTCAGACAGCTGTAAAAGATGTGTCCTGCAGTTTTCTCAGAAACAGACTCGCTCTGTAGCCTCTCAACCTCCTGTTTATCCAAAAATAGTCCACAGATTCTCAGAAATAGAGTGCAACATAAATCAAACGTCTCATACGGAGTAAAACAATACTGTAACTCCTCCATTGAAGTTTTGTTTATAACGGTGCTACATTATCTGTCTCAGGGGTCCATGAATGGGTTTTATCCACGTATTGTTTTCCCCTGTGCTTTGAGAGCTGAAGGCCACAGTGGGATTTTTGTTGTGTTCCCGTGTTGTGAGATGAATGCCGGGTGATGTCACTCGGGTCCGGCCGGTCAGGTGGCGATAAGGGTCTGTTCATGTGCGTGATATTCAACACGGAGGGAGCGGAGTTCAAAGGAGCTCTCCTCCTCCTCGAGAGTCCCTCCAGACCGTCTGCTCTGAAATCAAAACACAGCACTTCTCTTTACTCTAACGCGTGATTAACCGGGAAAATGATGACTTAGGCATCTTTTTTTAATCTCAGGGAAGTTTTAGGAAAGTTGCTTTCGTGGGCTGAAATGATGTGAAGTGGAAGATTAGACTAGTTAGTAACAAATACTCAATTCTGACAGAAGTGAATGACTAACTCAGAAGATATGAGGGCAATAAACATGGTCATTGTAGTTCTTTACTGTCACTGTATTCATTAGATTACATGCAAAGTGTTCAGAATATTATATATAATGTTGTATATTTATAATATATTTCAATTTTACCACAAATATAAGAAAAAGATGCTTAGATATTTAAAATATATTATTACCCAGAATAACTTTCATGTTCTGGTCAGGATTAAGAAGCTAAGATGTCATGTTTTGATGGTATTTTGATGGTGAAGTTACATCATAATAATAATAATAATATCTTATTAGTTATCATACTTTTTTTCCTCTTGATTTCATTGTTTTGTATTTTACCAACATTGACTATTTTAAAGTTATCACTAACTTCATACTCATACGATAACAAAGGCTTGAATCCCAAACCTGTTGCTAACTGTCCTTACTGTCTTACAGAGGGAAACATGTTGTCTTTTTATACTGCTCTGTTAAACGACACTGATGATCCTCTTTTCAGCATCTAATTAATATGAGAAGCTTTGAAATCATTTAACATTAATGCAGTTTTACAGACACCAGCATGGCGGGGTGCAGTTACACCAACATTCCTCTCTAAATGTGAAGTTGGAGGAATAAACATCCGTACATATAATCTTAAACAGTTTTGCACGTCAACAACAGGAGGATTTAATCAAACAGTGAAGTCTTCATTACTTCACAACACTCTCCTCATAAAGAAAGAAAAACCTCGCTTGTGACCAGGCATCACATTCCTGCTGGGGTTAAAGGTTACCCAGATATAAAGAGGGAACATGTGAACAGTCTTAACACTTTCACAGAGGCTTGCAGTGTGGAATTTAATATATTCTTTCAGTGGAGGTACTTGTATTAGCCCTTTATTAATGGGGCAATGTGTAGAATAGAGTTTGTGGATATGAGGTACAATATTCAAAAGTATTAGCATGTAATCCTCTAAATGCAAACCCCTTTTATTTCGTTAACTTAGAATGAGCCTTTTATGTACATGGAAGTGGGTCCCCTACATGGGGGCGGCATCTTGTACCACTCAGTGCGTTTACAGTCACAGTTTAATCAGACTTAGCTCATAATTCAGTTTTTTGCCGAATCAGACTTCTCACCTTGTTCTCGTATACATGCAGCTAAGAAAGTCCAATTATTGACGTGAACGTGTCCTCCTCCCCAAAACTAGGGGGCGGTATGGGTCTTTTCAGCTGTGCTTTCCCCGACACCATACAACCGTCAACAACAACAGCAGGTCAGACGTCAGAAGTGTCTACAACTGCTGCTGGGCATTTTGGAGAAACAAGAAGATGGAGGATCGTACAGCGTTGTTATTGTCGTACATGATGATGCTACTCCTCATGACGCTTCTTCTCTGGTGTTTTTGTTCTGGAGTTACGGGGGCGTGGCATGCGTGCACATGCATTGTCCTATCACACTCCGCCTACGCTCGTTACGTGGCAGAGAAAATCGAATTCCAGTCTCATTATCTGGGTGACTTAATCGGAGTTTTTCCGACTCCAATCGGCCTTAATCGGACTAAGGTGTTCACATGCACTTAAGTTGTCTGATCTTAATTGGAGTAAGGCGATAATTCGGTTTTTTCGAGTGTCATGGAAACGGACTGACTGCAGCACAGAACTGTGGAAGAGGATTACGGCCATTGGAAAATAAAAAAAAGAGGTCCAATATTTTTTTAAATTATTATTCTGAGATTTAAGTCAAAATTCTGACTTTAAACTCAGAATAATAATTTTAAAAAAATGTATATCTGACCTTTTTTTTTTAATGGCCTTAATCGTCTTTATACAGAACAGACAAACTAGTAACACACATGTTGTTATGTTGAAAGAATCTGTACTCATACAAGAATCATAACTGTCTTGCATCACATGTGCTTCTTGTCCTTATAGGCCACTGTAGCTTCACCAACAGCAGGGGTGAGCAAGGGAGCATTTCAGCCCAGAATCTAAGTCTAGATGAGGCTGAATATTCCCATTTCTACACACTGTACCTTTAAGGCCTAAACTGAGTCATGCACCTTTCTTTCTAAACTCAGAGTCTCAGTATACTCAAAATTCAGGTGTTCCTTTGTTTATTCATGTAAATGTTTAGATGTATACATATATACACAGATGAATATGGATGGTAATTGAAAGTTAATGTTTGTCAGCAGATAACAGCCGAGTCTGTTCTCCTCTGTGGTAAACATTCAGAGCACATCAGCAGTAGAAGTTCATTAACAACCTACTGTTGCGTACCTCTGCACCCCTCCAATTTTTGTCTCATTACATTCATAATATTCTACATTGGTGTGTCTTGGACCTTTTTATCCCGAGCAACTCTTCCTGCTTGGCGAAAGGAAAGAACTCATTGTTAGTGCGGAGACCGGCTGCATTACAATTTATAAAACCCTTTGTCTTGCACCGTGCTGGCAAATGAGTGTGGACAACCTCTAAACAAAAACTGTCAGTTTCTATTTTGGCTCATTGGATCGCGCTGGGATTTGGCAGGGAGGCAGAAGTGTCTTCCGTGTGGGTCCTCATACTCATTTGAGCTGGTTGTTATAAGGAGGAGATGGAGACGGGGTTTGTGACGTGACACTTCTGTGCATTTTAAGTCATTTGTTTACAGGCCATTGTAATTTTTCTAATACTTGTTAAATCAAAGGTGATTGCCTATTGATCATTTAATTTGCTGTTGCTTAGTGGTACAAGCATTCTTAGAAACGAGTTCACTTTGTGCCAAAATTGCTACAAATGTTCTGTATGTGCATCAGTCCCATTGAGCCCTCCTCTCTGAGCACACATGCTGATACACCCACCCACTTATCTAAACTGAGGTACTTCCAATAATCATTCAAATACATTACGACCCCTTTAAGAGAATCAAAATATGAATCATCCCTCTGTGTGTGTTTTTTTAATCCCTGATTGATTATTTCATAGAGGCTGTCATGGTTTTTCTGACAGATCACTTTATAAATGGCATGAGAACACATCTACTGCAGTGCAGCACTGACAGAAATGATTGCAGAAGTTGTTTGAATGTGCTGATCCACAGCTGTGACACTGGAGCTCTCTAGTGGTTAGATGAAGAACTGAGCACTGAAGATGGTGAAGAAGAAATCTCCGTCTTTTAGCTTCTAATATATGTATTTGTGTGTTTTTCTTTCACCTCAGGTCCTATTAGCAGCATCCTGGTGAACAAATATGGAAGTCGTCCTGTGATGATGGCTGGAGGATGTCTGTCTGGACTGGGCCTCATTGCTGCCTCTTTCTGCAATTCTGTTCAAGCCCTGTACTTTTGTATCGGTGTGGTAGGAGGTATCTAATTTTGACTTTCTATATTTCCAAGCTTGGGTGAAAAAAAAAAAAAAATCACCTTTTTTCTTATTTGCACTCTAGTGCCATCTAGTGTCTGTAGTAGGTAACAACACCAAAAAGAACAACAGCTCTCCACAGGCATCAATTCAAAAGTTTTTAATCTGTTTGATTTATTGATATTATTTCCTAAAGAAACAAAAACCCAACAGGAAAGAAAGACAATAATTAAACACCTTTACGACAATGAAGTGGACAGTGCATAATACTAAAAAAGTAGGATAAGATTAGCTAATGCCCTCCCTCCTTTATTATTATTACTATTATTATTATTACCTTTATTTAATCAGGTTTGTCCCACTGAAATCCAAGATCTCTTTTGCAAGAGAGACCTGACCAAGAATGTCAGCATATACAGTTTCAATACAATAATCACATTAATCATATATAATACAAATAATACAAATAATAATTCAATTTTCAAAATTAGTCAAAAGAATTTACAAGATTGGTCAAACATTTGCACTCCTAAAGCCTGGATGTAATGGATTTTATCATGGATCTAAATTCATCCAGAGATACCAGACTCAAAGGTCCTGGGAGCAGAGACTGTTGGCCCTGTTATTCAAGATTAAAAAGGATGATAAATAAGATGGAGTCATCTGAAGAATCGCCTTATAAATCAACATTTTTAACTTACTCATTGATAGAAACCAAATACACCTACAGATAATGTTTTTGGATCAAATCTTTTAGGTCTGGGATTGGCCTTCAACCTCAACCCTGCTCTCACCATGATTGGAAAGTACTTCTACAAGAGACGGCCCATTGCTAATGGATTAGCGATGGCCGGCAGCCCCGTGTTTCTCTCCACCCTGGCTCCTCTGAACACTTGGTTCTTTGATCAGTTCGGCTGGAGAGGGAGCTTCCTGATCCTGGGCGGCCTGCTTTTTAACTGCTGTGTCGCTGGTTCCCTCATGAGACCCATAGGACCCAAACCCAAACCTGTAGAGAAAAGTACAGAGAGGAGGACTGTAGGGCAGGTTATTAACAGCTTCATAGACCTGTCTTTGTTCAAGCATCGTGGCTTTTTGCTCTATATCATGGGCAACGTCATCATGTTTTTCGGCCTCTTTACACCACTGGTGTTCCTCAGTAATTATGCAAAGAGCAAAGACATCCCCAAAGAGAAGGCAGCTTTCTTACTCTCTGTATTGGCTTTTGTTGACATGGTTGCTCGGCCGTCAATGGGTATTGTGGCAAACACCAAGTGGGTTCGACCCAGAGTACAGTACTTCTTTGCTGCCTCTGTGCTCTATAATGGTGTTTGTCACATTCTAGCACCAATATCAGTCGACTACACAGGCTTTGTGATTTATGCTATCTTCTTTGGGTTTGCGTTCGGCTGGCTGAGCTCAGTGCTGTTTGAGACCTTGATGGACCTGGTGGGGGCACAGCGCTTCTCCAGCGCTGTCGGACTGGTCACTATCGTGGAGTGTGGTCCTGTACTGTTAGGGCCCCCTGTGCTCGGTGAGTACATGACCAACTTTTTCAGAACAATTATTCATTTAATATTTGTTTACTTGATCTTTAAGATGACTAAAATTGTGATTTGTTTCTTTTTGTCTTCACAGGGAAGTTCAAAGACATCTACCATGATTACAAGTACACATACCAGGGCTGTGGGATCCTCCTCATAGTCTCAAGTATCTTCCTCTTTGTAGGGATGGGAATCAACTACCGTCTCCTGGCAAAGGAAAAAAAGCAGGAGGAGAGGAAGGGCAAGTTAGGAATCAGAGAATCAAAGTCCAGCAAGGACAGTGCAGCCAAGGAGGTGGCTGAGGCCAAGAACACAGAAGACACTGTCTAATTCTAATTCCTATCACGTTGAGCTGTGTTTTGGTTCATTCATATTTTGTTTCCAGTGGCATATATAGACATATAAAGAGACAGCAGATGAGTAATTTCATGTTTCTGAATGATTTTTATTTTGAACAGCACAGAAATTATAACCTCATGACTGCCCTTGCAGTACTGTGTGAAATATTTAAACACCTAATAAAGCCTTTAAACTTTAATGAACAATCCACATAAAATACCTCTGATGTACTTGCAGGGACTGTTATATGTGTTTGATAGACTATTAAAGTTTGCTTAGTCTTTTATCTCACTTATATTGTGAGACTATTATGTTGTATGGTGTCTTTGAAATCTCAGATAGCCTCACTATGACTAGAAGTTGTTTTTTTGCTGCGTACAGATTATAGTTTATTAATCATTTGAAATGTACCATATGATAATGAATGGTATTATTTAGTATGGAGCATTCAAAGTACAGAGCTGTACTTTTTCAAGCATACTGCACTGAAGGTGTGTATTAATAGCACTTAACTCACTTTTCTCGACTCATTATCTCTGAAAACAAATGAATAAAAATGTGTTTTCTTGTTCATTTGAATTGTGTAGCTTTTGAGGGGCTTTGAGCATCTTTGCTATCTGCTTTGTGTATTTTACGCATCTATAAAAGCACTTATTTTACATTTGTCATTTAAATATGTTTAGCTCCATTTCTCAGTGATGGAAATTAGCTTTATCTTTAAGTGCATTAACCCTTATTGTAATAACTGTGTGTATTTGCATGATAGGAAAGTGTGCCAATGACTGCAGGTTACTAAACATGGAATACAAGTTAGAGAATCAAATAAACTGTCTTTAGACACGAATACAAATGTCTAATGTGTTTTTATGTTCCTCAGTCATCTAAGATTAGAAAATAATAACCTCCAAACTTTCATTTTGCTAATTTTTGTTTGTCATCAGTTTAATGTGTTTAAAAACTGATTATATTTTGATGGAAGAGTACAAGAGAAAATCTGCAGAAGACTGCACTTCATGAGTGATGGCATAAAACCAGCAGATCTAGAGGCTTCAACCGGTGCATAAGAGTTACTGGTGAATAACGCACATTAAGGCTGCATTGGTCCTCTGTATGAAAACAGCCTACATTCACCTACATGCTCAGCCTTTAAAATTAAATTCAAAGTCAACCTCTGTGCAAAGAGCTTAGTCTGACGCTTTTGCTTCTGAGATGTGAAAATTAGATTTTTACTGAATTTGAAGAGGTTTGCCCTGCCTATAGCACCTGTGGTGATGCCCCTCAAATCAGAGAACAAAATCTTAAAACCCTTCTTTCTTATTATAAATTTATTGATCATTTGCCACCAGCATGGCATGACAGATGTCATCTGAATTTATGATAACAAACCTGTGAAGATGTAGGCTGTATTTTGGCTATTGGCAATTTAAAGGATGTTTTTAGATCCCCTAATCTTTGTCTAATTAAAGGACATTATTGGAAAAAATACTCAACATATTAGCCAATTATTATACTGTAAACCGTGTATGGTCTCCGCTCACAACATTAATCCTAGAACACTATCGCTGGGGGATTTCCACCCGACCAAACATGTTTATGGGATTTTCATTATGTTGCATTTGTCTGAGTATCATGGGTCTCTGGGTAGCTTCAGCATTGCCTTAGAAATCTTTGAAGGCATATTTGTTTCATTGATCCAAAACCTGCACTTTCCTATAGGCACGTGTTCACAGGGGGATTTTCACCTTGCAATAGTGATAGAGGGTAAAGTAGGTTTGGGTGGACTTGATAGCTGCATGTAGAGAATAAGGTCAGTAGGAGTGGTCCTGGGATTTGCATGTAGTGATTTTCAAGGGAATTCATATGGTGATAAGATATATTTGAGTCAGCTGGTCATTTTTACTTACTCCAAATATGCCATAATTTGGTTCCCTCTCCTGCAGCTGTTATTGTGCCGAGGACCCTGAGTCTTCACATGCCCCAGGAATGGGTGGAAAAGAAACTAGGTTTACAGTTTATATACATTTTTATTTTTTAGTAATTTTTTTCAAGTATGCCTAATTTCAGTCATTTTCCTCCCTTTGGATATTGCACAGTTAAAAATAAAAGAAAACTACTTTAATTTGTCATGTATTGTCCTATTTTGATAAATTTTAATGACAAGTACTTTTTCTTGGGTAATTTATTTCGGGTAAAAAAAAAACACCCGACGATAGTGATGGTGTTACTAATTTTATCGATAGTGTTGTAGGGTTAAAGCAGTGGTTCTGGTATTATGTAGCAAAGACGGGTCAAAAACATGAATTTTGAGGAACGGAGAGCCACTGGTATTCGCCTGTGGTCCTTGCCCCACAGTTATATATAGACACGAGACATGGATCTTTAAAAATGTAAATTAACTCTGACTTTTTAAAGCGGAATGAATGAGAAAATCTGAACAGAAACAGTATCTGTGGCCCCCACTCCGTGGTACAAGTTTGAATTTGAATTTAACCGTTAGCTTTACGTCATTAGCGTATTCTTGCTCGCTCGCTCGCGCCCGTTCAACTGTCAGCAATTGTCAGTTTCGTTCAAGCCCGGCAGTTTTAACGTTCAACCCCGAAAATTTAACAAAAAATAAAACAAGAAAAGGTAGGTAAAACTCGGAGAGCTGTGTATAAAAATAACGTCCTACTATCGCAACATTTGTGACTCGTCCATGTTGAGTGATTGTGTCGAAACGTCCAAACGGTTTTAGTCAAGTCCGGTGAACGACGGGCGACTAGCTAAAACAAGCTAACGTCAACTGCCAAGAAGTGAAACTGAATTATAGACTATGGCTCAGGTAAGACGATTAAATCACAGTTTGTTTGAAATCCCCTCCCATTCCTCTTTTCTTACATTTTAACGGTGCCATTTTCAACTTCAGCTTAAGAAGATATATTTCAACATCATGTTTAATAGTTAAAGTTGTGATGTGTCTTTGTTAACAGGTCAGAATGGAGAGAGACCGGAGCTTTAACTTTAAACTGTCGCTACCTACCTGGGCGAAAAAAGGGCAAATATCTGCGGTAAGACCTCAGGAAATCGTTGAAAACTGCGGCGATTTAAAGAACTCATCAGAGCAGGTAAGTTGATATTAATATTTGAATATCAGTAATATGTAAACATGAGGTAATGTGTGACATTTTAATGCTTGCACAGCACTAGCACCATCATACAACCTCATAGTTATTAGCTACTACTTTGGCATTGTTGTCCCTGTTTTTAAGCTGGCAGAAAATATTCAGAATATGCAGCTGTCTTCTAGAGGCTGTAATCATTAATATCTGTGATGGTAAAGTGTGATTGATCTTCTCCCTCAGGGCTACACCAAGGGCTTTGACAAAGAGCAGAGTATGAGTTTTGCAAATGTGGCTGCACCAGCTAAACCAACCAGACAAGGTATTTTCTGATTAACAACCCAAGCAGCATAACTGAAGCAAAACGGTCCAAAAATTTTGTAAAACTTTTAATAAATTTGCTGTTTTCTAGTCTCACAGGACATTTCTAAGACAAAAGTGGTGCCACCAATGGAAAAGGATGAGGTAATGATACTAAATGGTACATAACAACCAGACTTTTGCAACTCTTTGATTAAAAACTCGGGACATATCATTTCTTGTTGCTGTTGTTATCTTCAGAATAGCCACAATCCTGGACAGCTTTGCACCAAGCTGTTTGATGAGGTTGAGAAACTAAAGTTTTGGAAAATCAAAGCAGACTCGGACGCTCTGCAGAAGGAGAGGAGACTCCAAGAGAACAAAAAAACAATTGAAACTCAACGAAAAGCCATTCAAGAATTACAGGTGCCTGCCCTAGTGACTGGTTTTCTTTATCTTCCTTCTTTTTGCCAAATCGAAATAAAAATCCTTTTTCTTGAAGAGGTTGTTGATAACAGGGTAACAGTATTACACGACCCCTTTCATATCTGTTGAATGTTTCTTTCCTTACAGTTTGGGAATGAAAGTCTTAGTATTAAGCTGGAGGAGCAGATAAGTGAAAATGAGGAGCTGAGGAACAAGTATGAAGTTTATTTATTTGAAAATCTCTTTGTACCAACAAGAAGGGTTGTGCCAAAAAGCAAGATAAACAGTATAGCATGGTGCCTAAAGTCTGAGGCCAAATTTTTATCACTTAAGATCCTCACTTCTAACCCAGATAGATTGCCACAGATTGTGTCTAACACCTTATCAGAAAGTTTTACTACATTTTTCATCTGTATTGCATTATTATTGAAACCAGGGTTATCAAAGCTGGTTGATGGTGCGATCTCTGGAAGGGTTCAAGGTTTAGTCTAGGTCGACATACACAGAACCTGGAAATAACAAACTTGCTTTGTGGTACACACCCTTAATAATGTTTCTAGAGTGTAATAAAACATAACAATCTGATTTTTTAAATGTGTTTCAAAATGTTTTGACTTAATCAAATGTTTGTCTCTATGAAAAAAACTGAATACAGAAACAACGCAACAAGGAGTTTGTGTAATATACTTAAAGATGCCCTTGAGCGTTCTGCTGAGAAAATGCAGTTATGTAAGTAAAAATTTTTTGGTTATTGTTGCCAGTATTGTAATGTTAATCAGCCAAGTAGAAAATGGACCCATTTCCTCATTTTAAATGTCTAGTTTTTACTTTTTACAGTTGAATCTGAAAGAGAAGAAACACACCACCTCCTCGTGGAAAACGGTCAACATATTCAAGTACAACACTTTCAAATCCATCTCATAATCAACTACTTATTAGCTAATGATTATTATCTGGAATAAGTTTGATAACCCTTTCACCAGTGTTTTTTTTTTTTCATCCATAGAAACTGATCACAGCATTCGACAGCCTCCGCATTCAAGCAGACGCTGATCAGGAAGAGATGAAGAGAGGTTTTGTTAAACTTTTGGACATGATTATTTGGCTTTTCACTGTAGTTGCTCTAGAAACTTAAAAAAGTCTCAAATAACACAAAGGTTAAAGAAAAAAAAGGTTTTATTAAACAAAATAACTAACCTGTTTTCTTGGTTCTTTCTAGTCAAAGAGGGCTTGCAGCAGTTTGAGATCTTCAAAGAGAAATGTAAAGAAGAAAACGACATGAAAGAAAAGGAGGTAAGTTCAATAAAACTTGTTTATATCTTCTTCTATGGGACATTAATGTAAAAGCAAGTTTATAAAAACACCTTTAAAATAACAGTCAGCAGCTCTCCAAACTAAACTCGGGGAGAAGGAGAAAGAACTACAAAAGACCTCAACTGACTTCTGTGAAACCCAGAAGTACTGCAAACAACTCGAAGACACAAAAGGTAAGATCATCATGTCTTTCAAGATGAGACGACCTTAATTTTGTTTTTCACAATTTTCCAAAGGCAGTTATGATTTTACCTCTGTTTTTTTTGCCTACCAAACTTATGTCTTCTTTTTATTTATTTGCTAAACAACAAATAAAAAAAAGGTTTGATCAACCTTAGCTCAGGTATTGACATGTCAACTGAACAATCATTTAATGTATGTCATGATAGTTCTTAGTTTGTGTGATGTGCCTCAGCAACTTGAACAAAATGACAAATATGTGAACTGAAAATGATGAGTTTTTATTCAATTTGTGCCAAATTTACAGATAAACAAAGTGAACTTCTCAAAAACTCAGAAAATAAGGTGAAACGTCTCCTTCAAAAACTGCAGACTGTGGAGCAGTGCTTTAAAGACACTGAGGTGAGTGTGATAAGATTCATGGAACGAAGTGAAACTTGAACTCACTGGGTGCTGCCCTGTCTGATTAAGAAATGTCTTTCCCTCAGGAAAAACGTGAAGCTATTGCTGCAGAGCTGGAAAAAAGTAAAATAGAATATGCCGACATGATTCAAAACAAAGATTTGAGCTTGCAAGAACTCAGCAGAGTTAAAACGCAGCAGGCAGAGGAACTGGAGCAAATTCAGACAACCATTGAAGAGCTACAGAATACTGTGTCCCTGGAGAAAATGAGGTATAAGATTGAAAAGTCATAGCATTGTTCTGTCTAAACAAAAAACTCATGCTGTGATGTTCTTGATATGACTCATTCTCAAGGGCCAAAGAACTCGAGGATAAACTTGTCGCAAGCAAGGAGGAACTTGAAGGGGAGCGCACACTTTTAGGTAACTTTTTGAATTCAGTCTGCTGAAATTTTAGTGTCTGCTGTGGGAAATCGGAACAAAATGTTTAAATTGACAGGAGAAACCGTGGAGCAGAGCGCAAAGAAAGATGGACAGATCCAAAGCCTGGAGGATGAACTTGTAAGTTGTAGCTTATTGTATTCTACGGAGCATAATCTTTGCTGAAAGAAACTTTCTCTAAGACACTTTGTTCTTAGATCCAAAAATCAAAGTCTGTTGAGTCCATGAAAAGCGAGATTAAAACAGCTGAGGACAGAGTGAAGGAGCTTGAAGCTGATCTTTTGAAGAAAAATGAAGAAGCGCAGCTGTTGAAGGTAATTTGAATAAGAGTTTAATCCATATGCTAATAATAACACCTGAAAGTATATGACACAGGTGGCCTTTTATTGGATGCAGAATGAAGCAGATCTTGCTCTTGCTGAAAATGATCTCCTGAAGAAGACTTGTAAAGCTGCTGAAAAGGAACGAGAGGATTTGGAGGAGAAATCAGCAGTCGCAGAGGTTACTATTGGCTTTTGATTTTCCTCCTACTCTCACACGTTGTTGAGCGAGATGAATAAGGAAGCATTTGTTTAAAAGGTGCAGTGATACAGTACATAGCTTCTCAACATCCTTGATTTTGATATCCCCTCAGATCGAAGCGCAGGAGCTGGAACAACAATTATTTTTGGAGAAGAAGAAAAATGAAGAACACACCTCCCAGATGGAGGCACTAAAGACAGACATCACACAGTCTGAGTAAGTTGTTATTGCCTGCCACTTTATACTTTAAGTATGCATGATAGCATATTGTAGTTTTAATGTCTTGTGTATAATTTATGTCATTTTTAAGAATAAAGTACGCAGAGCTGTTGTCAAACTTTAATGGGCTACAATCTGAGAAGAAGGCCGTTCAACAGCAGCTGGAAAGTGGATCTTCTAATGTTGAAGCTATTAAGGCAAACATTAAGGTCTGCATTATCTAATCAAATATGAAGCATCATTTCCATGAATGCCGCAGCTGTTTACTATATCATATGGTATTTTATACATTTGTGTCATTTAGGTGAGCGAAGAGAGAGCCTTGAAGCAGATGAGAGAAATCCAAAAACTGGAAAAAGAAAACCAGTGCTTGAGGTGGGTTAACCCTTACAGGAGTTTTGAGACTGTATTTTTCAAACCTTAACATATATATATTTTTATTCAACAGAGAGGAATTAAACACAATTACAACCAAAATCCAAGGGAAACATGAGGAAACCGAGACCCACCAGAAGACACTTGAGGAAAAAGTAAGCACGCTGACTCTACGGGTTATTGAAAAAGGAAGGATTCAGAAAAATACTTTAAGGTCAAAGAGTTTAATAATATTGTGTTGTGCATAGTGTGAACATTTGCAGGAGGAAATAACAGAGAAAGAAAAACAAATCAAGGCTGTGGAAACTAAGGTGACTCAAACATTGTGAATGAAATGAAATGGAAAATGCTGTGATCCTGTCAGGAAGTAACAATATTGTTTGTCTCTTTGTTTTTTAAGCTGTGCAATCTTAGGAAAAAGTTTGAACTCAAACTTAGAGCCAATGAGGAATTCCAGAGAGAGGTTTGTAAGACATTACACCTGAAGACACTGAAGGCGATGGTTTCCTTCCTTATTTCACTAAAAATTCACTTGTAAACTTTCAGAACAAAACCCTTAAGAAACAGATCGCCAAGGAAACTGCAAAGTCCAGTGAGCTTGAAATTGAGGTATAGGAACGTTTCTTTTTTGTTTTTGTTTTAATTTGAAATGAAAAAGTTTAAGGCCTTTTTCAGTATGGACCTGTATGATTATTTTTTTTTTCTGTCTAAAGATGAACAGTATTTATAAAGAGTCTGAAAACCTAAAACAAGTGAATGAGGAAGACCATCAGAGACTGCTGAAGGACCTTGAATCCAAATCAACCACTGTAGCAGAGCTTGAGAATGAGGTTATACATTTTACATGGTGAAAACAAATGTAAGATAAAAGAGCACAGAGAGTTTCTGAATAAAAAGAAATAACACCTATCTCTCCAGGTTGAAAAGCTCAAATTGTCGACAGCTGAGGCCATAAAGAGCAAGGAAGATGCAGAACTCAAGTGTCAACACAAGATAGCAGATATGGTTGCACTCATGGAGAAACACAAAGTAAGACTATTGTGAATATGAAGGTTTACTGTTGGAAAATGCTCACTCATAGCTGCATTGTCATTTTAAACGCTTGTTACAGTTAAAGAAATGTGACCTCTTATTTCTAGGGCCAGTGTGACCGGATGGTGGAGGAAAAGGATGCCGAGCTTGAGGAGAGCAAACAAAGAGAAATGGAGGCTGTTGCCCAGAAGAAATCACTGGTAAAATGCTGTCCATCAGAACATTGATACTAGTTATTCTAAGAAATGAGAGAGGAATTGCACTACAGCCTAATTTTGCATAACCTTTTATTTCAAATTCAGGAGGTGGATCTTTTAAAGAATAAGACAGACAACGCTCAGCTGAAGCAACAGCTGAAGACCGAAGTGACACAGAAGGTAAACTGCATTTATATTTGAGTCAGTTTATTTTGAGCTTCTGACTGGAGCAGAACATAGTTTGTGATTTCAGAGGCTGTTCATATTTTGGAAAAAAATTTCTCTGCTATCAGGCAAACCTGCAGAAGGAACTGACTGATCTGAAGAAAGACACGCCATCAGTGAAAATCGCTCAGTCGTCTGAAGTGAGAAACAAGCAGGTACAACATCTATAGATGAGCAAATAGACGACCACTAATGACGTGTTTTGTTATCTTAACTGACATTTCATCTTGAAATTCCAGTCTCCTGCTTTAAACTATACACCAGGGAAATTTTCAAATACTCCAAAAGAGACAAAGAGACATCTCTTTGACTTCTCCAGGAGCAGAAAAAATCACTCCATCAGCAATGGCATGAGGAATGATGTGAGTTTAACCCTATAATTTTTTCATCTGTTACTCGATTTAGAGCATCACCACATCTAAAAATCAAACCTTTAACCTCAATGTTGTATCTTCATGACTTAATTCAGAAATATACTTTTTTCTCTTGAGTAAATGTGAAGCAGAGAGATTCAGCTTGTCAAATCTTGTCAAATATAAAATGAATGCTTTATACAATGCAAACCTCTGCAGGCAATAGCTGAATGTACACGCGATTCTTCTCTGTTCTCATGAGACTCGTTTCATTACAGTAGCTTTATGTTTTTTTCACAGGATCAGGAATATGATGTTGAATTCATCAGGACAGCCAACGGACCAACACCAAAGACTCAGGTGGACAATATTTCACTTGTTTGGAGGAAAATGTTGACTGGCTGTTGTAATAATGTCTATGATTAATATGCAGATGAGTTTGTATTCTCTACTGCTGTTGATCTGTTTATACTACGACGTACTGATTCTCATTTTGTTTTAAAGGAAATTCAAAATGGAGACCTGAAAAACCCACTAAGTCTTCCAAAGAGCGCTGGAAGATCATCAAAGATCAAAGTAATATCAGGTTTCATTGAGACGTTCTCTAAAAAAGTGATTGAATATTGACTCTTTAAATTCCTCTGCAGTCCTACAGAATAAGAACACCCCCTTCTACTCAGAAAGGAGCAAACTGGAGGAAGACCACCATCGAGCTTGACCCCAAGTCTGACAGCTCTGAACTCAATGATCATCTGGTGAGTCCGTTATACCCTCCACTCTTTGGACTTCATTCACTCAGTTGAGTGAGAACACCTTGAGAGATACTGTTTCTGATTCTTATTTTTCCATTCTTGACAGAATTTTGGAAGTGCACTGCCGTCCAATTTTCCTGCTCCATCCAGCAAACTCGACATCTTGAATAAGGTAACATAAAAATACTGCAAGGCTGTTTGAAAATGATATTTAGAGAATCAAAGTAATTCCTGGTCATTTTGATCCAATAAGATCCAGAGTCCAGCCCCTGGTAAATCACCGGGAAACTGCCTGAAGCTAGCTGCAATCAAAAGGATGAGAGATGCTGGTTGGACGGCTGTTACTGGCTGTGACAGTAAAAAGAAGAAGACTGTTGAGAAGATCTTTGCATAAACAGGCCCATTACAGGTTAGGTCTATAAGAATAATCACACTGTTTCACATGTTCAGATGTTCAGTTTTTTAATATAAAATGTAGAAATATAGTACCAGAAGGAATGAAATGCAATGTAATTTGATACAAAAAGCAAAGCTGTTTCTTGAAGTACAGTGAAAATGTTGTAATGAACCATCTACACAGTCGTAACAGTTGACGGATGTAAGAGTTCGTATTCCTGCAGTTTAAGCAAGCAAGTTTGTTTGTTATGTTTTGTTTGCGGTTCATCTTTGATTGTATTTTTAGGTACAGTTAAAGTAACTGAGTCACCATATTTGCTTTTCAGTAGCTTTACAATTGGTTCAGGTTTTGTTTGTGTAGACCGTCACTGGTTCGATGTAATCCTATTCATTCTTCACAGATTTATATTGTTGGGAGAAAGGGTTTCTGTTTGGATATAGCTACCTGATGTATTCTCGTAACAGAGGTGAAAGTAAAAGTATTGTTCAAATCCATCAGTATTGTCTTTAAATGAATCTTCTGCATATTGACCGTGCTGGTCAAGCACCAAAGCTGCCATTTCAAAATAAGAGCTCCGTTCTCCTCAGTGAAGGAACTCCAGACGGAACTGAGATTGTTCATTTGAGGCTGTCGCTGCATTGTCGTTTGTAGGATGGCCATCATAAAGTCCGCCAGAAATTACAAGCGAGTCTTCATCTGCCTCAAGTCCATCTGTTTAAATTTTTAAAGAGTTAATGAATAGATAATGATTAGTTATGAATAGATTAGTTTGTTGATAATGTGTAAGGGGGGGGTCTTCTTACCTGCGTCATCAGTGTTGGTCAGAGGTTGGTGCAAGTATTGGATTTTGTGTTTACATCTCCGAAACACGAACAAAACCAGAGCCATGACAAACACCAAGAGAATCACACTGAAGAGAACAGTCATACTCATCTCCGATTTGTCGAGGCCCAAACCTACAAACACAGAGAAGATTTTCAAAATAAAAGCCACTTAAATGATACTTATATACAATAAACTACAAGTCTGACAGCGTCTGAAAACGAACATTTAAAATAGATGATTACCTGGTGCAGTTCTGTTCAGTGAGTGTGAAGTTGTGTTGACAGTGCGAGGTGGACTAACTGTTATTACTGTGGTTTCAGATGAATTTTTGTGACTTCCTGTGGTCTGCTGTGACAGTGTTGTTCGTGCAGTAACTGTTGGTACGTGTGTTGTCAGTGAGGTATGATTTTTTCCTGTAGCAGTAATGTTTTTTGACGGAGTCAGCTGGAGATGAGTTGTGCCCTCAGGTGTTGCTGCTGCTGCTGGAGTTTTGGTGATTGTGTCATTGCTCTGAGTCAAGTTTGAGTCAACAGTATCCGCAGTCGAGTTGACCGTCACAGCTGTGCTCGTCAAGTTTAAGCCCTTTGTTGGTAATGGAGTTGTGACAGTCAGATTCCCCACATCTTTTTGAGCCACAACAAAAGACAGCGCCAAGAAGTAGCAGGTGAAGGTGACAAAGGTGATCTCCATGGTCTTCATGTTCTGAACTGAAAAACAAAGCAAAAATTTAAAACCCTGTAAAATCACTTTTTCTTTATCCTGAAGTTTATTCTCAAAAAACATCTGAATTCAGAGCTCCAGATATTGTTACAACATAAAAACGATAATATTTTGTACATTGTGTTTAAATCTTTTCTAAGTAGGTCGTATGTACTGACTTCTTAAAGATTACACTAACATACGTGCTGCAGGAAATGACTTCAAACACTCAACACCACTGTGTGCGTTCTGAGACATTTCAGGAACTGCTTACTCTGATCTGTTGAATTTAGGTCAGTGGAAACTTTTCTGACTATCTTCCAAGTGAAAGCTAAACTAAACCCAACAAAGTAAATTATGATAAAAACACATCGTCACTGTACAGTGTTTATAAAAAATCTGCTCACCTTTGATGGTATCAGTTAAAACAGCATCGTAGTTTACCTCCCTCGTGTGTGTGTGCCTCCATTTGACAGTAAACAATCACTTCCTGCAAACCGACGCAGCTTCAGGCCTGATTTGCTTTCACACTGGCAGGTAAAAGTGGGCAGGCCAGTTCTCTGTCAACTTCCTCTTTTGTACGTTGCCAAGGAGACAAAGAAAAATGTTATTAAAGAGACCGAAGCTCAATTAGTCTCTATCAGTCCCTCCTTTACTCTTCAGATTTCACAGCCGTGAGCTGAAGAGACGCCTTGTAACAAAAGAGAATCAACCGTGCAGTAAATTGATTTTTGATGTCCTCAATATTATCCTGTTCTGTGTCTCACGTACATACCAAGGTCACACTGTCAGGGAGGTCCTGTCTGACAAGGAGGAACTTGAAACTTCCCCGGCACTTGTGTAAGTGTGTTTTCAGTCAACACGGTCGAGCTTTGTACAAAACATTTATTAACACGTGGAATTTGTGAGCAATTTATACAGGTAGTAAATAAAGGGTGCACAATTTCCATAGAAAAATAATCAAGTCATACACAAACATGACAAAACAATTGGTCTTTGTTCCTTTAAAACAATAACGCAGTCGTACCTATGGTAAAATAATAAACTCTTCTGCTGTGTGAGCATGAGGCGGAGGACGACAGTGTTCAGGTGGAGAAGAGAGAGCTAGCAGTCACTATGAGGAAGAACAATGGAACAAAGGGTAATCAAAGTGAAGCTGTTGGACCACGTAAGAGCTGCTGAGCAGGAAATGGGAGCGGTTCAAACAGTATAGAGCAAAGGAGCATGAGGCCTTTGTGTTTATGTTGTATGACTTTTCCCTATTGTTCATTTGGAGCATTACAGCAGCTGTTGTTGTCTAAGACATGATGCAGTATGTTGTCATTACATGTTTTTGTTTCTTCTGTGTTCTCAACAACATCATCAGGTCACGAGGAAAAACTAGAAACTAAAATTAAAATCTTGTGAACTTTAGTTCCACTAGTGTGAGGAATTATCCCTATGTGCTGTTTTTGTAAGAAATCATCAAAAATATTCTACATGATGATAAAACCGAGATAAAAAAAAAACATTGTTGAAGTAGCAGCAAAACAAGAGTGATGTTATATATGTGCATATACAATTTAACAGTCTCCATGAATGAAATGGGGGAGGGGGGTTATCTTATACTATAGCAGCATTAGAGTCTGGTGGATTTTTCAACGTCTGAATTCATCAGCTCTGAGTCTTTGACCCCCAGATTGTCAGCACCCATGTAGAAGTCTGTGGCATTCTTTTCTTGGACCTCCGATTCCTGTAAGGAGTCGAGGAAACGGCAAAAGAATTAATAACATAGCAAAAAGTTTAGCTAGTGATACTTCCTTGTGATGTTTTTGTTTTTTTATTTACCTCTGGTTTACTGAACCAGCTGAAGCAGATCAGGTCACTCTTCTTCACAAACAGATCAGGGTTCATCTTCTCTTGTTTGCATCCACCTGATAAGAAAAACAAAACGCTCCTTAATGTAATCCTTTTATGACGGACTGATATTATAGTTTTGAACACATGGACCATGCAGGTATCAGGTAAAATAATGTCTCACTCTCACCTGTGATCATGCTCACCACCAGGCCAGATGCCATTGTAGTCAGCATGCCCAGAAGAGAGAGGTAGACGTAGGACAAAGAATACCAGGAGTCTGCCAAGGCTGGTCTGACACTGACATACAAAGGACATCATTAGTTCATCTAAAGTTCTCTCTTTCATGCTCAGCTACCTGTTCAACCCACAAAATGTCCAAATACATCTTTGTGAAGCGACTTTGACCCGTCATTTAGTTTACAATGTCATAAAACAGAAAAAAAGTACAGTGTTTGCTGCAGATTTGCTCTCTTAAGTTTAAGTCAATTTTCTGTTTTTATTCTACATTTCCAAATGATAAAACTTATTTGCTTCTCTCCCGCTCACGGTGATCATAATATGTGTTTTGGTTACAGCGTATGGATCTTTATGTAGTGACTCACTCTGGCTGTGTTGGTGCTGGACTGAGCCATGGAGGAATCGTTGTGCTTTGACCTGTTGTGTAGTTGCAGCCTACAGTGGTAAGGGGCAGGGGTAAGGTCTTGTCAGTGGTTGGTGGGTAAATCTGGCCTCCAATCCCCACCCACAGAGTCAAAACCAGACCAATAATCATTCCCACAAGTCCTCCCTGCAAAGCAAACATCACAGGATTGAAATACTTCCTGGTTTTGTCACACTTGTTTGTCCATCAGTTTGTGTTGTAAGAAGTTGCAGCAGGACTGTTGCTGAATGTTCCGGTAACAGGAAATACTCACCACTGAATTTGTTGTGCGGAAAAGCATGCCTAATAGGTAGAGACCGAGAAGGGGCCCACTGATCATGCCAAATATAGACAGGGCTGCCTAAAAAGAGCGGAGACCATGAGGGGGCTTGTAGTTCCTTGTGTTGAGCTTTAGGTGGTGCTGTTGAGTAAGAAATGACTGCAGCTTGTTGGTAAATGGTGTTACCTGTAAAATGCTTCCCATCAAAGAAGCAACTCCAGCCATCCCGATACAAAGCGCACCGAAGAAAACACCTGGAGATGTCAAAATGATGATGTTAAAGTGAGGAGTGTAGATTTACATGTTCTGTGTTTGTTTATTCAAGGCTACAAGAGCATTGTCATTTCATGAAAAATGTTTGCTGCAAATTACTAATATGTTCATATATTTCCCAAAGAGGCAAATGCCTATCGAAAGAGTTTGCAGGGTGTTAAAAAATAACACAGAAAGGGTTTGATATATCTTATTGGGAATCGAGTTCGATTGTTGCATCAAAGGTTATATAGTCATCTTTATAATTTGTTCAATAAGCACCATTGGACCATTGCAAAAGCTGTTACTACAGTGTCAGTGTGACCCAAACTTACTAAGTCACTATCATTATTATTACTCTTAGATGCATACAGGTCTAAAGTATAAATACAGGTACAATATATACATGTTGTTAGAGCTCAAGTGTGTAGAAATGAGAGTATAACACAATAGTGAGAGGTCCAGTTTTAGATTAAAATGCTCCCTCCTGTTGGTGAAGTAACTGGCCTTTTCAGACCAAGATGTTCTTGTAACAGAGAATGAATATGATTCTCTACTCGCCAAGTTTGTGTTATAAAAAAACAGATGACTCATAGTTTTTTGGAGCACAGACACTGTCTTCCTCTTCATCCTGTAACTGGCGCATTTTGCAAATACAAAACTGCATACCCTAGTTTGTCCACTCTGTGTTAACATAGAAACATGGAGGTGCGAGATAGCAGCCTCGGTGCAAGAGGATCCAGACATTTAAAGATATAAAAGGATCATCCAAGGTTAACGAAGTAAAGTTATTTCTACCGAGTCTGTTTTACTGATGGCAGTTACCCAAACTTGGACCGCCAGCCTTTGTCTGGGGCTCGGTCACATTCACAGTTGGCACAAGATCCACAAAAAGTCAAAATTAGTGGATTCTGCTCTGATATTTTTTATAAGCAATTCTTGGACCCGTCCCTTCTAAGTTTCTTTTCTTCGTACCGTCAGATTTGAATGTTGGAAAAATGTGTAAAAATTGTCTTTGTTTCACTTTTTTAAATGTAAGCTTTAAAATCATTTGCAGCCTGCAGAATCACACCTTTGATTCATGTCAGAACGAGGTTAAAGAAAAGGTAAACTGTATCTGCGGTTCTTATTTCCAGAGATAATAGAGTCACGCCCTTTATCCTGGAGGAGAAGGTCAAAGAAGCTCCTGTCTGTGCTCCAACCTGTTTTTTTTTTTCCTCTGCTTCTTTTTAATTCTTATGCAATCATTGGCATGTTTAATCTATCCACTGTATTAATGAAATGCTCCCTGTCAAAGCTATCATGTCTTAGCTTGTGCAGTTAAACCGAAAGAAATAATAGAACTCTGTAAGATAAGAAGATAACTGTGATGACTGATGTTTGTAGAGAGGAATGAGAGTCATTCAAGAAACTGACAACTGGTATTCATAATCAGATGCACTGTCAACAAACACCTTTAGCCTTTTTCTCCACAAATGTCAAAAAAGAGTTTAACAAGATTGTTCTTAAGAAAGTTTTGAACAGAAGTAACTCTCTTTGCGACAGCAGTAGTCAGCGGCCTTTAACCTTCTTATCTTCAGACCTCTGTGATGACTATACAAACACTTTCACACGACTCACTCAGGCCCATGTTCATCCAGGTCGTCTGTTTCTGTGTGAGGTTTTTGCACACAGGAAGAATAAAGTCCTCCACGGTGACAGCAACCAGGGCGTTAATGCTGGAGGACACCGTGCTGAAAAGAATGAAACAGTGGACTTTAAGACATTTAAAAGAACAGAGACTAAAATTTTAGGTTCATTTTAGATTAGACTGATCTCAGGCTGCATGCAGATCTAGGCGTCCCTTGTCATGTGCACAAATAAAAAATATTGTGGTCACTATAAAAATATGAATGCAACAACAGTTTATTTGGACATCAGTGCAGCAGTGAAGTGGACTTTTCTGAGGAAGAATTGCACAGGTATTTCCTGCTAATCCTTTCCTTATCACTGCATCTTATCTCCCAGAGTGAAGAGATAAAATGTCAATAACATTTTCAAACTATTTTTCCTCAGTTGTTCCAGGCCTCACCTCAGGGTACCGCTGTATGCAGCTGCCACAAACAAGCCAGGGATTCCAGGGAAGACTGCCAGAATATCCATCACCAGGTAAGGCAGAAGCTGGTGCACAAATATTTACCGAATTAACTTCTGACTGTCATCAAAAGTTACATAACCGGTTTTTTGCACATCATCCGTCTGATGCAAGTAAAGAGAGAATTGCAGCTGAAGTTACCTGGTCTGAGGTGGTCACGTCACCGTTTGTAAGCGGGTCACAGTTCTTGTAAATGGAGTACATTGTGAGGCCAGAAAACACGGCCAGACTCACAGTCACCCACAGGCCGACCATGTTGACATACAAAGACCTGAGAGGTGAAAGAAGACCTGTCAGGACATGAACCGTCCCTCACAGCCTTTGATTACTGTCTGTATTGCTATGCAGAAACACTTACATCTTGGCGTGTCCCAAAGTTTTGCAAGAGATGTATCTCTGCACCTGGGACTGGTTGATAGAGTAGATAGACGTCCACATTATGCTGCCGCCGATGACTATGGTCCAGAAAGTGTGGCGTTTCAGGGGATCAGGGTCAAAACTGTGATTAAAAAGGGAGAAGGGTTGGGGTTAAGGGAAAGTATTGAAGAAAAGGCATCAGAAGTATAAACTTAAGTGTGACCTGAGAGGACATAAGTGAAGCATGAGTCATTTAACTCAGCGATTGTGCAAAAATGTTTTTCTGGTGAAGTGTTCTTCCTGTGAGAGCGATAAAGAAAAAAATGACCCTTTTATTGATGACCACATTTCCCTTCTGTTACAATCATCAGTTAAATGTTTTAATACTGTGTTCTGGGCTGCCACTCAAATAAAAAACAGTTAATAATTAGTGAAAATGAAAAAGACATCAGGCCATTGAGTGAGGTAAAAGAACATTTTAACAACCTGTTGGCTACCATAAGACAACACCCAGTCTTAGTCAATATTAAATTGGCAAAGAACTGACTGAATACAAACTGCGTATGTTCTTACACAGTATGATACTAAAGGTGTGCTGCAGATTCCTAGATTGTGGTGACATTCATACTGCATGAGTCAAAAAAGACATGAGTGTACATTTTACTAGGTTATGTTTATTTAGGAAACATTCTTCACTTTCTAGACACACATGCTTCTTGTTTCCAGGTTTGTAACCCTGAAGTAATTGGGACAGTTATAAGAGAAACCAACTGTAGAACGAAGATTTAACTAAATGATTTAAACTCAGAAAAAAATATTAATCTGGCATAAATCGAATGTTTAGCCATGTGACTCAGCATGTTTTCTCCGGTTGGGTGGTGAATTTACATGTTCTGTTCAGTAAACAGAGCAAACACTTTAAACTATTTATTGATTTATCCATCCATAAAGGATCAATCAAGTTGCATCTAAGCTAATCTTTGATCTAAATGGCCTTCCTGATCTGGGAGGCTCCACATTCAACCACAGAAAAGTGAGACATACAGGTACAGTAGCACCACACCCAGAACGACACAAACACAGTTCACTGTCTTTGAGAGAAGAGGGGAAAATTCATCAGCTGACTTTAGAGTTATTCATCAAAATGGAGTCTTTTAAATGCAGTTGAAGTAACACTATAAGGGATGTGATTTTTACGTTAAATGTACCTCATAGTTCATCCCATAGTTTCCCCATAATTTTATTAAATCATTGCTTTTTAAATTAGAAAGGTTTTTTTAGACTGGCTTTCTTGATGCAGTTTAAAACCTTGAATACTGTCAAGGTTGAAGAAGGCAGAACAGCATTCCCTCTAAGATCGATATCAAAGCGGAACAGCTGCCGTGTGAATATCCAAAGGTGTGGGAAATGTATCTTCAGACTAATTGCTCTGACTCAGGAAGCCTCTCCCTCCTCTAACACGACTTCCATCCAATCCCTGCTAACACCAACCCGTTCGTGTACTCACTCAAACGCCTCAAGTCTTCCTCCTTGACGTGCATCTTCCCAGATGTTGGTCAGGCCTCCCTGTAGTACAGCTCCTCGAGCGATCACAGCCACAAAGCCCGCCAACATGATCACCATCTGCATCACGTCAGTCCAGATCACCGCTTTCAGACCGCCCTGAAACCAAATCGATGGAAGGAGCTACTTTATCATTTCCAGTTATGTTTGTTAAAATCCATCTTATTGCACGAGAGTTCAGATCAGACATTTGTCTTTATCACAGTCTCGTAAATAAAAAAATAGGAACACTTAACATGTAAATTGGGCATTAAAGCCTTTAGGATTTCAGTCAGCTTGTGCACATTTTGCCCTTATTGTTTATTGTTTGATCTGTTGATTATACAGTTACATATCTTGCTTTTGGACGTCCTCTGCACTTACCAAAGTGCAATAGAGGATGCACACTGCTCCTGTAGCCACCAGCACTCCCCACAGATCAAGTCCTGTGACTGTATAACACACAAAATGATTCAGATGCCATGATTCTCAGATATCAAAATAAACCAGCTGAGCCAAAGAAATGTGAAGGTTTAGTTAGTCTTTGTCAAATCATCCCTGACGTCTGTTATTTATCTGAAGATTAACATTAAAGACAGAAAGAAAGGCGTATCTCTGAACAACTCTATCAGCAGTTCACAAACTCTGTTATCGGAACAAAAGCAAAGATAAATGTAAACAGATAAAACAGAACACTTTGTCACTGAGATGAACTCGGAGTTTATGAAGTTATAGTCAAGAAAGGCTTGAATAAACACACCCCCATAATTCACAATGAACAGAAGTGCTTCAGGATCATGATAACACTGTACAAAATAACTTTTTTTAATCAAATTTATAACGACTCATCTGAACTTACTCTGATTTAGTGCAAGAGCTGGTGCGTAGATAACCAAGCCGGTGTACAGAGCCTGAGCAAAGGAGTCACCATTAGTTAATTACATGTGGAAAAATAAACAGCGGTGTGATTCATATTCATCTTTTTGGACAATGACATGATGTTGCATGAAGTCAAAAAGGATGAGGAGGTTCTCTTGCGTCTTTACTATGTTAATATGAAGTCTTTCCATACTGTATGATTATTGTACGTATTTACTAAATCAGTTTGGAAGGAGCACGTGTTAGTTACCGTTTGCACGATGTACATTGTTGTTCCAATTATTCGAATAGGCCGGCTGAAGCGCAACTCCAGGTACTAGAAATAAAAGAGACATTTAAGACATGATCAAAAAGATGACAAAACAAATCAATAAAACTTAGTTTTTCGGGCGTGTTTCTCTATTTTGGACTTTAGACTTCCCTCACGTTTTAAAGGAACACCTTTGTAGCTGCTGGAATCTGGACAACCTTTTATCACCATGAACCTTTGTTCATTAATGCTGTAGCCTTCTGGTTTAACATGTTTGCAGTCTTGATTTTTACATTTTTAGTTTTTGCTCTGATCAGCCAATATTCAGTTAATACACTGAAATGAATCTGACGTCTCCATACCTCATAGGCACTGGTGATGGCCAATCTGTAGAAGAGCGGGACGAAGATCTCTGCAGTGATGGTTGACATGATGGCATAGGAGAAGCCGAAGAGCCAGAACGCAGCTCCAAACCGGTAAGCCTCAGCCGGTGTACCAATGACTGTGATTCCAGACATGAAGCTCGCGGTAAGTGACATGGCGACTGGCACAGCTGTCATTTGCCGTCCACCCAACAAGAACTCTGCACTGCTGGTCTCCTTTCGACCTCTGATAGCCTGGAAAAGGCCGATGCCTGCAGCAGCTATGATAGTTCCAGCAAATACGACATAGTCCCACACAGAGAAAGTGGCCACTGGACCACCTGTGCCCACCATGGTTAGTTCAGCCGAAGAAGTGTCTGTATTATGTAAACTTGTTCTTCCCTCTAAAATATCCTTCAACTCTTCTCAAGTCTGGTTGTAAATACCGCAGTATTAATGTGTCATTATAAACCTTCAGGAAAGAAAAAACTCTGAAGTATTCAGGCTTAGAGTCCTCTGTTTTCCCTCAGCCCTGTCTGCCTGATAGACGAACAATGAGATAGTTTAACTCAGTTCCTGAAGTGTCAGGAATCCTGTGGACTGTGATGCTTTTGGGAGTCTATAAAGATTAGTTCACTTTGGTTAATAATCCATCAAGGACGCACTGAAGTCAGCCATAATTTCAGTTCCTGTCAAAGGTCTTGATGCTGTGGCATGTGTGAGGTTGTGTCGTTCTTCTTAAGCACAGCAGAATCCTTTGTTATCAAGAAGATCCATCCTTTTAGGAAATCTGGTGACACAATAACACATCCAGGACGGATCTTTAGAGTGTTCAGCTCCGGGTCACCCAGAAGTCCCAGCAGGGATATCAGGAGACTGGGCAGGTTGGACAACAACTGCTTCTATGACATCTTCGTATGTGTTACACATGATTACTGCTGCTTTTCTTAGCTTTACTGTATCTGTGGTTATCTCTGCAGTGGAGTATATACAGGGACATGCCATTTATATTTAAAAAGTAAGAAAAAAAGAGGGTTGAACCTGCTGACATGGGCCTTTTCTTTAAGTATGATATATAAGTAATCTTTTAAGTCGTTTTTTGTTGTTTTTTCTCTGGATTTGGTCTTTCCTAATTGACAGAGCAATAAGGTCCAGTAAAAGCTCAGAGAGTTAATGTAAAATGACACTTACTGTTAATGTTTGTAAAGGTTGAGTTAGAGCAAAGGGAAAGCAATGAGCCGCCAAATGGACATTGAACTTACACTATTCTGTTTATGTTTTCATTGTATTGTAATGTTCACTGAAAGATTAGCTCACTACTCCTGAATGAAAACACGTGGTTCGTCAGGTGGAGTTGAGGTGAAGGCCTAAATCACAAGAGGAGTTCTGCAATCCGAAAGGTAAATGACCTATCTCAGGCTTATGTCATTTCAGCTACCATGCTCCCACAGCACTCTTGAAGCCTCCTCCGCCATTGCCATGCTACAAAATAATCGTCATCATTGAATAAACCGGTGTCTCTTCATTCGGAACAACAGATTATGAAATATATTTATATGTGTTGGAACCATAGACTGTATATAGAATAGTCGCTGTCTGCCTCCTCGCTGATTGATGCCACCGCAAGAACAGCACCCTCTAGTGACAGGCTGCAGTATAGGTCATAAACCCCGCCTCCTTATGGAGCTGTGGACAAACTTTATAAATGAATGACACAGAATATAAATGTTTCTCCCCCCTGGTTGTGATGTTGACATTTAGTTACTGTCAGACTGGTTTGTGTTCAAGTCCTCTTTTTTCTGTACAGCTCAGTTTTTAAAAGTTATTAGGGGGTTCATGTTTTCTATGATTGACACTTGATACAGCCTATTGGCGTACGAAGATTGCGTAGCTCACCGTGAGGATACGCTGTTTGAGCCGAGCGTCATCAGTCTATGGTTGGACCCCAGAGTTGGCTTTGAATGTTTGGAAAGGGAACAAAGAACAGAGCAGAATGTGTCTGTCGGCTAAGTGTAACATCTATTATGCCCTTATAAGGTCATTGACCAACTGTTGATGTCACAAATTGAGCAGACTTTTTGAACAGCCTGCAGACTCATCCTGGGATCACTCAAACACACATTTACCACATAATCTAAATAATCTAGTTTTGACATCAATATTTTGATTTAAGATTTATTCATATTTATTAAGTAAAGGTAATCCTGCCTCTTTAACTGCACAGCTGTGTCTCATGTTGACAGTTATAAAAACCTATAGAAGTCTTTGTAGTCTGGCAGTGTTGGTGTAAAATGATTGCAGTATCCCCACAGCTGATATCAGTGTCTGCAGTTTGTGTTTAAAGCCCGAGATACGAGTTTGGTTGCAGTTTTATTTTCCTCCCTATCACAGTAGATTAGATAATCTCCAGCTTTGATCGTTTCCTGCCTGTGTTCATTGGGCTTGGACTGTGACCGTTGTGAATTCAATCAGTCATCTTGCTGACTGGTATAAATTTCTGTAAGCAGCAATGCATGAAGCAACATTTAGGAGCCCAAATGATCATGATGTGTTGGTACTGGAAGATGAGTTAATTTTTATCCAAATGAAGAGCACATTATGCTCGTATTGGACCGTGACAAAGAGTTTATGTGAAACAAATTGTTCTTTTCTCTCAAGCAGTGTTGAAGCTTTTGTGCGATTCCTGACATCTAGCGGTCAGAGTGATTTTAAAAGAGGCTGGAGCAGATCCACGGTGTCACTTTCCTGAGTGACTGAATTGTTATTGTTCCTGAAGGGGAATCATTAATTCATGTCATTCACCTAATGGACTAGACGATCAGGCGCTCGTTTTCATCATCGATTGGAGATAACTGCTACCATGGATGAAGAGGGATTAGACAGAGTTCACATAAATACCGTTCAAGGGTGGTCATCCTCATTGCAAGAACAAGACCTGCAAGAACAAGATCTCCTGAGCAGGTGAGTCCACATGTGAAAATGAAGAAACACGATTAAACTTTGGATATTTCCTTTTTTGTTTCCTGGTCAACAGCGTTTTTAACGTTCCTCTTTCTTTTTTAAAAGTAGGTTTCAAGTCGTAAAAACTGAACATGAAGAGTTCAGTGTTCACCTGCTGGCTCCTCTTTCTGCTGTTCAGCCCAGCTGTGCCCATGTGTCTCCCCACTGAGTTCACCCTGCATGTGGAGAGACCGGAGTGTGACTTCTGTGTGGCCATCAACACCAGCATCTGTATGGGATTTTGCCACTCGAAGGTTAGTCTATTCTTTACGGTGAAATAATGCAGTAAAAAATGACAGTGGATGTTGAGAGGATGAATGATTAAACTGTATTTTTATTTCTTTATTTCACAACATGATACAGAGAAGTGTGTCTGACTTTTTGGGTTTTGTTCGCTCACAGGACAGCATCGTCAGGGACAAATACGGCCCTCCCTTCCTTCAGCAGAGCGGATGCACATATGACAAAGTTGAATACCGTACAGCAGTCCTGCCCGGCTGCCCCATCGAGGCCAACCCTGTCTTCACCTACCCTGTGGCTCTCAGCTGTAAGTGTGACTCCTGCAGGACTGACACCGATGAATGTGCACACAGAGCCAGCGGGGTGGGAGCGAGGTGCACCAAACCGGTCCGACGTCTGTACCCATACCCTGCACAGAGTAACTACATGACCCCTTTCTGATTGTTAGGATGTGATAATCTCACATTGTCTCTATCTGCATGAGTCACAAGTGTTTTAGGAAAAAGAAAAACATGACCCTTTGGCTTTTAACAGATTAATTAATAACTGCACATCCTGCTGAGTTCCTCATGGTACCAGCCTGCTCTGCTGTCCACTTGTTGTCAAACCTGTCTGTGTTGGCGCTCTGCCTCTCAGTTTACAAGGAGGGAGGAGGAGATCCTGTGCTGTGCTTTGGTGACCTTAATTAATTACCCTTGTGTAAACTCATCAATCTGTGACTCACAGACTTGTTCTGCTTTTTCTGAAAGGAATACTCTGAATGCATCTTAATTAAAGCTGAAGTCTCGAAATAGCTCTCTGCTTAAGCTGTGCTTGACTTAATCACATCCTGTGCCTGTGTCCATTCTGCTCTGTTTACAGCATAACAAACACCTACCCGCAATGTCACCTCCAGGGACTATATTTGCCGCCCACAGCAGTCACTGCAGCGCACGTGAGCTCTGACTGTCCTCATATTTTTAGAGATTATTATTAAAGAGGTCGGCCCATAAATACCGGGCGCAGTGAGGAGTCACCAAACAGTAAATCACAGGGTGAGTTTGTCCACTGTGGGGTATTTTTGGCTCTTCACAAGTAGAGTTTTGTGATTAGAGTCCCTCTCACAAAGAGAGATCTGGAAGGACAGCTGGAGTTTATTAATAGCCGCACAGGTCAAAGTAGGAGAATGTAGAACAAGTCCATCATGTGGATCTCCGTGATGTTGCTCTCACATGATTTCATTTCCCGTCACTTCAGTTTGTTACAGCATTCTTCCGTCAGCGATCACTCCTTCAGGATCTGTTTTTTGTCGTTTTTAAGTTCTTATAAAGTCTTTAAAAATTTTAAATTTTCTGATTAATATGAACTAAAATAGAGAGGACGAGATGCTGGGCTGGAGGCCTGCAGAACATCGGATTTGAAGCAAAAGCAGAGGAATGCGTTCTTAGATAGCTTTCTTTAGCTAATTAAACAAAATTTATAATATCAGTTATTTTAATTCTACCTTCAGAATCGTCTTTATGGGAGCAGGTGTGAGGGATAATCTTAATGAGGTTAAGCCGACTGTTTAAGAGGGGAGCATGGTTGGTAAACCAGTTTGTATTGTGCTGCTCTACTGTAAACAAAACAACCTAACGTAGCAGGGTTTAACCTTGCACATGGTGAGCTGACACCCTCCTGACACCAGTCGACCTTGGTATTTTTAGGGGGTGATCTTTGTCCCTGTAAGTAAGTATTCATCCAATTCTGCACTGCTTACCTTCCTCTGACCTAGATTGGCCTCAGACTGAGCTCCATAGTGGATAGAAAATTCATTAAAATTTAAAATCTACTTTATTCTTTAATATCAGGTAAAATGTCGTATTTGATCCAAACTGATGTATCTGAGACGGTATTTAAGGTGTGATTGTTCAAAGCAAATTGTAAAAATATACATTAATGAATGTAGAAGGTTAAAACGGTGAAGCGTTACTTCAACCCTGGATCCCTTCAGCCGGTCGGGCTGTAACCACCCTGCTGGGCGTTGACCTTATTTGACTCCCAAATTGTCTGACTGATATGGCACAATGGTTTGAAATGCCTTGCTCAATTTTTCAGCTCGGTGTTGTTTTGAAAACCCAAATGGATAAAGCAGTGGGTGACCTGGAATTTGCTCCCATCAGCAGTCCAAGAGGAGCAGCCATGTAGTCCACATACCGAACCCTCATTCACACAAACTGTACCGTTTTGTTTGTGTTGTGTTCATTCAGCTCGAAATAATGTGACAAGTATTTTTGCCAGATGAGCCACCCGAGCATGACAATGTTGTCTGGGGGGGGGGTTGCTGGTTGGTCTTGGCACCACTCCAGTCTAGACGGTGTGGTTTTGACTCTGATGTCTGTCTGTTGTGGTACAAAACACGTGTCCTCGAGTTTTGGACTTACTCTGTTGTACCACCAGTTTTAGTTTCTCCTAAATTTTGGCAAAACATGTGGCATCCAACATTTGTTTATCTGTATCTACATTCTCAGTATGCAAACACATTATTTAACTAGCAGTTAGCTTTCAAAAGCACTAAGCTTAGTAACTGTGCCGGTCTACATTTACCAAACTTTCATATCTGGAAAAATTAGTCTATAAACTTATTACCAAAGTACAATATTTTGCGACAGTTAACATAAACAGTCGTAAGCATTAATTTGTCCCATGCTTGATCAAACAAGTGACATTCCCAGAGTCTGTCCTTGTATATTGATGATCACTGCCAATCCTAAAATGTGTACCAGCCCTGCATGTTTCAGCTCGTCTTACCTGGATCACTGACCAAAGAACAGGCGTGGCTTTTTGACTGAATCTTGGCTCCGTTTACCAACGTTCACATGAGAGTCATGTTTATTTGACACCCCACGGACTGGTGAAAGAAAAATGCTGTGTTTTTCAGTGTTTCCTTGATCATTAAATAAGTATTATAACTTAAGAACTTTAGATTTATGTCAACTTTGGCGCCCCATGTGGACAAAGCAGTCTTTCTTAGCTGTTTCATTTTCTCTTCATTACTCAGGTCTTAGGCTGTGATGACAAACATCAACCCCCCGACTTATAACAGTCAGATAAATCAATTATCATGATTATTTTAGGTGGAAGTTGTAAAAACTGAGCTTTTTCTTCAGCAGCTCTGCTGATCCCCTCACACCAATTTCAAACATGAAAAACTGTAATATACAAACCCTCAGTCTTGTCTCTGATGGTCTTGTTTGCTTTGAAATATCAAAAAAATGTATAATTTTAGTTTCAGTCAATTTTATAAATGTCAAAGAAAATCCTCACCGGAGCTTTAATCAGTGACTGTAAACATAGTTCATGGCAGATAAGCTATCATTAGAAAACTAATAACACAGGCCGCATTTATCTGCATCTTAACTTAATCATTACTGAGGACTTCACGCCTTGTCTGTGTTAACAATTGTAAAAGCATAAATCCAAAATGACAGTTTTGCCACATAAACGGTTGAATGCTGATTTATGGAGATGGAGATATTTGTTTATGTTTCAGAGAAGTTTGTTTGCTTCTTTAAATACAGTTTATGCAGAATATTCCTTTATTTGTGTAGTACAACTTAGTTTTTATGGTGTTTATCACCCTGAAAGTCTTAACTCCGCCTGCAACTATTAATCTGACAATTTACAGATGTATATATTTGATAATCTAGATCTGAAACAGACAGTAGTAAATGTTTCTTGTGTTATGTACTGAGCAGGTCTTGCCTGTTTTTCTTTATTGAAGCACATACCCGTTCTTACTCCAGCAGTTCTTCGAGCAGGTACACTCCAAACTTCCTCAATTACAGTTTTATAGGTTTTTCCCATGAACATGAATTTCCAAAAACCTTTACAAAACTAAAAGTAAACCCATTCACTGGATTATTAATTCGACTCGTTGCCTCTGGTGCCAAAAGCTTTTGTGATTAATGATTTTAATCCCTTATCTGATTTTCTAAGTTGCCTGCAGCTTCTCTGAGAAACCTGAATGACTAGATGTTTGTAATTACAGTTCAGTTATGAGATGGAGATCTGGATTAGCCAAATAGGTGTCAGTGTTACACAGAATGTACGAGAACAGATGTGAAAAGACAAGAGCAGGGGAGTTATTTAAGTGCGCTGTCTACAGTAGAGCTGAATACATAACATAGAGATGTTACGATGTATGCACCACCCCCTGTTACACAACTTTACAGAGCTGGCATAGATCTGCACTGAATGACAAGGACCTTTGAGCATGCAAGAACCACAAATTAGATGAACCAGTTCCACGCCAAACAAGAACTCTCTTGTCTTTAGTACCCGCCCTGTCATTTTTGCATATTATGCAGCTATTTGGTACTGTAAGCTCCTGCAATTTGACACCTCTGCTCCTTTTTTACAGTAAAAACCTTCCAAAGTAATCCAACAGTCAAGCTTTTGTTCATGCTTCACCTTGAAAAGAAATGAGTCGGGTCATTGTACTACACCAGGAGGCCACTCTGCTGCGTTTTTGTACATGTATCATAGGTGGTTTAGTCGGAGCCCTTTCTTCAGCGAAACCGGCTTCTTGAGCACACAGTTGCACAGAAACACACCAGCAGGATCAAAGTAATGCAAGCTTTGTTAGGGGACACCTCAACCCTGGAAAATGAGGGAGGGGCTGAAACTCATCCGCTCCCCCGCCTGCATTTCTCCTGCTGAGAGATGCCGTGAAGGAGCAGAAACCAGCAGAGCTTATGTAAGAGAGGCAGGAAAATTCCCTCTGCAGTTTACATGAATATTCTCAAAATGCAGAAAAGTTGTCCTGTCAGAGCTCAAGTTTTGTACCTGTCATTGTTTGTTATCCCTGATGCATTTACATTTAGTCACCGTTGCACTGAGGTGACGTCTAGACAGAGCTGATGTAACTGTTGCATAGTGTTGAGTGATAAATATCGTGCAATGACTCCAATTTAAAGAAGTAATGACGCCTGTGCTGTCATTACACAAACAAACCTTAAAACCTTAAAAACACTCGATCAAAAGCCACTGAAATGACACCATCGCATAGTTTTACAAAAGTACAACTTGTTGAGCTTCGACAGTGTCATAAATCTCTCATTTTTTATACTTAAACTGGTTTTTAAGCGTGTAAATGGCTTTGCCCCAGACCTAGTTAGTGGAATGATTCAAAAATACTCATTTAAAGGAGCTTCTACAAGAGGAGCAGTCAGCAGAGACTGTTCACCTGCAAAGCTTCCTTCTCAGTCAAAGATCCACAGATTTAGAGTATATGACTGTCAGAAATAAAAACATTAAAGGACCCCAGAGACTTCAATATCAAAACAAAACTATGGCTGAAACAAAGACATCTGTGAACACTAACTTACATTTATGTGTAATATGGCATGTATGTGTCTATGTGTAGGCATGTGGGCGCAAGGTGGCCTACAAACTTGGCCCAGTTACAGCAGTTCTGTCAGGAGAAATGGGCCAAAATTCCAGCAAAACATGTGAGCCAAGTCATACAATTAAAAGGCAGCTAATGAAATGTACATTAATTTTTGACTCTCGAGAAAATAATTTTAAAAATGTCTAAAAAAATTCTCTCTGTCATTATTCTGGCATTTAGCAAATAAAAATGATTTTGGTAATCTTAATTGACCAAAAGCAGGAAAAGTTTAATCTGATTTAATGTTAGACGGTGAGAAAAAAAAGGTTATGTGCCTTTTAGTATAGTGTATGTACACTTCTGGTTTTAACTGTATATCTGGATTTTTGTGCATAGAGGAAACAGCTTGTTTTGTCTGCTTTCTTCTTGTTTTTATGCAAACATATTAATGCCTGTCTGCACCTGATATAATGTTAGTTTTATAAAGTGGATTATGTATTATATGCTTTATTTCCTTCTGTCTAACAGGGACAAGGACCGCAAATTAGCCTCAGGGAGAAGTCCTACAAACTCAGAATCGGTTGCTGTTCAATTAGATGCAACAAAGCCTGATGTACTTTTGTCACTTCTGTCTGTGACTCTCAGATTGATGCAGTGTAATCTAAGATCACATTGAATGCTCAGGATTATTTCTCTTATAATGACACAAAAATGCAGCAGATAACCAGTAACTTTCCATTATGACAGATCAGAAGGCACGTGGATAGAAAGTACCAGAATAATACAGTGATGTCATCTGACTGGTACTCTCACCAGCTGACCAGTGATCCTAAAACCATTATCATCTTAACCTAGTGACTCACACCGGCGCTAAAACCGTCTTAACCAAAAGAGTTTCCTGTGGGGATGTGCCTTATCCTCTTCACAGACCCCAGACAAAACAATAATAATGTTCAAAGACGCCATATTAAGTCGTTTGTTATATGTTTCAATCATGATCAAAGAAACCGCTCCTATAACAATGGTCTGTCTCGCCTTACATCCACATCCGTGAGCTGTGGGCTGACGAGTTTGACTGAAAGGTCTCTCTTCCAATCATACAGAGGGGAGGTGAAGTTAAGCCAATCATTTCGAACATGCAAATTTCCTCATCGGTTATTGGCTGTTATTCCGTGGTGGTGCCGGTAGGTCCGCCCTCTGTTTTAAACTCAATGGAAATTTCCACTCTCTCCTCCGCTCACTATAACAGCAGAGGCGCCGGGCTGACCGACACTATACCACAGCGGACAACGGCACCGAACAATCGTTAAAGTGTGACTACAAGACAATCTCACGGTAAGTGGAATTATTAATTTTAATTTTTATTACTTTATGAGTAAAGTTAAGGATTTTCATCGCGACTTTATTCACTTTTAGAGGCGGATTCGGTTTGAATGGGAACGTTATCAGATTGAGCGCTTCCTGTTAACCAACCGTTACGAATGAAAATTTAGATTAGAGTAACGGCTCTTAACGTTAGACATACAAAAACATATATCCTTTTTTATCTTTACGTACATTAATTAATTCGTTTTCTTTTTTTATCTTACTTTATATTTCAGTGCAGAAACACAGTAAAATGCTACAGCGGTTATGTGTTCGCTGAAAACATTGATTTGCATTCACGTTTTCCCATTAACTCTGTTCATAACGACGTTAGCGCGTAATATTAATGCTTATTTTCAATTACATTGAATTAAAAACCGAGTGTCAAGAATGTATGAAAAGCGGCGCTGCCCATATATGGCACTCCGGTATGCGAGGCAGCGCTAGGTCACGCCCACTCGTAGTATTCTCAGATTACAGCAGGCAGTGAGCATCATGACCCCGTGAGTCTGAGTCCCCGAGATAATCAGAGAGAGCTTCAGCTGTTAGAGGGATATAGTCTGTGAGTTCACAGGAACAAGCCTATCTGTCTACTCTGTGTGTGTATGTGAGGACTAACTCATTCACTGTTATCTCTGTAGGTAACCATCCACTGACTGAAGAATACTTGAATCTACAAAAGTACTTTTACACTAATATCTACACTTGATTAAAGAAAAAAGAATCACCATGTCTCAGCAACAGATCAGGTAAGTGTCAAACTAACATCCTCTATTTATTAGATTTTAATTATGGGCACTGGTACTACAATAACAGAGAATTTAAGGACCTTTTAAAGTATTTTGACCCCAAAAAACTGGATATTTCAGCTATTTATTTTTGTCTATTGTCAGCTTAATTATTTTTGGCATTTTTAACTGCAAGTCTAACTTCAACAGGCATTCATAGACATAATTTTTGTTGGTATTTGCACCTCTTATTATCATTTCAACATCCTATTGCCTTATAAAAACATCAGTAAATAGTAAAAACAATACTCAATTTCAGTCCAGTGTCAGCAAGATGGTCCACACCCCAGATATAGTCATTTTGGGGGGGGGGAAATCAAGTCTTTTGGAAATGATACTGAAGTGTCTCTATTTTTCTCTCGTGTCCTCTCACAGCCTCCCCGCCAAGCTCATTAATGGAGGTATCGCTGGCATTGTTGGGGTCACCTGCGTCTTCCCCATTGATTTGGCCAAGACCAGGTTACAGAATCAGAGACAGGGTCAGCAGGCCTACAGGAGCATGTAAGTATTTTTACTCCTTGTTGTCGTCCACGTCATCACTCGTGCCTTCCCGATCTGATGGCTTTACGCCTACTACCTCCGTTTGTAATCCAGCTCTATTCCTGCTAATCCCGCTATGACACATGTGTGGCGTTAGGATTGATGAGTTGAATCAGGTGAATTCCTGACTTAATGAGCCGTGATGACACTTCAACTTTGTCATTTTCCTGCTCTGAGTCGGTGTGAAGGATAGAAAAGTACTGCTCCATTTACTCAGTTAGCTTTATGTTGCACATCGCCCGCCTCTGATTAAACCGTCATTTTGACGAATACCTCCACCTTCATTTTTAGATTAGGCTTCAAAAAAATATTCAAATCTCTCTTTTTTATGAAGCATAACAAATGATTCACATGAATAACATTTCCTTACCTTTCTGTCTCCTGCAGGATGGACTGCCTTGTCAAGACAGTTCGATCAGAGGGTTACTTTGGCATGTACAGAGGTAAGATCACTGCACATTTGACCTTTAATGACCTGTAGGAAGAGATGTAGCAGTAGGATGGGATATTTTGTTTGTGTGTGGTTTAATACTGCTTATACTGAGTACATACTCCTGATAAGTGTATTCTAAATGCATGGGGCTGCTTGATTGAACTTAAAGTTAAGAAGAGTTGGACTAAGAGAGACGGCTACAGCTGCTCTCATTCAGCCTGTGGTGTGATTAGATATCATTCATGGCCATCCTGTGTATTTAAAAGTCAGATCTTGTGGTTTAATTGATGGTAAATGAAGACCTGTAGTCTGGGTCTCTGCTTGTGTGAGGAATGCTGTTTGTTTGCATCTGTGTTTTTCATATTACAGACTTGGGTCCCCCTGGGATATTGAAGGCTAGCCGATAAGGCGCAGCCACGCTGGAGGCAAATCATTAAATGGTTCTTACAATATTGCTCTATTTAAAACTGTAGGCACAAGTTTTTTTTGTCGTTTTTTTTCATCTGTTTGTTCTGTAATTTGACCTCCTGTCAATAACTTCCTCTTGGCTGTCTCCTCACTGTCCTGTCGACGTGTCCTTTTCCAGACTTTGACTCGTGTGTCTGTGGACTTTGACTGATCTTAAATGAATCTGTGGCGACTTTAAGAGGTTTATTATTATTATTATAATTATTATTATTGATCAGTTTCACAGATCAGTCTGTAAGATTGCCCAAAGTCTGCTCACACAGTCTCTCTGTTCTTTCATTAACACTCCTTCATTACTCTCATTAACTAACGGCCTTTACCTCCTTTATTAGTCAAACAGACTTTCTTTCTTTCTTTAAATCCTCTCTCCATAAAAGGTTCTTGTTTTCATAAACTCACTCTCTCTTCATTGACCTCACATCTCTCTCCTTGTGTCTCAGTTTCCCCTCCTGTTTCTCCTGTTTTTAATGTCATCTCTCTGCTGTTATCATCATTTCCAAAGCTACTTTAAATTGAACATGTTCATGTTTGTGTTTTATATTTGCTAAAAAAGGGTCTTTGTACTTTGTAATGCTGTAATAATAGTGGCGGGGAATGTTTTTCTGTGAATGAAGTCTTTGTAGTTACACTCGTAGTAAATGCGCTCATTTTTCTCCTCAGGTGCTGCCGTAAATTTGACCCTGGTAACTCCAGAGAAAGCAATCAAGCTTGCTGCTAATGACTTCTTCAGACAACACCTTTCCAGAGACGGGTAAGACACTTCATCTGAAATCTACAATAAAGGAAAAACACCATCTAGTTGTTTCTGGTCCTTCATTTCTCTCTGTGTTTTGTTTCCACAGAAAGGGGTTGACAGTGTTGAAAGAGATGCTGGCAGGCTGTGGTGCAGGTATGTGCCAAGTCGTTATCACCACCCCCATGGAGATGCTGAAGATCCAGCTCCAGGACGCTGGCAGACTCGGTAAGAAGAGCTCAGAGTTTCTTCTCAACATTTTTCTGTGAAACTTAATTCCCTTTTTTTTTTCATGAATCTTCATGTTTTGTTTTTTTCTTCACAGCCGCTCAGCAGCAGAAACCCGTCATGATGTCTCCCACCAAGCTGGTGGTCACCAACACCATGCTCAGCCGCGCCTACTCCGGCACGGTGGTCTCAGCACCACGAGCCGTGTCCGCCACACAGATCGCCAAAGAGCTGCTCCACACGCAGGGTATCCAGGGGCTCTACAAGGGTCTGGGGGCCACACTGATGAGGTAAAACTCTACTTGACCCCCTAAAGAGGAACTGTGAACTCGTTAAACCCGTTTACACGTGGATCTGGTTTCAGTTTGAATCAACATCTGCTCTGTTTTCTTTCAGGGATGTTCCCTTTTCCATCGTGTACTTCCCCTTGTTCGCCAACCTGAACCGCCTGGGCAAACCCAGTCCTGAGGAGGCGTCTCCCTTCTACTGGGCTTTCCTCTCCGGCTGTGCAGCTGGATCCACTGCTGCTGTGGCCGTTAACCCCTGTGATGGTAAGTTTAGCACGCCGTAAAATAAAAACACTCTTTTATGATTAGTAGAAACAGTTTAAAGTTGCTGGAATGTTTCCTGACTTGTCTCCTTGTTGGTTCAGTGGTGAAGACCAGACTGCAGTCCCTGAACAAAGGCTCAGCTGAGGAGACCTACAGTGGCGTTGTGGACTGTGTGAGGTAGGACATCCGAGGTTTACTTCGTCGTTTATTAACCCTCTCTTTGTTTCACGTGTGTGCACGAATAAACTCGTCTTTTGTCTCGACAGTAAAATCCTGAGGAAGGAGGGACCCTCTGCATTCCTGAAAGGCGCCGGCTGCCGAGCTCTGGTCATCGCTCCTCTGTTCGGCATCGCACAAGTCATGTACTTTGTTGGCGTCGGCGAGTACATCATGGACAACGTGCCTCTAGGCCTCCTGTCCCCATGAGCCAATCGTCATCACACTAGCTGGATATGAGCAGGACCTCGAAGAGAGAAGATGGTGGACAAACTGGCAGCTACAAAACCACCAGTTTACATCAAACAAACGAGTCTTTTCTGATTCGGTCAGAGAGGCTTCAGGGTGTAAAGACCGAGACGGTTTCATTTCCTGTCGGGTCTGATCGTTGTGTTGCACTCGAACACTTTGTGACTTATCCAGTGTGACTTATCCAGGAGGCTCTGGCCCACGTTTGCACTTAAAGCTTTTAGCCTTACTGGGCTTTGGGACCCGGAGTTACAGTGTTAGTCTTTCTCTGTCCCTGAAACAGTCGCATTTCCCTCTGTGAGGGAGAGAGGGAGGGGAGCGAGAGAGAGAGAGAGGGAGGGGAGCTCACTCCATCAGAAACAGACCTTTTTGTTTTCTGTGTTTTCATATTATTATTTTTGTATGTGAATGCTCGTTTATTCTGAAACGGCTGCTTTAACAACTCGGTTTGACTGTTTTTTTGTGTTTGACGCCTTTACGTTGACTTGACTTAAACACGTGAGGCCGATTTATTTCAAAGGGATCTTTTTATCATTTTTTTTTTCCTCCTTTTTAAATTTTTTTTACAGACATTATCAGTAATCATTTAGGACAGAGTCCATGTTGAGTTGGTTCGATCATTAACCTTCCTACTGACTCGGGACCATCGACATTCACTAAACCATGAGCAGCGTCCTGTTAGATACTTGATGAGAACCCCGCAGCTGTTTAGTCCTCTTTGTCTTTCCTTATCCACAGAAACTTGAGATGCATTCATGCACATTGTAAATGTATGAATAATAATAATAATGATAATATGCACACGACCTCAACTTAGTCATCATGTTATTCAAACCTCCCGTCTGACTCTGAAGATGATCAGGTTTACGCCTTAAAAGGAGCAGATCGGCGTTTGTCGTCAGTGTTTTTGTCCTAAAAGAGCATTATTACTGTGACTGAGAAAAATGACTGTTACCAAATTTTGTATTTGTCCTGGATTTTTGTACATATGATACACAGGCATTAAAAAAACTTGAAATGCACCCATTCTTGTGTCGCTTCTTCATTGACCTCAGAACAGCAGGTTTGACTTCTCAACTCCGGATCTGCTGTGGTTTTCAACCCCATCCTGTGGCCCCTCTCAGCGATGATAGATTCCTGTGGTCTGAGCTGGAGGGGCCCCTCTCACTCAGGACTTTGTCGGGGTGGTGTAACACCGTTTGAAGACAGACTCCGGGGTCCTTCTTGTTTGTACGGCCCCTCCTCTTACTGCAGAACTGTCTACTTTTGCAGCTCCGGTATGAGCAGGACAGTGTTCTAACAAAAAGGAGGAAAAAGAAAAAACATGATTTCTTCTTCCTCTTCCTCCTCCACTGAACTCTAATACTCCAGTCTGAGTCTGGTGTGTTGGTGCTGGAGTCCAAGTTACGTCACGGGTCTGAATAATCAGAACTAAGTTGGGCTCCAGTCTGCGTTCTGGTCCTCTTATTTTCTTCTGAATACAGAGATGCAGAAAAGTCAATTTTCTCATTCTGCTGGTCTCCATTTTGTGCAATTTGATATTCATTTGATATTTACGGAGCCCAGGAGGTGACATGAGCTTTTATTTATTATTTTTTTAATTCGACGTGCGATTTAGTATCTCTCACTTGCGTTTTGTTTGTATCTTGCGTATGTGTTTTTGTAAACATACCTGTGCGCTCTTCATTTGAGCGTGAACAGCATTATGGACAGAGAGAATATCATCAACATTTTCTTTCAGTTAGGTATGATCATTGACTGTATACAGCATAGACACCGTCTGCCTCCTCACTGGGTGAAGCCAGAGCGAGAACAGCGCCCTCTGGTGACGGGCTGCAGTATAGGTCATAAACCCCGCCTCCTTATGGAGCTGTAGACAAACTTTATAAATTAATGACACAGAATATAAATGTTTCTCCCCCCTGGTTGTGATGTTGACATGTAGTTACTGTCAGACTGGTTTGTGCTCAAGTCCTCTTTTTTCTGTACAGCTCCATTTTTAAAAGTTATTAGGGGGTTCATGTTTTCTATGATTGACACCTGATACAGCCTACTCTTGGCGACTCTCCCGCTGAATGCGCACAATGCTACTGCGCAAGTGGTGGTTCCAGGAAGTGGACAAAAAACACGAAATTACAGAGAACTTTTCGGCTTCAAATCCGTATACTGGCGGAAGGCGGAGCCAAGTTGTCCGTCGTATTTACAGTCTATGTGTATGACTGACAAAGAGAAACTTTACAGCTCAGCCACATTTGGTTTTGTTTTGAGTAGGAGACACTTCATCAGGATCTTTAAAGCACAGTGACTTTGCCGTTGGCGATATTCAGACTCATAGAGAGTGATCTTTATTAACAGAACAGTTAAATCACATTGGTGATATGCTAAAACGCACGTGCGAAAAACTAAACTGCACATGCCTTTTTGATATATTCTCTATAAGCAGCTTCAGTAGTTGTCGTCCTCAGTCCATGTGCTCTGAAATCCACTTTACTTTGGTGTTAAATCGTGTTTATTTATGCTAAAGATTTGAGTCTTTAAAGGTTTTTTTTATTGATAAAGATATAATCTGCTTGGTTTGACTTCTCTAAAAGTGGGTCACGACTTCCGGACCGTTGGTAAATGTGGGTCACAGAGTGAGAACAGTTGAGAACCTCTGCTCTTATTAACCACATCTGCACATTTTTTTCACCGTGGTCCAAATATAAAGTAGATTTAAAAAAATGTCAAATGAAAATAAAAACATAAATCCATCATGTTTGAGAGGAACCTTTAATTTTCTATCATTTTTCCTGTGAATCAGATCTTCTGTTCCCTCTTTAGAGTTTCTCACCTAACCTTTAAAACTTTGAAGTGAATCGTGTCTCTAAATGTCATCTTGATGCTTCTCTGATCACATATTTGATAATGACTCTGCAAACACCACGTGTGTTTGCTTTCCTCTGTTTGGCAGCCATTCTGATACCCTGAGTGTTCACGTAGCTCTTCAGAGGAAAACTCTCGGGCTGACCGCAACATTTGCTTTCATTTCACACTCGACTCCCACTTCGGTCGACTTACAGGAAACTCATGAATCACCTCATGAAAAACGAAACCTCAAAAAAACAGACACAGTTGTGAATAAAAGCACCCATTTCTGTTTATTACTGAGGTTAAGAGTTTGACATAAACTATATTAATCTATAATTCACATCTTATTGGCACACCAACAAAATTTACATCCAAAAGAATTCACACCAAAATGCAGACTAGCTCACTGTTAGAGTTCACACACGCTCTCTCCGCAGGGGGGGAGAGAGCGCCAGACGCCGTGTTACTCGTGACCTTTTCCGATGAGTTTGGAGGTTCACAGAGCGGCAGTTTATCATCAGACCTTTTCTAACCCTTCAGCACGCCTACACTTCCTCCTGCGTTGTGCTTTCAAGTCGAAATACTCGAGGGTGGTGTCTGGGAGCGAGCGCAGTCTTTATGTACACACCGAAATCACTGGGAAAGATGCAGATAGCACTTCAGCTGGAGGTGAATAAATAGACAGTAGGCACATAATGGAAATTCACTCTGCAAAGGTAGACTAGTCCTCCAAACATGTAAGCACACAATACGGCGTAAGGCCTTCAAACCACGTTTAAATAAGTTAGGAGCAGGTGCGTAACGTAGGTGTCCGTATTTACAGCGATACTCCTCAATCACAACATTCCTGTGTCAAAAAAAGGCTTTGTGTTGGAGTGACGGAGCAGGAAACAGACGAGTGTTAATGTAGAGGAAGCAGAGCGAGTGTTAAAAAAAAAAAAGAGATCAGATATCAGCGCTGGTGGAGTCGAGGAGGAGAGAACGATCCAGCGTATCGTGTTGAATTTGGCCCGCGGACGGATGACGTATTTGTGGAGTTACAAAAAAAAAAAATCAAAAGTTCCCGCCAGCTCAGTCTGCACTGAGGAACGAGAGTGAAAGAATGAGACTTTGGTGCTTCCCTTCTCTTGAAGTCGGGTTGATTATGAAGGGATCGGTGACTGGAGACTGGAGGGTGGGCGGGGGTCGACTTATCGACTATATGACCTCCCTGTTGTTCCTGATAGCGCAGCACAGAACCATGCTGAAGACCATGCCTAAGATCTGAAACAAGAGAGAGAGCGAGTTTAAGTTTTGACAATCAGAGGTGACGTTAATTTAAACGAGAAGCCGATCAAATTCTCACCATGACTCCTGCGATCCCGATCCCGATGTAACCGATGATGTGCAGCCTTTCGTTGAAGAACTCTGTTATAGCCGTGATACAGTCCTAAAACAGAAACGAAGCATTCAGAGTTATCCTCATGTGCACCATTGAACAAGAACACTCAGGTTTACTGATTAAAACAGCCCCACACCGCCCCCATGTGGAGGTAAGATGTCAGAGCAGCAGGTGTGAAGAAGGTTCACCTGGGTTTCCTCTGGAGGAGAGTCGGCACAGAGGGCAGAGGTCGTTTCAGACACAGATCCTCCGCAGCAGTTCAACTGAAAATACAAAATAAGAAATAAAAACATTATAGAGGTTTAAATAATAAAAACTTGAGTTTGAAAGACATGATCAGGAAAAAGGTGAGATTTGAGGGTTGTGAAAAGAGAGTTCTTTTCAAACGTCACAAATTCAGCCTGTATTTTTGATAAATAACTGAATATTTAATCTTTGTGTCGCATCTTCAGAAGTTTCAGCGTCCTGAAGAGATTGTCAGAGAAACTGAGGCTGTGTCTCATTTCTGAGACCGCATCGAGCGAAGTGCACTTCTGCGTGCCTGACGTCACGACGGCGCGAACGGTGTCCCATTTGGCACGAGATGCTAAGAAATGCTAAGCGCGCCTGCAGAGACACCAACACCTTATTATGGCGTATGGATTCATATCATAAACTAAAGCTCAATGTCATTCACGGATATTTACGGCTGCGTTGACAGATATATCCTCAGCATATTCATTTCTGCCTCCACAAAAGCAGCGATTTCCTTCAAGTACACCAGTTTTTTTCCCCGTGGAAAAGACGTTTTTCTCATATATTCTTTTTTTTAAGTCTTTATACTTATGACAATGTGATGCTGACGCTGATGTGTAAATCTGATGATTTACTGTATCTGCAGAGTTTGGGTGGCTATAGGTATTGTGTGTGTTTGGGATATAAATGGAGTGTTTTTAAGTTTTTTAAACATAGATTTTCATTTTAGCGTCACTTGAAATAAATTGCAATTGAAAGTTGGAGCTTGTGTTTGTTTTTATTTTAAGAAAAAAGCTGCTGATGTTAACTCCCTAATCTTTTGGATTATTTGTGCTTTTGGTTTCTTCATTATTATTATTATTTTTATTATTATTATTATTATTATTATTATTATTATTATTATTATTAACTGAGAAGTACTATGAATGTACTAAAGGGATAAAGTGATTTTACTCCAGAATTGAGTTAGCAATAATTTCTTTAAAGCCTCTGTCTGGAGTTTGGCACCCCCTTGTGGACAAGTACCAAGATAAAAGCACGCAGAGCTCATCCCCAACTGTGGATGGTCTCCGGTGGCACAGTGTGGTAGACATCTAACACCCTAATGTGAGCCATGTGTTCTGGTTGAAGACCGGCTCCTGGTTCGAAACCCTGGTTATTATTGCGGCGGATGGCCTGGGGACGGCAGAGGGCGTCCCCAATAAGGCTCGAACCCACTGACTCGTGTGGACACACAAGACAATCATGTTTTTTTTCATATATCACTGTACTTTGTAGACTTTGTAGATCATAAATCTGAATATTTTTAGACATGAATAAAAACATGCTCCACTCTCGGTTTTACTGATGGAGATGTTTTATTTATCGTCAAGTTTTCCATGACAGGAAAACCTGATATTATGTCAGCTAAGCGCCGTTAAGCGCGCTTTTCCCGATGCGGTCTCTGAAATGAGAACCAGACTGAGTTGCTCAGGAGGAAGTGTGTGGTGAACACGGACTTTGTATGTTTTATTTATTTGGTTTGGGATCCTGTTTCCTGTTCGGGTTGTGTGTTACACTCACAGTTTTGTGGTACATGAGGGCGATTGCGGTGGCGTTGGCGTTGGAGGCGTCAGAGATGGAGTTGCTGTAAAACTTTTGCACCTCCTCGACGATCTGTCACGAACACAAGACGGCAGAAAATCGGTCACTTCAGAGATTTTGGTCGTAAATATGAGAGAAAACTTGAAATCTGAAGTTTTCATTTCAGCGCTGCACCTGTTCCTTGTTGATGAATCCAAACACACCAGCTGCGATCTCCGCGCCGAAGATGATCAGGAGGCAGGCGAAGAACTGGAGGAGAGACGAGAAATCATGAGAGTTTCCTGAGGAGGGTTTTCAGTCTCTGTAAATGAGCCGGGTTCAGACTCTGCCGCAGCACAGGTCAGTCATTTTTTAGGATTTTAAGTTTTCATCATTTCTCTGAAGTTTGTTTTAAGGATGTTTTAAACCGATCTTTAAATTTGACGGTTTCTCCTCAACTATTATCATTCTCACACACTTGGAAAGGAACTTTTCAATTTCAGCACGTCGAGTTTTAGAGCCATGTTAAAGATTTTCCTGTTTTTAGGTTCAGTTTTTTTTTCTAATGATGTTTTTTAAAGTGTAAGTGACTTTCTAATGAGAATATTTACTTTCTGGTGAGATTGTGAAATAATAGTCATATCAGGTTACCGGATTAAAGGCGTGTTGTTTCAAAGATAAAGTCCTAATATCACAAGAATAAGGTCGTGGTAATGCTGAAGTTTTGGTTTATGTACCAAAATGAGGAACATTGAGCGTCTTCTTAAAACGTACTTAATGTTTTGGCCCATCAACACCTCAACTATCAGAGGAGTTTTATTTTTCAGTCCAGTCTGCAAGAGAAAACTAGAACTAAGGACCCGGTATCAGCCATAAAGAACTAAAAAATATTGATGGTTAAGTTTAATTAAAGCTCCAGCAGCACTTTAATTCACTCACTGATGCCAGAAGACACTGAGACTCTCGTACGGCTCCAAAACATCCGAAGAACCCGACGATCATCATCAGTCCTCCGGCTCCCAGGAGGATGTAGACCGCTGAGGAGAGACGAAGAAGAAGAGGAGGAGGAGGAAGAGGAAGAGGAAACGTTAAAACAGAGCGATAACAGCTTTAAGGTTCATGATGAAGGACCAAAAAGACAAAGGAGGCTCAAATCTCATTACAGTTCAGTCACATGACTGCAGTTCACAGCTCCACCACAGGGAGGCAGTGTAACCCCGCTGATTCCCTGTTCTTCTCATGTCCTTTGTTCTGAAAAGCGCTCTTGTTTTGTTTGACTATGAGCAGAAAAGTGTAGGAGGAAGCTCCTCGAGTGGACCCGAGTCTCTGAGTCGACTCCCACAATCCTCTCTGATTATCAGCTTCCTCCTTCAGATCTTTGTGAAGTTTTGAAGCTCTGAGTCGAGATGAAAAGAGTCTGAACACAAAGAGGATCTCTGATGAACTATCAGCACTTTTTTCTTGTTTGGATTAAAATAGTTCTTCTTTGTCTTTGTGCCTCTTTTCTCAGAGTGATGAAGACGAACGAGTCGAGTGAGACAGAAGATCTGCTGCTGCTGCGTCTTCAGACCACAGAGCAGCTCCTGTCCTCCTCAGGCTGTGAGACGCCTGCAGCTCCACCTGTGAGAAAAACTAGTTCCTCTTTTTGTCAGAAATCTGAACAAATCAACCCTCAACATTAGGGTCACATTAGAGCCTGGTCCTGGTTTGGTCAGCAGACCACATTGTTTTACAATTGATCCACTCCAAGGAAACTTAAGGCGAGCACACGGACACAGCTGTTAAACATCTGCTGCCTTGCTCAACGGTCTCTTGGCAGAAACCATGAAGTCAACCAGCACTCCTCCAGCTCCAAACCTCCTGTCCAAACCTGGTCTAATCCAAAGTAACTGATCTCCCGTCACCAATAAGTGACTCCTGTCAGCTGCCGAAACCCGGGATCGAACCAGGGACCTTTAGATCTTCAGTCTAACGCTCTCCCAACTGAGCTATTTCGGCCTGATGACCAATTAAGTCAGGTCAATTTCTGGACCCAAAATCTGCATATGAATGATTATTTTTTCTTTTAAAGGGAAATGCATAAAAACTAAAAAAAACCTGAAGAAAAAACCTGAGGTTGCTAAAATCTCACAGCCACACTTCTTTTTATAAAGTATAGATCGATGTAGAAATATAAGAGAGAGAGAAATAAAGTAAAGAGAAAGAGAGCAGGAAATAAAGTAAAACAAAAAAGATTGAAAAGAAATAAAACAATTGAAAGAAACAAACAGATTAAAGGAAATAAAACACTGATATGTTGATAAAAAACTAAAACCAACAAAAGCTTAAACATAAAAAACAATTAAGAAATAAAAATACTGATGGATATCGGAGTCCAGAGGATTAAACCGGCTCAGATTATGTTTTCCTGTAGATTCCTGTAAATATTAATCCAGAGAAAAGTGTTTTTGTAAGATATTAAAAAGGTGATGAAGAGGTGGACTCCGAAAACCCAGAGCCTAGACTGAGGACCTCAGGTCAAGACCAGGATTTCTTGGCCCAATCCTAAACCGCCCCCTACACACTCTCCCTCCGTTTGTGCGTCCCCGCAGAGACTCCGCCATTTTGAAGGTCCGTTCAGCCCTTAAACAGCGGGTCTGCATCAGTGCAGACTTCCGTTCCGTATTTGTCCACCTTTGTCTTACTGACAAAAAAAAATCACAAAATACTTGGATTGGAAAGATCAAACAGAAGTCTGAAATCGTACTCTGTGCCGATGTTTGGTTTGATTTGATTGGTCAGGCACATGTCAAATAGTAAAATGGTCTAAAGACGTGTGGAATCACTAACAATTAGAAGTTTAATTTTTGTCACTGTGATGGTTCCTGGATTTATGATTTTACAGGGACGATGAAAAAATGAGGCAGCCAGTGCGGCTCAGAACTGAACATGATGTCCGTTTACTAAGAATATAAACACTGCTTTGCACAGGACACGTCTTTGTGTTGCTATGGCAATGAAGCTTTCTGTTTTCCGGTGGAGTGAGGAGGGCGTCCCATACCCGCTCATCTCGTTTATACCCTCTGATTTCAACTGAGGCGCACTCCACAGCTGTGAGTGTAACTTCAGTGTGTCGGGTCGGTTTGTGATTGGGCTGTAGAGTCAGGAGATCAGAATCAACTTGAGTCAGTGCCAATTGGGCTTCATAAGGCTTACCCCTGGTGGCTTATGGAGGTACTGCAGGTCTTACATTTTGCATTTTTAATGACAGCACATGTATGTATGGATTATGATTTGTGTTGTTTGGTGATGGTCTCCTCAACGAGGAAGATAATAAATAAGATTTGTCTGATCGGAGGTTTTTGATGAGCCGCCCAAAGACTAGTTTGGGGTTCTAGTTTAGGTAAAGCGGTCTCAAGTTTGGGCCTGCACCGCGGCTCATCATGTAACCTCTTCCTATGAAATAACACATGATACTCGTCTCATATTTATCATGAATTTTCATGCTGCTGGTGTTCACGTTACAAACCGCCCTCAGACATTCTCACTTTCCTGTGCGACAGATCCTTCCTCGTCCTAAACTCCGGTTTAAAGTCGACATTAGTGTCACATGATCTCACATCTCATTCGCCGTTTTTGCATAAACGGATCATTCAGACTCTCAGGAAGGCTTCATGTTCCTGCAGGGCAGAACTGTAAAAACACGCCATCTGTCCAGAGAAAAAAAAAGAAGGAAATCAAATTTACAGAGACTCGCTTAATGACTGCAGAACAAGACTCCAGCTCCCTCGATGTCATCACCTCCCCTCAGAACTACGACTACAGAGTCCTGTTCACTGTAACCCGACACCGCCCCCGTCCCAGAGGTCGATGCTGAGGGTCTAATCAGTGACATAGACGGCAACCAGTGCAGCAATTTAATTAATCCACAAGGGGAGGGATGCAAGCTGTTGTTTTCCTGCTGCTGCTGAACAAAAGATGACGGTGAAGATGAGCCGAGGTTAGGTGAGCGTGCAGGTTAGAAATGTAGAAATAAAACAGGTCTGGAGAGCTTTAAGTGTTTAAACAAAAGAGTCCTCAGAGCTGAAAAAGTCTAAACATGTTTTCCATCTCTGAATCATGAACTTCACAGTCGGAGTGAAGCAGCTCCTGGTCGCTAAACGGATGATATCGAGCAGATATGAAGCTGCAAACTAAAACTTCCTCAGCAAAAATAACATCCTCTCTGTCCGTCTCTTTTACGTCCACCTGAAAGCTGTTTACACGGCGGCACAAGGACCAACAAAGGTCACATGATGGAAAAGTGATTCATCTCTGGGGAATGCTGCCACTTTGCCTTGTTATGGTTTCTCTCTGTTCAGCCCCTCTGCAGCTCTCCGTGCACGTCGTCGTCGTCTCAGGATCCTGTTTGTTTTGTTGCTAAGGCTCCTCTGTGAGAGCGTCATCCATCCTCAGCAGGATCGCTCACATATTGAGATGAAACGATAACGGTGCGTTGGCTAATCTGCTGCAGACCAGTGTTTCCTGACAACAAACGCTGCTGCTGCTGCTGCAACTCTTACAGACACAAGTTTTTCTCTGCAGTTGTGTTGCTCTGTGTGACCATAGATTGCGTGTTTTTAAAAGGTAGTTTGTCTGTTGTTTGTTTAAACTATCAGCATGATGTGACACTTGGTCGACAAAAGGTGGACAATGGGCCAAGGAAGATCTGGTCTGGCTCTGGAGTATTTTTCAAGTTTCTACACCAGATATATTCAGAGACCAGATCTGGGTCCAATTTACAAATACAAAGTTTTACAATGAAACGTTTGGAAACTGGTTCAGGAATCGATCGTAACACTTTGGACCGGTTTTAAACTAAAGATAAATTTCAGGAAGAAACGAGACCAAATCTCATTTATAGTCATTGTAGATGTCAGTTCTTTGTGGCCTTTATAGTTTATTTGTGTATTGTGCCATACATACAAATAAAAAAGGCGAGATGACTCAAGGCAGAGCCAACGGCGTCCCTACATGGCGGCCATCTTACTTCAGTAAACCATTCTGGTTCGCTCTATGGTAGCTGACAGGAAGTCAGTAATCTACATGATCAAAAATACTCTTAACTCGCTGTAATCTTGACAGATTTAAAAATGGTTTTGTTTATTACAGACCTCACTAACATAGCTATGAGTCGGGATGCATGGACATGTTGAAATGGCAGATTTACTTTGAGGAAAAAAAAGAAGATTTAATTATGCAGCACAGTTGTTTTACGGCTATTTACACACAAGGGCTAACTTTGAGTCACTTTGTCAAGGCTGAGACCACAATCGAGATTTTAAATTCTTGTATGACAGCCTATATTTTTAGTTTAAGTGTCAGTCTTTGTGGGTTTGTTTGTGTTTATCAGCCATCTAACTTGGCTAACAGACTCGCTGTGAGTGAGACCAAGTACATATTACAAAGTTGCCCCAGTAATTTGACATCAGTTAAAGAGGCAGAAATGTTCTTTTGATTCAACATAACTGAAGTTAAACATGATTTCCAAGATGTTTGGTTTGTTAAAAACATCTAAAATGGAAACATGAGGCAGAAATTTATATTGAAAATAAATATTTATATGTTATTATAGTTAACCCAATAATAGAAATATTACTAATATAACATACATGGAATCATTAAATGTTTTATGTATAAATGATTTAATATAACTGCCTTGTGTGTGTAGGTCTATAGCTATTGTTCTACCTATCTGTTTAATGTTTATGTAAATCCATGGTTAAAACTATTCTTGAGTTTTCAGGAACATAACTAAAACTCCGAGGTTTGTTACAAACCAAACCGTTTAAAAATCGGTTTAAAATTAATCAGTAGATGGTTATTTAAATGATACATGAACAGGAGACGGGAATGTTAGGAGTGGGCGAGCTGACCGTAGCAAAATGGCCGCCATGTGCGGACGTCGGTCTCCATTGGTGAACAGCGTGTGTAAGACATCTAGCGTTCATATCTACATCTATGGCAGCCATTACCTTTACCTTTACCTTTTGCGCGGTTACATACGGGGATTCGAGTCACGTGATGGTACGTCACACCGGAAGTATTAAATCAGCTGTTCACCTGGCGGGTTTTTTGAATTGGGAAGTCCGACATTTAGCTGATCGCTCCTGTTTCGCCTCATATCTAACAATTTAAATATAACTATATTTAACTATATTGAACTCCGGCAGCCTTTCTTTGTCTCTTTGCATCAATAAAACTATAAAAGTAGATCCAGTCTTTTCATTAAAGTTTCTCCAGCTGCTCCTCGAGCTCGGTCTCGTTTTCCCTCCTCGGTCTCTCGGTGACTAAGTTGTTATTCGGGATAATCTCCATAAATGTGTCCGTAAAAAGAGACCAATCCTCGGATCAGAGTCACAGAAGGACGTTAAAGTCACGGATCTGTTTGGACGAACTGCTGGGAGAAGGTGGATAACCGACCGGCTGAGCTGATCGACCCACGAGGGCTGCACGAGCGCACCACCCACCCGCACAACAGCGCACCGGCCGGGGGTCATCCTCACCTTGATCAGCAGGTATGTCTCACCTTTTTGTTTTTACTGTTTTAATGGTTTTTGGAGACAGTTTAAACGGGTTACTGCTGCTGTTATTGTGTGTCTGTTGTGGGTTTTTGTGTAGTGTGTGGACCAGGGCCGTGAACATGATTATAGAGGGACAGGGGCCCAAAGTCAGAAAAGGGCAGCATGTTTTTTTTCTGGTGTTTTACACTAAATGGAAATTAATGTAAATCAAAAAAAAAAGTATTAATAGAAAGCGAACTACTGAGCTGTGTGTCCTGAGGAGGTGAAAGTGATATACAGTTGACATTTTTTCTGTCAACGAATTCTTGTCAACATGACATGATCAAAGTTGTAATATTTCAAACACAGATAACCTACAGCTTATATCCCCAGAATGACGAAATTACTATATAATAATAATAGCAATTATTATTATCATTATTATTTTATTATTATCAAAAAAAATTATATATATATATATATTTATTAGCTGGTGTGTTTGGATTACATTTATATTATTATTATTATTATTATTATTATTATTATTATTATTATTATTATATTTAAACTTATTTCAGACCCAATAAGTCCATAACACGAGTTTGACCATAACTCACAGGTTCAAGTAACTCCACTGTCACGTTTGTCAGGACTGCTGTGTTCGGTTAATATGTGGTTTGGTGGATCGGCTGGTGAGTTGTAACACCTTTTCTGTTGAAGGCTGCGGCTCGTTGTTGCTCTTGATTTCGCCGACTTTGCTTTGGATTTTTTTGTGAACAGTTTGTTGTGCGTTCAAAACGAGTGGTACTGAAAGGACGAGTTCAACTGGTGGCAAAGAGGATGGGCAAAGAAAACTAGTCCTCACTGAAAGAGCTCTTGTTTGATATTGTCAATGATAGTAAATAACTATAATATATATATTTTTAGACAAATAGAAAAGTAGAAATATGTCATGTGGATAAATGAAGAACAGTAAGGTAATGGTGTACGGTAATACTGCATGAGAGTGATAACATTTGCATGTCAAATTGACTTAAACTGAATAAAAGTTATCTTTGCTGAAGTCATTTGAATAAACAGAAACCTCTGAGATCCGTCGGTGTTTTCACCTTCAGGACTGAACAGCTGTTCTGTGTTTTATTATAAAGATGTAGACAGAGTTTCAGATGTTTGTCCCGCTCAAATAAACAAGTAAAAAAAAAATATCAGATCATTAATTCAGAAAATATGAGCCGTTTTAGTAGATGAATGTTTACGTAACCGTCTCTGAATCAGAGTTAGTGTTCGGGTTTATGGTCAAGTTCATTTACACATGCACTAAATTTATATATCAGTGTGAGACGATGAGCACAGAATAACAACGGGAATAAAAATAGAATAATAAAGCTTTTTACTGCAGGACTATGACTGTTCAGGGAACTTAAAGTACGGTGGCCCTGAGGAGCAAAAACACAACGACAAATCAGAAAACAGAATGGCAAAAAAAGAAAACACAACAACATTAACCATTGAGTTTTCTCTTTTTGTGTTGTGTTTTTGCACCTCAAGGCTTCCGTATTAAATAGACAAAATACACTCATCAAAATTAGAGCTTGAACAAAATACATAATATATTAGAAAAGGAGAGCTGTGCATGAGTGCAAAATCTAGCAGCAGGAGAATGAAAAATACAGAGAGCGCACTGTTCATATAACATTAATGCACAGTGCAGTTTTCTGTGTGTTTAAATTGTTTTGTTGCACAATATCCCTGCAAAAATAATATCAGTATCCCTGCAAAAATTCAGAAAGTCTGTCTCCTGAGTTACTGGGACAGAATTAGTGAAACATTCGAGCTGTGTGTGTTTTCAGACGTACACAAGCTCCTGTTTCTAAGGTTATTTTTTCTTAAGGATGGTTTATTAGGATCATATCTGCTGCTGCTGCTAAAGGAGTCACCTGCCCCACCCAACCTGCTGCTGGTGTGCTGAGGGAGGAGGGGAGGAGGGGAGGAGGGGGGAGTCGGAGTCAGTTCCGTGGAAGCAGAGAGCTGATGAAGTGAAGTCACCATTTTAGGTCATGGTCTAAACGGGAGCAACAAGAATAGGCTTCATTCTCGTCATCTGCTCCTACACGGGGCGAGAGAGAGAGAGAAAGAGAGAGAGAGAGAGAGGGCCTATTGTACGGCGTCCCGCCTCAGACTGAAGCCCGTTTGTCCTCTCTACTGTACGCTTTAAATCACCTGCTGTGTGTCAGATCTCTGCAGAGAAACTTCATTCAAGATCAATTCAGAGTCAAAGAGCCTCTCAGAGACACTGAAGTAAAGACACCGACCGCTCCTCATGTGTCATCTAAAGGATCAACGAGATTTATCATCCAAAATGTCTGAAAATACGTGACGAACAGGGTTAATTTTAAGTTCAGTACACTCATCTTCCTCGAATCGTTCTCAATGAGGACGACGATCTTTGTGTATCCAAGACGGCAGGAAAAATACTGATAAATTTAAAACAGACACCTTTAAATGGAGAAGGACCTGGCTGTTAGCACTCGTGCACAGTTGGACTTCCATGAATATAAGAACAGGCGCAGTGGGAAGTGTGACCTCCGCTTCAGTCTGAGTGTCTGAGGGTCTCGTGTTAAATATCAAAATGTTTAAAACAGCTGGTTTGATTCTAAAGTTTTTTATTTAAAATGATCTAAAAATGAGTTTACAAATAATCTAAGTTTATACACAAAAGATGAGACTTTATATGAGATCACTCAACAGCAGCTAAAATCCAAGCTTAAACTCCCGACTCAGCTGAGGTCTAACTGAGACATGTGCAGACTTTACTTCCTGCAAGTTTTAAGTTTTTGAAACCGACACGACGAGGGACAACATTAAATCTGATAGTCTAAGTTTCTCAGAGGTCTTCTGTGTCTGCAGTCAGGTACTCTGGGATGAACTCTCTGTAACACTCTTTGACAGGCCAGAACTAATAGACGTGACACTTGTTGTGATTAGTATGCAGTGCAACATCCACCGATGGTTAACTTTAACAGAGCTGAACCAGCTTATAGTTCACATCCAACTCTTCCTCCTTCTACTGCTAAACTTCCACCAAATGATTTTCACAGTCCCAGACTAAAAACTGAAAGTCTGAAGTAAATCTAGAAGTTTTCCTAGAGTCACAGAAGAGTCACAGCGGAGTCACAGCACGCTCCCATCATCTCAATCATTAAGTTTAAGGTGGTAATCTGCGCTGTTTCATATCAGTCTTTTGTAGTCTTGTGTTCGATATTATCGCAAGTCCCAGTGACGTTACACAACCAACAACCAATAGATGAGCTCCAAAGGAAACCTGACAGTCAAAACAAGAACAAGAATATATTAAGAATAAATGGCGATAAAAAAGAAGCAGATATTGGAGCTGTGGGCAGATCAGCCTGGCCTATTTAACACCATCTGCAGGGTTTCCCCTACATGTAATGACGCACCTCCACGGCTAAATAAAAGCCGCCACACCTCAACAATAATGTTTTTTTACGCGTTACTTTGTACTCAGTATGCTTCAGTGCAGAACTCACGGGCCGCAGGGCGTGTGCCGAGTATTAGCATTAGCGAGTTCTGAGTCGTCATATATGAACACACAGCTGATTAATGAGCCACCCCCTCCCCCTTCACTGAACTGTCAAAAATACTAAAAGGATCTAGTTGTAGTCTAGTAAACAGTGACCCTGCAGGATTAACAGTCTTTGGAAAATCTCAGGCTGAGACTAAAAACTCTAAACACGTGTCTTTAGATGTGAGCTGAGAGTTTTCCAGGAGTTTTCTCCAAATCTTCTTAAAGTCCTCCGATGGACAGTTGACCTAAGATATGACGTATGATTTCCTCAAGATCTTCATAACGTCCTCTGAAAGTAAAGAGGGGATGATGAATTCACTTTGGATCATTTTAAGGCAACTACGATGTAAATGTTCGGAAAATCAGTCTTTAAAGGCTCTCAACCTGTAGAAAAATCTGTCTTTAAAAACAAAGTAAACTTTTTCCATGACGTTCAGCTTCATAGTGAGACTCAAAGATATTCCTTTTCTTTAATTTTGGATGTTTTGTTTTATATTTTTGTTTCATAGCGTTTTCTGTTTTTTTCTTTGTTGTCATTTTCTGCCTAGATTTATTCGTCTATTATTTCGATGTTGCTGGATTTATGTTCTTTACGGTCAACCCTCCCTCTGATTTTACACCTGATTTGTTATTTTCTCACTCCCAAGAATCTAAAATAAAATCACATTTCACAAAGTTTGTGCTCATTTCTGTCAGACTCATTGATGCCTCTCACAGTTTGGACCCTTTGACCTTTTAATACTTTTAACAATTTATTCAAACAAGTCAAACTTCTTTAAATGTTGTCTCCCTAACTTTGTGTTGGTATTTACACAAATACTTTTACACTGTAACAAGTTAATAAAGTCATATGAAGTAAACTGAGTTGGATATATTTGAGTTTTTTTTTCTAACTTTTCATGCATGTCACTTTGTAAAAAAGTAAAACGTCATCTATGCGCTCGGAGATCGTGAGGACGGTTCTGTTTATCAGAATCAACGAATAATTAAAGTCAGATCAATCCAATAGAACAGAGAAGAGACGGAGCCGCTCAGAGGCTCTGACTGGTTCTTATCGATTGATCCATTAGTAGATACTCCGGCTTATGAAAATGAATATTGATTTGTGTGGACATGATGATTTCCTCCTGAAGCCCATAAACGGAAATGTTTCCACTAATGCTGCTTTTCACCAACACCCTCAGCACGACCGTTCCCCACATTCAGGATTAGAAACCGTCCGAATAGATCAAGATCAGAGTGATGTGTCAGATTTATCTGTGCAGAGAAGGTAGTGATGAAACATCGGTGTGCTTTCAGAGCAAAATGAACCGTGAAGCGTTGATTACAGCTCACTAACACCTGCGGCCTCTTAAAGCTGCTGTTTGGAAATCCCCCGGGAAGAAAACAAGGGTTTGTTAAACGGTGAGAGCGACATAAAACCGATGTCAGGAAACTAACGCTACACAGGGATACCTCTCATGTTTCTATGATGAAGTTTGATTTTTTTAAGGCTGGAAATGTGAACTAATCTGTAGAAAAATAATGTATTCTTAACAACATCCAGATTCGATAACTTATCAAGTAAAGAAGAAAAGCTGATTCTCTTCAATTTTCAGCTTTGATGTGATATTAATCTGACTCTAAGTTAGGGCTGGACGATACGGCCTCAAATCAGTATCACGATATATTGAGCAGTTCACCTCAATAATGATAAACGGACGATAACTACTCCATAAGCTGCTCACCCCCTCCCACATTAAAGGGATATGCTGCCATTAAATTAATTTAGGGTCAAACGCACCGTAACACAGAGTTAGAAACTCCCTCCAGAGATGAACGTTGCCGACCGCTTGCTTCTCTAATTATACCAACTTTAGTAACGACCGCACGATAGCAATACACAGTGGTCTACATCTCCATGCACAAACCTCAACCAAAACGTCATAAAGAAATGATCATAAATGTTCTTCCTTGAGCTGCGTCACCCCACTATAATCCGTAATGGACTGGCCTGGGTCACAGCCATAAACTAGACGGCTGCAAAGAGTCTTGAGTTGTGTTTGACTCATTTCTAAAGAAATGAGTCAAAGTTACAAAATGTTTGGTGTCTAGTACTATGTCTGTGACCCTAGCAGCCGCTGTTGATGAAGTTCAGGTCCTGTTCTGAGCATTATTTGTGGCTATAGAGTGGCGTTTTGGTTGAGGTTTGTTTATGGCTCCTCAGACTGCTGTGTATCACTATCCTGCGGTCGTTACTAAAGTTGGTCTAACTAGAGAAGCAAGCGGTCGGCAACATTCATCTCTGGAGGGGGGGTCTAACTCGGTGTTACGGTGTGTTTGACGCTAAATTGATTTACGCCAGAATATCCCTTTAACTTCGTCTACTTCAGCCGCTCCAACTTTTGAACCGTCCTCCATCTCCTCACCTGTCTTTCCCTCTTTGTTACGGACTGGATGGGGTGGAGTCACGTCTCTGATGTAGGACAGCGTCTTAAAGGGACATGAGACCACAGCCTACCTACACACATCCAAAAACAACTTTTAATTTCGGTATTGGTAAATTTCGGTTTCTCACCCAGCCCTACTCTCAACAGTTTAATTCCCAACCAGACTAAAAATGTTCCTCTCCGTTCAACAAAGCCTGACTTTAGTCTTAACTTGCTCCATATTTCATGGTCTGTTGAGGATCAGAGGATGTAGAGTCAATGACATACCGATAAAGAAGGTGTCAGGCGCTCCATCACCCATCAGGAGCTCCACCGTCTTCGGGTCGAACCTGAGCCACAGTCCCACAGCCAGAACCAGCAGGCCTGACAGCTGAAGGGGGAAAACCAGATCATTAATATTCATGTCTTATTATCAAACTTTAGGATCTTTATGAAACTTGGAGGATCCATCAGATGAAAAACTTTTTAGTGCTTTGAGAGTTTGCCCAGAAATCACTCAAACACCAAGTCCCATCAAGGTTTTTCTTTGCTTCCTGGATTCATTAAGATTCTGTGTGTGCAGCAGATCAGGCAGCGAAGTGTCTCTAGATTCTCACTGTCTGTTTATTCTCACCAAACTTCAGCCAGAAATGTTAATGCTGAAGGTTTTCAGACTTGTTTAGACTTTTCAAACCGAGTGTCGGAGCCAGAAGAACACTCCCGTCTCTGAAAAGGTTGTCTCTGTATGAGGCTCCTGCTGAAATGAGGCTGTTGAGGCTGAAATATATGAAGTGTTCAAGAGTTTGTCACAACACTGAGAAGACAGCCGAGCTCCCGGGGCGAGCTTTACCCAGAATAAACGGATCAACGAATCAATGAGGTGTCACCCTGAGAAACAGGATCTTACCGACCTTGAGGAAACACCTAAACGGCTTTATCTGGTTCTTCTGTCACTGGAAACACTCAGACAGAAGATTTTACACTAAAGCTGTGTGGGTGTGTGACAGGACGGCGTTTAAACCAACAAAACAACACAATCATGACCACTGAGGTCCCAAAGAACAAGATCTGTGACTTTTATGCACATGATCTTATCTTGTGGACTCTGTTTAATGATCTTGATTAATGAAAATCATGGTGTGCACAGACTAATATCTTTGAGTCAATTATCTTGAGCACATAACAGATTTATCTTGTAGTAAAAAGTAATTATCTTGAGGGAACTGGGGTTGTATGTGCGCAAAAGTTAATATCTTGTCAAAGCAGGTTCAATATCTTGTGTGCATCTAATAAATCCAGAAGAAACAAGATACAATCTCAATGGAAGAAATTTAAACTAGAAGTTCAACAAGCAAGATATCTTGTGTGCACCACATACTTATTCTGTGGTAACAAGATGGTTATCTTGTGTGTAAAATACATCTATCTTGTGAAAAGATTATTGACCTGAAAGAACAAGATATTATCTTGAGGGCAAAATGTATTACTGTGGGGTTAAACAAGTTAATTATCTTGTCCTCACTAGTTTCTGTCTTATGGAAACAAGATGTTATCTTGTACGCACAATACATCTATCTTGTGAAAAGGATATTAACTTGAGAGAACAAGATATTATCTTGAGTGAGAAAAATTGTCATTTTGGGGAACAAGCTAATTATCTTGTCCTCTCTAGTTTCTGTCTTATGGAAACAATATATATATGTTAACAATATCTTGTGCGCAAAATATATAAATAAATATATAAATAATTCGATAGAACAAGTTAGCTTGAGCACAAAAAGTGTTAATACAGGGAATAAGTTATCTTGAGAGCAGGATACAATTATCTTGTTTAAAAAGGTTATCTTGAGTAAACAAGTAATTATCTTAGGTGCAAAATTCACTATTAAAAGGAACAAGATTATCAATTGATCTGACTTATCATGCACATGATACAACAATCTTGCAGAAGTGTGCTTCTGTCTTGTGGTAGCAAGATATTATCTTGTTAGCTTAATTAGGACAAAGTTAATGTTCTTGTTAACAAAATACACCATTTAAATGATATAAAACTATAACCTTAGATAGCATCAATACTATCTGTCAATATCAGTACCAAGACAGTATCTTGTTTTTTTATCCAAACAGTTTAATTATCTTGCGTGCACAGCACAATTAGCTTGTGGGTATAACTTGTTATCTTGCGCACGTGCTACAGAAATCTTGCAGGAATAAGTTTCGATCTTGTTGGAGTCGGTTATCTCATGTTTAAAAGTTTTTACCTTTCAGGAACAAGTTAGTCTTACTGAGCAAACAATATAATTACAAGATAACTGTCTTGCGCAAACAAGATAAATGATTGCACTTTTAGAAACCCAACTTTTTAAACTTTTTACATTAAAATCAACTTTTTAAAATGTTCATCAGGATTAAAAGTCTCTTTAGTTATTTCCTCTCTGTATTAAACTGACAGTCAAAGAAACACCCACACCCTCACTATCAGCCGCTCTTCTTTCCTCATGAACAATTTGAATATCATATCTAACTGGCAGCATGAGCCATTCATCTCCCATGGTGCATTTCAGCCACAGGCGGTGCCAGCCTCACAGAGCAGGGTGATGTAACGCTCACTGTGATTGGCTGCCGGTTTGGCTCTGCACCCCAAAATGACAGCGTTCGGACATTACGCCCCTTTTGGCTGCGACCACAACGGCTCTGCTTTCAGCCCCTAAAACTCTGAACAAAGAGGCCGCTGTCACTTCGGTGACACAAGAGATCGTCTTACAGAGCACAGTGAGCCGATGCAGCCGTTAAAACACATATACACTGTATCATTTAGCTGTAAAACACAAGCATCCATTCTGGACAATTACAGAAGTCTATTAGAGCATTTACAGCTGTAACGCCTGATTGGCAATTTGGCAAAATCAACCTGCAACCCAGTGGATGGTTTGAGTGATATTTAGGTAAAATTTCCAAACATGACAGAGCTCAGGTCTGTCTGATATGAGGATCAGCAACTTTGTTTTGTTTCAAAAGATAGAAAATTTAATATTTATGGGATTTTTGGCTCTTTTTCAGACTAAACCAACAACTTTGTAAACATAATCTCTAGCTTTGGGAAGCTGTAATTTGCATTTTGCAGTTTTCCAACATTTTATGGGGCGTAAAAAAAAAAAAAGGTGATGTAAAAATGCAGCTAACTAAGTTATCTAAAGAGCTTGCAGTACTAAGTTTCCTGATTAAACCTTCTTCATTTAATATTCCAGTGCATGACACAGCCAAAGTTTTGAATGGTTGCTATCTTAACACAGGAGAATAATTAGAAAAAAGAATATATGCATCTTCTACCGTCTAAAGTTAGAGTAGAAACAAGGATTTGGCTCTAATATGGTTAAATACATCTGCAGGAGACAAGAGAAAAAACTGCAGAAAAAGATCAATTTAGCACCAAAATTGGTCTTATTTGCTATTTTTAATTTGTTCAAACAGGTTGCATCTACCTACAACCTCTGCCAAAGAGAACTACAAGCTACAAGTGAGTCCTAACCACCGTTATCAAATATTTATCCCCATCATCCGTACAGATAATAACAAGACTTGACAAACGATGAGGAGATAGTTCACTGCAGTGGAAATCAGCACTATCTGAGCTGATCTAGTGCAGCAAACAGACCGACACAAACCTCATCCATGATGTACCATAAACAGATTAACCCTATCTGTAACACACACACACACACACACACACACACACACACACACACACACACACACACACACACACACACAGAGTCCCAGGCGTGCAGCAGGAAAGTCACAGAACAATGATAAACCATCGGAGAGGATCTGTTGGAAAAGTAGCATCACTCTGCAGCTTCCCAGGATGACCACACTACATTATAGACTCAGAATAAATCACATTAGTGTGAATGTGTGGGCGGCCTACAGGCTCTCATTTGATTTATACATTAATTATTAACTTCATCTCATTAATGGGGAACTCTTTGCGGGCTGTAACAAGGTACTGTGGCTTCCTAATGGATTAAAATGAAAATATTGATGATTTATAGGCGCTGATGTTTTGCATTAGCTATAGGAGATCCTGGTTATTAAATCCCCATAAAAGTAAATGAGGTTTGGTTTGATAATGTAGAGGCTCTGCTGTGAGTTTGGAGCGAGCAGGTGGATATAAATAACCTGCAGGTTTTACTCTTCAATGCACAATGAAACTATCTTATTAAGAAACCATATTTAACCCTATAAACAGACTGATAACCTGCAGAGTATGGGACAGATAAACAACACAACAAGGAGGAGCAGCTGCAGCCTTTCTGCACACAAAGACCAGAGATAATCAGCTTTTCAAATGCAGAATAAATCAGCAAAGATCGACTCCTGCAAGAATTACAACTAAACAGAGATAAACATGCTGAAAATGAGTTAAAGAAGAGCAGCTTTTGCAGCAGAGGACTTACCCAGAAGATGAAGTTGAAAACGAAAAGCAGATATTTCACGCATTTCATCCCACCCTGCACTTTACTCATGATGCCTCCTTATCGATCTCTCAGCGACCCCGATATAAACGATTTTATATGTTTATAAATGATCAAATTTATCGTCTAGTCTTCAACTGGACATCAACCATGAAATGATGCTGCTGTCCTGCTCCGATACAAACATGCGCACAAGCTGCACGGACAGGCTGCACGCGGCCATGCCCCGCCCATCCGGCGTATGGGGCTCGTGTGTGTGTGTGTGTGTGTGTGTGTGTGTGTGTGTGTACCCCCTTAGGGAAACTCCAGCAGGTCCCCAAACAGCAGAAGGTGTAAATTCAGAGTTTAGTGTCGCTGCTCTGAGTTTGTGATTTTACAGAAAACGGTCTAAAAATCCACATTATTAATAAACATTTCACTCTTTTTTATTTTTGTCTGGATTTTGTTGGATTATATAAGAATCTCTATGTGGGTAGGTGATGAGAAACTGGTGTACAAAAGTGCCATCTGTCTGCAGTCTCTTTTCTTCTTCTTCTTCTTCTCCTTTTGAGCTGATATAATGAATTCAGACTGTTCAGTATTCAGAGGACGTCCAGACCCCCCACGGGGAGCCCACAGGGTCCAGGAGTGAGCAATACATTTTTTTTTTTTACTGAATAAAAATCTTCAGCAGATGAAATCATAATTCCTGAGTAATCGGTGAGATCATCAGCTCAGCTTCAGCGTCTGTTATGGAAATATAAGAGACCCTGTGTTCACCTGAAACACAGCGACATGAGATAAGATGACTTAGTGACACAGTTTTTAGAGAATAGAGGCGTGTCTGTCTGTCATCTTGTAAAGTTCGGACCTTATTCTTTTGATTTATGACTTTATTCTTGTTAAATGGATAATCCAGAGCGAATGTCGTCGACCGCTTTCTTCTCTAGTTATACCAACTTTAGTAACGACCGCAGGATAGCAATACAGAGAGCCATGCGCTCAACCAAAACGCCACTCTATAGCTACAAATAATGCTCAGAACAGCACCTAACTTCATCAACAGGACATATAGGGTCACAGACATAGTACTAGACACCAAACATCTTTTTAACTTTGACTCATTTCTTTAGTAGAGACTAAACACAACTCACCTACTCTCTTCCAGCAGACGCTTGTTTGTAGTGAGACCTCAGGCCAGACAGCGGGGTGACGCAGCTCAAGGAAGAACATTTATGATCATTTCTTCATGGAAATACAATCAGACCGATGATTATTACTACAAGGAAATGATAAAGAAATGATCATAAATGTTCTTCCTTGAGCTGCGTCACCCCGCTGTAGTCCGTAATGGACTGGCCTGAGGTCTCATTACAAACAAGCGGCTGCTGGAAGAGAGTAGGTGAGTTGTGTTTAGTCTCTTTGCTAAAGAAATGAGTCAAAGTTAAAAAGATGTTTGGTGTCTAGTACTATGTCTGTGACCCTATATGTCTATATGGCTATAGTGGCGTTTTGGTCGAGTGCGTGGCTCTGTGTATTGCTATCCTGTGGTCATTAGAAAAGTAAGCGGTCGGCAACATTTATCTCTGGAGGGGGTGTCTAACTCGGTGTTACAGTGTGTTTGACCCTCACTTAATTTTACGCTGGAATATCCCTTTAATATATGACTTTGGTCTCAAAATATCTTCTCTATCCATCAGGCGTCCCTACATCCTCCATCTTTGTCCAAACCTGAAAGTTTCCTGTCACATGCTGCTGCCTATAAATAGATGTTTCTGCCTGTGTTGAGTTTCAAAGCTTTTTCACACTGTCAGCAAAATCTTGAGGAGAGAACAGATGCTGTTTTTCCTTCAGGCTTTATACTATTTATACACAAGAACCTACAACTGCAGTTCCATCAAATGACCACTAGAGACCTCTCATACCCAGTTTTAGCCCCGTTTTACTGCGATCATCAGCCTCTTTCGCAGCTACAATCCCAAATTTTTGTAGCAACTTTAGGACATTAATTTTCTATAGTGACTTGTTCACATGTCCTTCACAACAGGAAGTTTTCAGAGTTCAGTAAGGACGGCAGGGGGCAGGAGATGAGTCTCGGAGGCAGTGTAGTATTTGCCAAAACTACGTGTAAAGACGTCTTTACTACTGTCCTCTTTCACATTCTTTTACTTCTTCAACTTTGGATGTTTAATGGTCCGCATATTCCAGATTGTTCTTCTGTGTTCACAATACTAAGTCCAACACTCATGCCCTGCAGCAGCTCTTTTGTGAGGCTAAGTTTTCACATCAGCCCCAGAATCTTCTGAAATTTCATGAAGGATCTGGCAGGAGAATTTCTACAGAAGAGGATTAGGGCCACTAGGAAAAAAAAAAAGGTCCAATATAATTTTTTTAAGATAACTGTTCTGCTATTAAAGTCAGAATTCTGAGACCTGACTTTAATCTCATAATTCTCACTTTTTTTGTCAGAATAATAATTTAAAGTAAATTATATCGTACCTTTTTTTCCCTTCAGTGGCCCTAATCCTATTCTGTAGAAATTCTTGATAAAGTCAGGTGGAAATTTCTGATGTTTGTATAAACATCCAGAAAATTCCTGGAGGTTTAATGGTTTTTGTGCATATATGGATACAGCTATAGTTTCAACTTTAAACTTCTTTAAATGAAGATTTAATATCAACCTTAAAGAAGACTTAAACCTTTGTACACTGGTGAGACAGTTTGGTAGGAAGTGCTGCCAGCTGTCTGCCTGCCAACACCTAAACTAATTTAAGTCACTTTAACCCACTTAGCCGATGATTGCTAATTTAATCACATTCAAATTTGGTTTCTAATGACTCTAAGAAAGTCAGGACGGCTTCCAGTTTGATGTTTTAAAACTTCAGTCCACAAGGAAATGTTTAATATCATGGCCGAAAACCTGACTTTTTCTTCTCTCTTACTATCCATGCCGTTAGCATGTTAGCATGTATGTTAGCCGTTAGCTTGTTAGCAAGTATGTTAGCAATAGATTTTAACAGATAGTAATTCTTGGTCATGTAAAGACTCAAATTAAACCAACAGTCATAAAAATGAAGGTTCTGAAGTTTTGCATATTTGACTCATTTATTGTGTATTAGTTTGTGCTTAAATTTCACCTTAAAGATTTATTTCTTAAATGTTCTCTGTCTCTTTAAAAAGGGTAATTTACAGGCTGAACTCCTGTGTAGCCTTAGTGTAACACCTTGTTTCACCACTAGGTGTCAGTAGCGTTATTGTTTTGTTACTTTCCTCCTGATTGAGCAGGTAAAACTCTGAGTTATTAAGTATTTACAAGTGCATGTTCATGCTAGGCTGTCTTTATCTTATGTTCTCATTCAGTGTGGATAAAATGAAGAATGTTAGTGTGAATCTGCAGGTCTAATTATGCCCATAAATACTCTAAAAATAAACCATAAAGCTAGCTTTGTCTCTGTCTCAGTCTGCCTTCATATTTTTCCCACAGTGAATAAATGTCACATGTAGAAGCACATTTGGATTGACAGCAGAGCTCCTCTGTGTGTCCTCTTCAGGCTGAGAGGGTCAACACGGGTTCAGTCCCTCTGACAGGCCGGCTTCTCATGTTTGAGCGGTCTTTGTTCGCTGCTCAGGGGTGGGAGGAGGAACAGCGACGCCCTGTTAGTGTGCCAGACTATCTGTGAGGAGGATCATGAGACACAAACACACAGCTGCTCACCTACACTCCACTCATCACATGACTAACAACCCAGTTCAGCTAAAACCACTTAAACCACTACTAATACAGGCTTTACATAGATAGATAGATAGATAGATAGATACTAAGATAGATTCTTCGATAGATACATAGCTAGAAAGAAACATAGTTAATAGATACATACATAGATACTATAGATAGATAGATAGATAGATCGATAGATAGATAGATAGATAGATAGATAGATAGATAGATAGATAGATAGATAGATAGATAGATAGATAGATAGATAGAGTGTTAAACCATATCCTCAGGATTTATAATGAAGTCAAAGTCTTATTTTAGTCTCCCTGTCCCCTCCCTCTCCACCCTCCCCTCTGGTCCTGATATGTAAATCTGGTCTAATAATGTAATCTGATCTCCATATGGTGCAACTGTGACTCATCCTCCTGATCTATGAGACTCCAGAGGTGTAGAGACGGACAGACAGACAGACAGACAGAGAGTTTAAACTCAAATCCTCATCGATTATAAAGATCGTGTTTGTGGGACATGGAGATGAATTAATTATAGATTATCTGTTAAGTGTCTTTTAAATATCAATTACAATTTAAACTGTCATTATAATAGATAAAAATGACATTTTAGGGCCTGTCACTAGTTTATAAATTACAGTTCTTCTCTGTTTGTAAATCAAATATAAACATAAACTGAATCGTGTTTCCTCTTTTTTTTTTGTCATTAGTTGAAGTGTAACTGGACTCAATATTCAGTAACATCTATAGTACCATCTAGTGGACAAACTGAGAAGTGAACATCCACTCTGTCAGCTGGGGTTTGTTTAGATTAATTACTTTTTAGGAGGATTTCTGGGTTTATTCTTGTTTCTTAGATCCATCCGTACATTTAAAATAGTTGCAACAATTAAAATAAAAATTACTGTTCAATTTTTTCAATTGATTTTTTTTTTGCACTTCTAATCATTTATATTTGAATGAGTTTTAACAGGACAGCGCTAAAGGTGCTGAGTAGGTTTCATCACAACTACTACCATTACTACTGCTAATACTTCCAGTATACGTTAAAGTAGTGTTCGTGTTAGCAGGTGTATTAGTACTGATAACTGTAGACAGCTACTTTTAATTTCACAGCTGTAGTAGAAATGGTGTCAATATTAGTTTTGGAAGTAGTAGCAGTAGTTTTACAAGTCATAGTAGTTGTCACGAGGGAAGTATGAGTGCAGTGGTTGTGTAGGTAGTAGTAGTATAAGTACTAGTAATTATAGTTAAAACTTAGTTGAAGTAATTATCGTAGTAAAGGGGTTGTAGTGTTCAGATAGTTGCTGTAGTTATCACACAGAATGAAAAGTACTAGTATTAGTTGAAGTAGTGAGGAAGTAAATCTGTGAATCAAACTAAAAATCCACATTTAAACTTCCTTTAAGTATTTATTACTACATGTTTTAGTTTGTTTCTCTATATTCATTTGATGTTTTCCCATAAATTCTCAATAAATTAAAATTAACTGAAGATTTTTAATTGAAAAGTTCATGTCAGATAATCCTGGTTTTAAATGGTTTTATGTAGCTTTTCAAATACTGTACATACTTTGTGTTCAGATTACATAAACTTTTTTTTTAACTAGTATAGTAGTTTAAAATCCATGTTATGCCTTTTACAGAAATTATAACAGTAACGTTGTTTGGTGTTACTCAGCATCTCTGCATCGTCAGGGTTTATTTTTTAATTTTATTTATTCATTCTTTATTTCATTTGTTTAAAAATAAAAAGAAACAATTTAATTTATTTACAAATGTTCTGTCTTGAATGAAAGGGAGCAGAAAGAAGACTAATCATTGACTTTGTGGCCCTGTGAGGTCAGTTCCAGCCTTTTGCCACTAGAGGACAGTGCTTCATTAAAATTTGATGCAGTGCTGTGTTGTTGCTTAAGTTTGAGGTAAGCATCCAGCTGTAAACCAAACAAGGCGTCTCTAATGAGCAGATTTTACAGTTGGCAGACAGACAGCTTGAATGGAAACACTCGTTATAAAGTCACATCAGATCATCCGCCTCTTTGTTTCTGTTTCGACTTTGACTCAGAGCTCTCTGAACTTTCGTCAGACATCTTAAATGTCAGCAGTGATACAGAAAAAACCCAGACTTTAAAAATATCACCACTTTTTCCTGTGGTTCACCCTTAAAATAGATTTTTTTATGTCACAGAAATGTCACTGCAAGAACAAAGACGAACTACGTTATTATCAGGGCAGAGTTAGCATGAGAAACCTGAGTGTGTGTGTGTGTGTGTGTGTGTGCGCAGTCTTATTTATGTTTATGCCTGTTTTATTTTTTGCGTATTAACTGTAGAATAGAGAGCAGCAGGAGAACACAAAGCGGAGCCAAAGCATCAAATGACTGGCAGGAAAATGAAGCCATATGGGATCTCTGCTCATTTTTCCATCCAATCCAGAAAACTGAATTTCCTTTCATGTCGGAGCTCTCTGGAGGAGCAACAGGCCCACAGTGCAGACAGTAAATCACCATGAATCCACACATAAACACAGCACATGTATGTAAGTGTTTAATAAATAACAATATCAACAACAACAACATTTTAACAAAAGTCTTACTTATATCAGACCTGGGTCAAACTGTTTATCTGTTTACGTAGAGAGAGGGCTGTGCTAAAGGAGGGTTGTGTTGTGGTGCTAAAACTCTCAGGGTTGTTTGGCTGCAATTAAAGGTTTAGGATGAGTGAAATTAGGATCCAACCTGAACACTGCAAACATCATTTGAGATGTGTTCAAAAGCATCAAGTCCGAGTCCTGCAAGAGTCACCTCCACGTCCTTTATCGTATCATTGGTTTGAGTTTTATTGGCTCTAAAGGCTAAAACGAACTAGAAGTGATGAAATCCACTCTTCAGTCATTCCTCAGCTGTGAATCACAAAGTTTAGTCAGACTCTGAGAGTCACTTTCACTCACAAACAACTCTGAGTCTGAATCAGCGGTGACCTCCTGAGCGCTTCCAACAAATGTACTTTTTTATAAACTTTTCTCGTCATATCTCGGGTTCACTTTCCCGTTTTAGTCGCTGGTCCCTCCTGGTGAGACCAGCTGCCCTTCACATCAGATGAGCCCGCTGAATTTGTTTTTTTAACACACAGACCTTCTGTCTTTGGCCTATGAATGTCTTTAAAGGCACAGTGTAGGGCTGCACGATTAATCGATTTTAAATCGTTATCGGATTATTTGATGATGACAAAGTTAAAAAATTAAAATCATCTAATCGATTTTCCTCTCTATCATGTCTCGCACCTCCAGGCCACCGTAGCTCCTCGTCCTTCCTGCAGTTCCCACACACACCAGTGTAAACAAACATGGCGTTTGCAAAAGAAGGCGATAATTTCGTGGTTAAATAGGACAAGAGCGAGTCAGTCGTGTTGAATTGGTACGACTTCACAGTTTCAGATGAAGAGTAAACCACTCCCCGCTGCAAAGTCTGTCTGAAGGCGGTATCAACCCGTCACCACGGAAACGAAATAACTCATTCTGTGTTATTATAGAATCATAGCGGCACCGTAAGAGTAGAGGTATAGATATAAAAATTGCATCCCAAATATTTTAAATGATTCAAAAAGAAAAAAAAAGTCCTACTTGTTGTTGAGGCTCTTGGGTATATTTTACAGCTGTACAGCGAGTCCTTGGTCATAATGAATTATTTTTTAGCTGAAGCAACATTCATCATTCAGAAGAAGAGTTAGTGTTTATTTATTAACTTGACAGGATTCAACTCAAATTAATTTAACATTTTATTTTTGTGTCCTTAAGGGGGTAAACAAGACGTTTAAAGCTGCCTTTGATTTCAAGTCATTGAGTAAAGAGTAACCGCATGAATAAAAAGGGAACCCAGTTAAATATGTAAAATACAACTGTCCTTCAAAGTCAGTCTAAAACACACTGGAGGATGTGTGTGGAGTTAAAGGTCCTGTTTACACCGAGCATCAACATCAGGGTTCAATGATCATTCAGTCCACACGTTAGGGAGGTCTGAGAGGCATCAAAAAAATCAGTTTGGTCATTTCACAAAAGTTAAATTTGACAAATAACAGCCCTGTGCAGTTCGAACAAAATTTGACTCCTGATGAGTCAAATCGTTAATCTCAAACGTGTCACTGATCATGATAAAAATTCCACCTCTAGATGACTTTAATAAACCCGGACATTTAGACCGCGACATTATAGTTTTCAAAAGAAACGGGCTGATGTAGGGCTGGGCGATATGTCCTCAAATCAATACCCCGATATATTTAGTAGATCACCTTGATAATGATAAATGGACGATAACTACTCCACAAGCTGCTCACCCCCTCCCACATTAACTTCGTCTACTTCAGCCGCTCCAACTTTCTCTCCGTCCTCCATCTCCTCACCTGTCTTTCCCTCTTTGTTACGGACTGGATGGGGTGGAGTCACGTCTCTGATGTAGGACAGCGTCTTAAAGGGACATGAGACCATAGTCTACCTACACACATCCAAAAACAACTTTGATTTATTTATTTGACCCTGAATCTATTGATATGGGCAAAATGACGTTGGTTATTGTCATAAATTTCGGTATCTGTAAATTTTCAGTTTATCGCCCAGCCCTAGACTGAGCCACAGACTGGCCCTTTGAATATGAGCAGTTCAGATAAACACAACAGTGATTTTTTTTCTACTCTTTGGTAATTTAGTAACCAACTAAAGTATCTCATTTACTGATTTTATTCTGTCTAATTTAAGTTTTTGTTGATGGAGCCTGGAGCACTTTTGTTTGTTTATGTTATTTTTGTTTTGTAGTTGGACGTTAAACTGATTTACTCCGGTGAGAAAGCTGGTCATAAACGGTGAAAATTGTGGCACATCTGTCATGAAGTGTTACCTCTTCATTCAGTTCATCATAAAGAACATATGGATTTATTTTAGGGCCAAAAAACTGAGAATGAGAAAACAAAAGGTGGAGATACTGACGGCTGGACAGATGCAAAACTGGAGCAAACTGCTCAAAGCTTTGGGGTGTTTTTAGAGCTTGAATATCATTAGTGCAGTTTGTTTTGTGAGGTTTTAACCATAGATTGGATACAGAATGGACGCCACCATGTAAAGCCACCATGAGAACAGCACCCTCTGGTGGCGGGCTGCAGTGTAGGTCATAAATCCCGCCTCCTCCAGTAATCCCTATGGAGCTGTGGACAAACTTTAGAAGTTAATGACACAGAATATAAATGTTTCTCCCCCCTGGTTTGGATGTTGACATGTAGTTACTGTCAGACTGCATTAAATGTTTGACCTCGTTTAAGAGAAACCACATCCCAAACAACTCCATGCTGCGCACAAGATGATAAATCACCACCTTCAGAGGTTTTTACAGGCTGATAATAACTAAAGTGACGTCACTTCAGGCTGTTCAGTTATCAATTAGTGCAGCTCCTCCTGGAGCCACAAAGGCCAAACTGCTCTTCAGGACTCCTCAGGACGTGTAAACAGACTTTCATGTGAAGCAGTGATGGAGTTTCCCTTTAAAGTGTAGTTATCAGAGGATTGAAAGATAAGATAATAAAAGACTACACGCCTGTGTTGACACTTCCTGAAGGCCTAACCTGTCATAAACTACAGGAAACAGACGGATGAGGAGAGATCTATGATAGATGTTTTGGACTCGGAGAAAGCAGATACTGTTTGACCCAGGTCTTCTGTTTATACATGCAGTCCTGATACTTTTTCATATACCAATAATTTACTTTGTGCAGAGGGTGATGAGTATGTCTGTGTTTGTACTGGGCGTGTGTGTGTGACTGTGTGTGTGTGTTAAGGTCTTCACTGCCGCCACGACTTGCGGCTCAGCACACACACACAGGCCACGTTGATGCGTATGAGCCTCCAGGCCACCAGGTTCTTAAAGGAGGTCAGCGCTCGGACAAAAGTGTGTGAGTTGGTGCAGTAGGAGTTCCAGTGTTTGGCGTCGATCCCCAAACAGCCGGAGCTGCCGGGGCGCGCGCTGTGACACGTCGTCTCAAAGAAATACTGCTTCTTGTTGACGTTGTTGATGTTCACGTCCGGCAGCACTGTCACCTCGTTGCCTGAAATGTCCGTGGCTTTGGTTTTGTTGCCCACCCACACGCTGATGCTCTCGCACACAGAGTAAACCCCTCTGTGCTGGGGCTCCCCCGCTCTCCTGCGGGTCCTCCTGCCGTGACCCTGCGACCCCGGGTCCGCATCGGGAGGCTGAGCGCTGAAGAGCACCCGAGGGGAGAGGTAGCGGCGCTTGGTGAAGAGTTTGGGGTCCACAGTGGGGATGGGGTTGGGGTCCTTGCCGGGATCCTGCTGCTGGGTCAGTGTGGCGGGACAAGAGTCTCCTCCGCTGGCGACCACAGCCCGGGCACTGAAGAGGAGGAGCAGGACCAGCATGGACGACCTCATGGGATCACAACCTGAGGAGCCAATCAGCACAGGAGAGAAAATCAACGACTGTTTTCTTCAATTATCGTTTGTCTGACCTTTAAAGAGTCTTTTCAGGGAAACTCCTCCAGTTTTACGACTTACAAGGATTTTTAAAAATGCGTTTCACAGTCTCGACTCATGGACGAGTGCCTGATATGTTCAGGCCAAGTGCTGAAACAGTCTAATCCTGTCCAATTTAAGTTAATCCCACCTTATTTATAGGGAACATTTCCAGTAACAACAGTGTTTACCAAAGCGCTGCACAGTGAGATGAAAAAAGCAGAACAAAAACGACGTACAAGAACAAATAAATCTGGGTTCAAATCCAAGGAATAAAAATAAGTTTAGAGACGAGATTTAAAGGAGTGTAAAGTTAGGGATGTTTCAGTGTGGAGGGACAATTTGGGGGCCAACAATCAATCTCGGATAAAAGCCTCAGATGTAAAAAAAATGAGACTTCACAACTATTCTGTGTGTATATATATATACTGTATATATATATATATATATATATAGTTATACATATAAATATTTGTTAACCTCTCTTTCTGTATTTATCACTGCTGTAATATTTAGATTTTCCCCTCGTAGGACAAATAAAGAAATATCTTATTTTAGGGCTGGGCGATAAACCAAAATTCATAGATACTGAAATTTACGACAATAACCAACGTCATTTTTCCCATATCAGTATATTTGCAGCTTGTGGAGAAGTTATCGTCCATTCATCGTTATCGCAATCAGACTGAGACGCTAAGGCAGAAGAACTACTATGTCTACAGTGCAAAATGATTGTTATGATGATTATTACTTCATGGAAATGATCCGCTGCACTCGGTGATCGATTAGTCAGGGCTCCCCCACAAACAAGCGGCTGCTGGAAGAGAGTAGGTGAGTTGTGTTTAGTCTCTTTGTTAAAGAAATGAGTCAAAGTTAAAAAGATGTTTGGTGTCTAGTACTATGTCTGTGATCCTATATGTCCTGTTGATGAAGTTAGGTGCTGTTCTGAGCATTATTTGTAGCTATAGAGTGGCGTATTGGTTGAGCGCGTGGCTCTCTGTATTGCTATCCTGCGGTCGTTACTGAAGTTGGTATAACTAGAGGAGCAAGCGGTCGGCAACATTCATCTCTGGAGGGGGTGTCTAACTTGACCCTAACTTTAAATTATGCCGGAATATCCCTTTAAGAGAAAGCCCTGGTGGATGACATCATTGAAATAACGTCCATGTTTCATACAGTCTTTGGATAATACAGCGATCAATGTCATTTGCATGATTTCATGGATGAATAAATTAAACCTTAATCTTCCGAATCCATCACAAGTCCTTTTCTTGATTCCAAAGATTGAAGATAAGCTCCGCTAAGCACACAGCTTTACATGATCCTCCATCTGAATTCACAGAAGTGAAAAAGGAATCTGTGTTTTGTCTCTCGGAGAGGAAATAGAGAACGAGCGAAATCCTTTTATTGTGAAACAGGAAAGTAACGAGCAGATCTTGTAATCTGTCTGTGTGGAGAGAAAAAAAGGTGTCATATCATCAGAAACACTGTCCTGACATCTGATTGAGTTGATACCGCTCTCTTCGATTGCCAAACACCAACAGCACAACATCTGTCTGCAGTTTCTCGTACACACACACACACACGCTGACAGGCTGTGGGTTGTGTTTAGGAGAGCGCAGCAGGAATCATGGGCGTGTTAACACCTGTGAGTCCTCAGCTCTCAGGATCTGTCAGGTAACTTTATTACACGCTGTGATGGCCTCGGGTGGCGGTGGGGAACGCTCGTGGATCAAACTGTTGGCACAGCAAATCAACAGTGAAATCATCGCCTGTACAAGAGGGCGTTTAATGTGAGATTACAACGCTCAAACCCTGTGAGGTCCGTCCAACTCAGATCAGCGTCTCTCCTCACACTCCTCTGCTCTGAAACATCTAAACATGGAAAGTTATCATCACTGCATCGAGTTCAGAACGGGTGAAATAATGACTATAAACAGATCAGAAGATCACAGTGAGACCTATTGGTCTCTTTTCTTTGTCGTTATGTGCCAATTTGTAGGACTTAAGGGAACACAGGAAGGTTGTTTTCCAGCAGGAAGTGGGAGAGAAAAACTGTGAAAACAAAGACGATGAAAAGATGAAATAATGAGAGCAGCAGCACATCTCGGGTGGGAATATCTCGAATGTACGGAAGCGTATTACATTCACTCACAAAAAAAAAGAAAACTTTTTTTGGCTGTTTTTCTGATTATTTTTTTCTTCTGTTTTTTTGTACTTATATTTTTTCCCCTCTTTCAAATTCTTATTCTGTTTTCATACTTTTTTTCATTTTTCAGTTCTCCAGACAAGTTTTTATTCTGTTTTTGGTACTTTTTTGTCTTTCTGTTTTTCAGATACTAAATCCTGAGGTGTCTGTGCACAATAGACAAATTTATGACGATTCCATCGATCTGACTTAAAGAAAGGAGTAAATCTAAGTGTCTCAAACCCAAAATAAAATAAAACTTGATTAAACTAAACAAGTGGGCCGTGTTTGCTTGAAAGTGTCTGTTTTTAAATGATCATGATCCCAGAGAATAGGAAAAATAATTAGTCTGAAAAGAGAAAAAAAAAAAATTAGTCTGAAAAACCAAAAAGACAAAAAATTACTCTTTACTTTCTACTTTTAATCGCAGACATCAACAGCAGCGCAGTGTACACAAGAGTGAAGTTAAATTACTATAATTCTGAGCTTAACTTAAACTTTAAAGATATTAAATCAGTTTATAAGTGGGAATATTTTTTACACATTCGAGAGACATTTAAAGAGTATACTTAGTGTAATGTAGCTCTTATATTATAGCTTACTTTTACCCTGTAACTGACTCAGAAAAGGTGGAGAGATTTTTACACCTTAATGCAGCATATAAGAGAGTTCTTTAGGTTTCAGGTCCAATTAATCGGAGCAGCGAACCTCAGCACCTTGACAAGAATTTGAGTCTTTGTTAGCGTGTTTGGCTCAGAGAGTAGAAGAAATACCTAAAATCTGAAGTTTCTGGACTTTTCTGTCTGATTTGATGCATCGACGATCTGCTCTTTGTACAGTGTATGGTACTTATTAAGACGTTCCCATACATCCACACACATGTGTACCTTTTCAGTGTCTCCACGTGAACTGTAGCACCTCGGCTCCTTCTAGAGGATGTGATTAGAGCTCTGTGCGGTCTGGGCTCCTGCCATCAGGCCCGGCTGTGGCCCCCATCCAGCACCCCCCTGCCCTCCTCTGCCTCCGCTCCGTATCCTGCTGAGAGACAAGCAGAGAAAGTGTCTCACCCGGCTCGTAAACCCGCTGTAAACACATTCTTCGTGAGGCCGATACTGGAAGAGAGAGTTAATGTGTCCTTCCCAGATCCTCGCATACTGAACATACCGAAACCCAGCAGCAGACCTGCATAATGTAGGTTATCTACGGTGGAAACTGTGAGACTTCAACAACACCCCTGTAACTTTACGGACAGATATACAGCAAGACATTTAGAGTTTAACGATTATTTAGGAAAAAGTGGAAACCAGATCATCCAGGAATTTTGTGTATGTAGACACACAAACACCTGGAGGATTCAGAGTATGTCAACACCTCATAACATTTTCTTACTTCAGGATATCACAGTTTATCATCTGCTCTGTCTCTTTATTTAATCTTCCAGACTAATTTCCAACAGTACCCATGATTTCTTCAGCCACCTGATCCCTCTGAGCGAGACAATCCATCAGGGTAAAGCAGGAGCAGGGATTTTGTTTTGTCATTTTGTCTCATCGCACTGTCACTGTGTTCAAGTATATTTAAAACTCAGCAGAAAGAGTGTTATTGTTCACCTTTTTTAGTGTCAGTCACACAGAAACACTGACCTCAACAGCTGTGAAAGATTCACCGAAAACATCGCTTCCTAGAAAACAGTCAGAGTGGTAAATCTTATTTAAAATATCTTTATAGACGGGGTTAGAAAGTGAGAGAGTAGGTCATGGCACGATTGCAAAATGAAAGGAATGTTATTTATGCATAAATAAATGTAAATGGGCAGTAAATCTACTGAACAGCAGTATACTCCTGGAGTGAATCTGCACTGGAACAGGAAGCATTTCTTCTTTATGGCGTCTTAAAAACCGTGGTCTCTGGCTGTCAGCGGCTTTAAACCTACAACCTTTTTATCGGCAGGATGAGCTCTTTCACAAACAAACTGCTGCTCTGACCCTAAATCATGACCAGACCACTGTGGCTTAAAGGCTTATCAAATAACTCTGATTTATGTGTTAATTTTTGAAAGACGTCTAGTCTTATCTAGTTATTTAATATTAAAAAGAAGGATATACCATCACAGCATGCAGTGACAACAGTAGTGAGACCCTGAGGGCCGCGGTCAGTGATTTGAGTGGGAAACTCGATGGTTCCTTGAGATACAATAAATGTAGAATACTAACTACGAACAGAAACTACAACCAGGTTTGCTAAAAAACACAATCTAAAAGAATCTTATTCTTTTATTACAATATCAATGTGCCTTATCTTTTTTATTGTCTGCATTTTAAAACCACTAAGGAACCTGCAGGTGAACCGATAGCTGCAGACGTCATCTGAGCATAAACAGCACGTGGAGGTGAATGAGCAAATTTTGAAGCCATTTAAGATATAAGTATAGATGGAGTATGCTAAAGAATCTGTTAAAAAATATATGACAATCCAAAGAGCCAACACGATTTTGTATTTTATTTTTCCTTCAACTGTTTCCAGCATTATAAAACAAAAACACAACATACTAAAGATCAATTATTAACATTAATGCCTCCTTAAAAAATAAACCAGAATTGGATTTATTTACATACCTGCAGATATTGCTAAAATCTGTGTCATGATAGTGATTTTTTAACAGAATACAGAACCCTTTAAAAAAAGAAAAATTAGGTTTCATTTGACCGAGTTCACCATGTTACACAACAAACATTGTCATCCATCTTTGAAGATGAGTCTTAACAGTGTGATAAATAATGTTATAACTGCCTCCCGGTCTACAGATTAAACTCTGAAAAGTGTTTGAAAGCTGAGTGACTCATGTCAGTAGACCTGAACAGACTCCACTCACTGCCATCTCCAAATAACTCATGAACGACATGAAAAGACCAAAACCTTGAGAACTTTCTTCTTTAAGAAAAATATTCTCGTCATCGTTTCAACATATTCATGGACATTTCCTGAAACTTGAGGCTTTAGATGTCTGTGTACAGTACATGCTGCATGTCTGCATGCATTTGTACTTGAGTTTGAGACTTGAGCTATATTTACTTTAAAACCAGAAGTGTCCACAAACATCAAAATGTCATTATTACAGCATTTTTCACACTCACAGTCAACCTTTTCTGCACAAAAGCAGACAGGGATGAGGGGAGCATTATGGTGAATTTGACAGTACTAAAATAAGGAGAAGAATTAAATTATCTAACCTACACAGTGACCATTTAGTCATTTGAATGCACTAATATCTGAAAATCAAGCCCATAAACAAGAAGCTGAAATAAGCCAAACTACTATATGGTAATGCATCATAGATTAAAAACGCAGATAAATAGAGTTGTTTCATACAGAATGCATCAATAAAGCTGGTTTATAAGGGTAAAAATACGGATTCAACACATACCAATTTCAGGCTTTTTCACTTGAATAAAAAGCAGCATTCTTGTTTATCAAAAAAATGAATGTCACAATTATTTTCCCGGGTCTAATTTTGGCCCACGGCTCACAGCTGTAGTGTAACATCTAAACTCTGTGGGTATGAGACACGCAGTCAGCAGTCTGGTCCTGCGGTGAGAGGAGAATAGCAACATTCATTCAAGCTACTAGGTGGGCTACAAATATGCACAAAACGCCGCTGTACAACATTAGTGTGCACTGGGGCATCTCACACCGAACTACTCATTGAGCCTTGAAGCAGATGGGCTGCAGCAGCGCACGGCCACCTGATGACTCAGAGATAGAAATATGCTGCTCTGTCAGATAACACCAAAGGATGGTGAAACAGTGGAAGAAGCTGCTTTTGGCTCACCTTTAAATCCTCCTTTTTTATTCAGATTCAACCCTTTTACTTCAAACACTTTAATTTATGATGAAACATCGCTGGGATGATGTTGAACAGGATGTTTGCGGCTAAAGTTGCCAAGTATTCAACTGCAGGAATAAGTGAGCATAAAATCCAGGTGGACTTTTTCCAAGACTGAAGCAATTCAGGATATTCTGGGGTTATTCAATCCCCTTGAAATGCAAACAGTAATGAAAGGAAAATGGTGATTTGTATTTAATCAGAATCAAAAATACTTTAACAACCCCCAGGAGGAAATTGCTTTTTGTCACAGTAACTCCAGAGTCTCTGAGGGAGGAGTTAAATAGTCTGATGACCACCGGCAGGAGAGATTTCCTATGGCGCTCCGTGGTGCATCGTGGAGCGAGGACCCTTCTGCTGAAGGTGCTCCAAATAAAACAACGTGTAGTGTATGAAAAACATAACCTCCATCTTAAGAGCATAGTACTGTATGCCAAGCTAACACAGATCCTCATCATCACAATAATGTAATGTTAAAAAAAAGAAAAGAAAAAAATTATCTGTACAACGAAACATGCTTTCAATATTTTTTACACCGTCTGAATAAATAATCTGTAACAAATTCACAGATTTTAACTAATGAAAAGCAAATAGAGTTGTTTAAAAACGCTTTTGCCCTGCCTTTTTAATGGTGTGTGAATAATTATAATTCTGTGATAAATTTACCACCAAAATAGGCCTCATCCTTTCCCATTTTATAGCCTAGTTGGGCAGTATTGGTGCTTTTACCGGGTTTAATTGAATATTTTGGATCTCTGTAGTGAACTGAGTTTTTCTACAGAGTTGACCTGTTTCTTTTTACATGAGAAATTTATTTGACTACGCTTTTTTTCTTTAGTAATCTGCCATCGTTTTTAATGCTAAAGTTCTCTAAACTAGCTACTTAAGCCATCTCCATAGCAACATTGAGCGCGCATGGGTATTGTAGTTTTTTTTAACTTGTCTTCACTCGTGCCTCCCCATAAACAGCCGGTGTTAAAATACGTAATTTCAACGGTTCGGTGGGTTCGGCGGAGGAATAGGAAACCGACCCTCTCTAGAGAGTTAAATGTTTATAAGTTAATGAGAAAAATATCATATTTGTCACGTTTGCAACAGTTTATCACGACTACAAACGAGGTACGTCTTGAACGCACCCTTCATTTTGGCGGTCGATTCAAACCGTTTCCCTTCAGTTCAGTCATTCACAAACAAACCTGTGATTATCAGCAACTACTCTAACTCGTCAAGAGCTAATTCTCCTGCTAACAGCTGCAATATTAAGGATTTATTCTTTCTGACTCCATTTTCAGCCGATGGCCCCACCAACTACGTCTTTAACCGAGGCTTCAGGCTGGAGAGGAGCTTCTTCACAACATGGCGCCCGTGATTCCCTAACGGCAGTGGGACGCTCCTCCTTAAACCAGGTGAGTTAAAGCTGCTGATACTAACGCAACCTCGCTTACTGGATGTTTTGGCTTTGTCAAACTGGTGTTTGTTTGTTTGGAAATGAGATAAGAGGCTTTCCATGTGGTTACTTGCAAAATATTTGTTTGGACAAAAATCTAAACACAGTTGTTCTTTCTGGGCTGGAAAGTTGCTGGTTTAGAGCAACTTGCTCTTGGCTGTGTTAAAGCGCGACTGTGATAGTTGAATATGACTGGTTGTAGCATTCATGACTGAGTAAGCTGGTTGTTATTTTAGTTACCTATCTTCATTCTCAACCGATGCTGTTGTAGTCTGCTGTGAAGTGTTTTTGTTTTTGAGGCATTTTACTTCTTATTTTTAATATGCTGCTTTTTTCCCTAAGTACGCTTAAAAATCTTTGTTTTTCTCTTTTCTTGCTCTGCTCGTGTGTCATGGTCTGCTGCTGTGCAACTTTCAGTCTTTTAAAAAACCAACACTATGAACATTATCAGGAAACAAAGTGGTGGAAATAATAACTTGTGATGTTTTATTCAAGCTTCAAGCCGTGGTGCTGAGCATGCATAATACCACAGTTCTGAGGGCTGAAACTTATTGAAATTCAGCCATGATTTTTGTACTGCTTTCCTTGCATTAATACTTCCAATGGTCTCTCTTGATTTAAGGTAAATTGAACTTATCGAAACTATTGTGTGAAGTAAAGTACCAAAGTTGAGGTATTGTCCACTTAAAGGAGGTTTTAACTATAATTTCAAGTTTCAGCCCTCTGTTCTTCTGTTGAGTCCACTTAATAGCTTGTATCTGCTCCCTTATCTCATAACATTTCTTTGGGATAAAGACAACCTTTCGTGCTACTCTGTGTCTAGTGCAGCTTTAAAAAAGATGAACAGTCATCCACTATTTGCCAAGAGTTCACACCATATACAATACCCCGCAAAATCCATACTTTTACAGACATTCTTCGTTTTACTACCACAGATCAAACTACTTCACATTGTCGGTCATATGCTCTGCGGTAGAGCTGGAAAAAACTCTCAGACTGTGTATCGAGCAGCCAACTAGTTGACTGACAGAAATTATTCAGCAATTTCCTTTTCACAGTCTAATGCCAGACATTTTCTACTTAACAAATGTGAAGATTTCTGTTTGCTATGATAATAAACTGAGTAGCCTTTGTTTTGGCAGGAAAGCAGCATGAATAGATCTTTATGCAGTTTTGGAAAGTGCTGCTGCAGCCCCGTTTCTCCACAGTTGTATGATATTTTGTGTACTACAATGGCAGATTGTTCACTTTGCAATATTGTTGTCTGATTGAAACCCACACTGCCTGATGCTTTAGTCTGTTGTTTCTTTTTGCACCGCTGATGAGCAGACTCTGCTATGACACTACATGTTGCTCAGCTTCATCTGCAACATCTATTTGTAGGTTTTTCAAGTCAGGTAGTTAATTGTTGTCACTATCCCGATCTAAGTTGCGGTGAGCTGAAAGTATCAGCTTTATATCTGTAAGAGGTGTGTTTTTACAGTCGTTTAAAGTTGTTTGACCTGTTGCATTTGAAGCTCGTTAGCATTTATACACTGAAGGCAGACACAACAGTTGTTCTCCTGTCACTGTAAATGAAATAAATCAACACGCCAATCAGTTATGTGGTCTGTTAGCCCTGAAAGAAGAGGCCACCCACAACCACTGACCTACAACTCATTAGCTCTAATGGAGTCAGTTTAATGAGCCCCGTCTGGGATGACTGACAAGCAGCCTGTCGCTGGCACACAATCCAGTCTGCAGACCACAAACAATCGACCTCCCCCTGAAAAATGGCTCTGCTTCATTCATATGGTAAAAGTCACACAGGCTGCTCTGGTAACCTGATCCAGCTTCAGGGCTGGATCTCATTCAGAGGGGCAGGGAGGTGCAGGTGACTTTATCTGAAAGCCAGCAATGGGCTTTGAATGACATGCTGCACATTGCACTGCTGGGACCACTGGTGCAAAACTGAACTCCCAACTTTGAGGTCCAGGACAACAGCTGCAGCTGGACTCACTGACTATTTTGTATTTTGTGTAAAACTTGCCTAAAGCTAATTGGCAAAAGACTGTTTATTATCCAAGTGATAATCTGTAGTTATTAAATAAAACACAGTAGGAGTGCAGCGGACCAAAAATCTTCTGGTTCAGTTCTGTTTCACCAGCTTTGGTTCAGTTTGGGTCACAAATTGGACGTAGAAGATCATTTTTTAGATCAGTGAAAAACAGATAATTTACATAACTTGTCTACTTCGCACCGAGCCGCAGCTCTGACTGTGCATTTCATGGCACAATGGAAATACCTCTCATTCTCATCTATTTCAATAACAGTTTTTTTTGCACTAATATTATTCAACTACAGCCTTAAAAAGCTAGAGGACTAGGACATTTGGTTAGGACTTTTTCATTTCTGCTTTTACATTTCGACTGTAAAAAAAAAAAATACCAGTGACGCTGGTGCTGTTTGTGTTTTTTCTCCTGGTGCTGTTTATTCACTCATTTTAACTTCAGCCATGCACAAAGCTAGCATTACTGAGCTTAATGAGCATGTTTTCTCAATGCAAAGAGTAGCACGTCCTTCTGAGCCTGATCATATCCAGTCAATGTACATGAACCGTCAAGGTGTGTACTGTTGGTCCAAGCAGATGATAGTCAAACTGTGATCCATGCACCACTAAAACAAGGGTCAGAATCACTTCTTACTTGCATTTTTATAAGGCTGTTTATCCATCTAGTTGTGAATTTAGTGCTTGATTCCATTTATCTAAAAAAGAAATGCTAAATAACATCTGATGGCATAGGTTTTCTGATCAGTTTTACATCACTGTGTGTGCTTTTTTACTCTTTTTATTCACAGCCCTGGAATATAACTCTAAAATCTGAGCTTTAATCACAGTGCTGCTTAATTTGGAATAAATACAATTACATTATTTTTATTTTTGACATGCGACTTTGTGTCCCCTCCTATTGTAAAATGTCTGAAGAGCTAATGTAGAGTATAGTAGTCAATGTTATAATTCCTGAGCCGCTCACATCCTAATGGGTGGATGATGTGAATCCATTAATTAGCCGTGAAGGCGGCTCTGATTTAAAGACTGCATAGATTCACAGTCACTGACAGAAAGATCCAGAAATGACAGAGTGCAAACATCTCTTAACTCAAACTGTTTTCAGTCAAAGGTAAAAGGGGCATAATTTTGTTGCCATAGCGACTGCAGAGCTAAATCCTCCCTGAGGCTTCTTTTTTGGAGGGACTTTGGAGAGTAGGTAGACGCGAAGAAAAAGTGTCAAAATGTGAGAAACAAAAAATACACACAGAGAGGGAAAAGTTACACACGGCTCACAGCTATACTTTAGGATGGAATAGAGGAAGCCACTGACAACTGTTCCTCATTACTGAAACACTTCTTGACTGAAGTCCAGCACAAAAAGGTGAAGAATAGTTCAGCTCTCATTCATAGTCCCATTGGAGGAACGCTGTTCTCTCAGAACTCAGATCTTGCATCAGGCCGCTCGACGAAGATCTCTGCACACACACACACACACACACACGCACACGCACACACACACACACACACACACACAAACACACACAGCAGCAACAGCAGCAGGTGATATCTGGCAGTGAGCATAAGACAGGAACAGGAACAAAAGGAGGAAATTGTGTGGAAAGTTCGCAGTAGGAAGGCTTGTCTGTTGGTTTGGATTTTTATATTTTTCATTTTCCTTTAATATAGTATCGACCCATTTTCAATTTGTAAACAACATCGATCTACCAGGTGGGAAGTATTTAGACAACATTAGTGCAGTGGAGTGCAAAACATTCAAAAGAGGATAAACTAGAGATGCACTGATCCATTTTTTTCCGATACCGATACCTGGGCTGAGTGTAGGGTTGGGCGATAAAACGCTAACGATATATATCAAAAATGAATTTCCCTTGATATCGATATGAAACATGGTCAATATTCTTTTCGATAGTCGGCTTTCTGCCATGTTTTGGTAGACGATACAAATAGCAAATGAACATGAATGAATGAAATGAATGAATGAATGACACAAAGACCTCACAGACGCAGTAGCTTATTGTATTGTAAATGACATGCTACCAATAAGCACAGTTAAATTTCCTTTAAGAGTAACAGGGAACATTTAAGATTGACAAGTGATTTTTTCATATCTTGATTGATATTGATATTGACTGATATGAAAAAAATATACCTTAGACAAACTTTTTCCCATATCGCCCAGCCTTAGCTGAGCGTATCGGCCAATATCCGATACAGATCCAATACTTTTGTTAAGTGAATGAACTGTATACCTTTCCCTGTGAGTGAATTCATCAGGCTTGACATTAGCCTTGTAAAAAAAAGGTGACGAATTAACAAAGATATAAATTTACTTAATATTATTTATTAACAAGTAACAAATTGCACATTAGCACACAGCATAAAGAAGTAACACTTCCATGTAAACATTTAGTGCAAAAGGATTGACAGACATAGAATTGGAGTGAACAGAATCGCTGTGTTGCTTTTTATGATATTAATTAAAAGAAAAAACTGGATCGGCCTCATTCATCAGATTTGCGATCCACTTAATTTGTCGATATCAGAGCGGATATCCGATCCAAATATCGGATCGATGCATCCCTAGGATAAACCACCATAAAAATCCCAAATTCTACCTTAAATGACTTTGACAAATGGTAAATGACTTCTTCTGACATTACTCAGTGGACAAATGTTCAGTGGTCAGATGTTTCAGACGCTGCTGACGTGTTTTACTGTCAAATGTAATCCTCCTGTTAACTGGCAGCTTTCAGTTTTCCTGTGAGTAAAACCTGGTCATTTTGGTGCCATAACACTGATTTTTAAGCCACAGCTGCCTTTAGCAAGAAAACACCCAGAAGACAGTTAAAATTAGGAAAGGGGATATGATAGCACACAGCACAAAAGCATGCAGTGCAGTATGTTGTGATATGATACAGCTGTAACGCTGCAGAGTTAATGCACCAACGACAGAAGAGGAGTACGGAGCATGTGTATAAAGGTTGTTTTGGCACCATAAAAGAGTTACGCTGTGTGTCACATGATCGTTTCCAGAGATGCAGATAGACATCCACACGGAGATGAAATGGTTGTCGTTTACAGATTTATTCACTCTCTGACCTGTTTTCAAAAAGTACCGTTTACAGTCACCTGAAACGCCGTTTCTGTGTGGATAAGACGCCGGTCCGACAAAAAACTTTAGCGATTCCTCCTGAATTAGTTTCCGTGGTAACAGGTTGATACCGCCTTCAGACAGACTCTGCAGCGGGGAGTGGTTTGCTCTTCATCTGAAACTGACTCGCTCTTGTCCAATTTAGCCACGAAATTATCGCCGTCTTTTGCAAACGCCATGTTTGTTTACACTGGTGTGTGTCGGAACTGGGGAGCGCTCCCGCAAGGAGGAGCCCCCCGGTGGCCTGGAGGTGCCAGACATGATAGAGAGGAAAATCAATTCAAAGATTTTAATTTTTTTAAACATCGTCATAATCAAATAATCAGATTATGATTTAAAATCGATTAATCGTGCAGCCCTACAATGATTTAACTCACATGTAATTCTGAGAGATGACTAGTGATCGTAGTTTACTCAGTGCACACATCCCTAATCCAAACTGATCGATATCCAAAATGTTCCTGCTGATTTTTGAACCTCTATCCAAGTTTGCCGTGTGAGAGAGATTGTGAGTCAGAATTTGTGAGTGAAAAAGAGAAAACCACATGACTGACAGACGGCAGCTTCAGCTCAGGATGTGGTCAATAAAGCAATAAAGCTTAGGTCAGTCATGATCCATTTTGAAAGTAATCTCCTCCTCAGCATTTTGATGGATTATTTTCAGTGTCACCTTCATGCCAAGGTGTTAGAGTAAACTAGATTTTTGTTTTAATGTGTTTATTTTCATCAGTCAGGATGAATAACGGCCTCATTACCCAGATGGAAACAAACCGTTCTGAAGCCAATATTCTAACGCTACTATGGATACAATCAAAGACCACAACAACATGATGTAACGCAGTAAACCTGTTGTCATAAATTATTCCTTATTGCAGTCGGCTCACATGTGCTAATAGCTTACACATGGAAGCTGATGGCTGTAACAAAAAGGCGAACACTGAACATTACAATGTTGGAGGGCTCACATGCAACACATTTCAGATTACACTTGAAGGATTTCAGCTTTTGCTGCCGCTTGCCTCAGCTTGCCTGAGAGTCGCACAGAGGTGAAATGTCTTACTTTTTCTCTTGGCAACTAGTCAAAGGAAACCCGTTAAAGAGGATAATAACACATAATTTCCCAGTTTTCCTTGACTGCTGTCCTGTTGCATCTAGTTGAGGCAATTTTCTGTCTGACTGTTATCTGACGACTATGTGGGAAACGGTTTTTCCAGCAAAATATGACCTTTGGTTTTGAAACGGGGCCTCCGCCGGCAGTTGGTTGTGATTCAAGGCAGATGTGTGAAAGTCTGCCTGGCGCATATCAGGTCCAAACTGAGACCAAAGAGGAGATGAGGGACGCCCAGTCTGTCAGAGGGGCAAACTTTTTTAGTGATGCAACGGTCAGAAACTTCAGGGATAACGCCGAGAGAGTTTTATGACAACATCTGGATGACAAGAGCTGCCTGATGTTTGTTTCCTGCAACCGGAAACACAATCTGTAGAAATTATATCATATCTTTGAGAATTAGGGTTTACAAGCCAAGCGTTTCCCAAAAGAGGACTTAACACACACTTCCTGTTGACCGCCAGGATTATACAGTCTCCACACACACATGCTACACGATCTAATGAACTCCAAGACCTCAAAGATAAGTGAAAACAGCAAGAGGAAGAATGTGTCATAAAGCACTCGACAACTTTCTTTACGTTAACCGAAGACATGAAACACAATGACAGACTATGACAGAAACAACCGCACAAGGATGGTAAACGGCCGATTTAACAAGGACAGTTTCATTACTCACTGATGCCTGTGTTTGGTCTCAGTGTGCTGAGGAAACACAGCTGACCCCAGTCTCCATACACACACTGGAACCAAACACAACAGAGGAACAGGCCCAGCAGCTCTGGTACACCGAATTACTTAAATACGCTCTTACAACTCCGACTCAAGGGGGTCAGCGAATTTGATGATCTGTTTTCATCATCTGGTGGCACGCGTTCAAAAATCAGCGGAAGTTTAGTTTGAGTAGTTTGCGATCAAACCTTGGCAGAGCTCCGTCTCCTGAGATGAACTCTATCATCACTCAAGCGACTTGTGAATTAACTTTGGCTCGGTTCAGGGTCGAGCTCAAAAGCAGCCTCGGTGAAATAATGTGGTTGCATCAAACTCTCCTGATGATAATGATGTTTGCTTTAAGGATTACAGCCAGTTCAATAATTGGACGACGTTACGGCAGCAGAATCCAGATCAGATATGGTTTTCAACCCTTGGACCGAGCGGCTACTTCGATTTCTCTTATGGAAATTATTTGGCTAGACTTTCTGCTTTCGCACGTGTCCAGACACTGCGTATGTTAACTCTTTTACTGTTATATAAAAAAAACAAACAAACATGCAGATCCTTGAGATATCAGACTTGGACATTTCAAGAATTCTGCTGGAAAAACACTGAAGCCATTTGAGTCAACTATTTCGCTTTGCGCTGGAATTTATAGTTTTGAGTTTCTGTCCTCTCTCCTGTTTTCTTATTTTTCAGTTAATCTGAAAACAAGACCCCAAAATATATTGAATTGTGGTCTGTTTTGTTTGTGGTAGCTCATTTTTGTGTTGGGCCAAAGTGTCCCAAATGCTGCTTTCATTTTTTAACAAATGAAAAGCAGAACACAGAGGGGCCACGGGGGCTCGGAGTTACTTCCACAAGTCAAGTTATCATGTCTGACGATTTATCCCACAAAAAGACAATAGAGAAGATAAAGCTTCATGAACCAATCCTCTAAACCTGCACTCACAACAGAGAAGTTAGTAGACGACATGAAAAATTCAGCCTTGCTCGCTCAATCATTCAAGAATTTGTGATGATGTTGTTGTCCTGAATTCTAGCTCTCATCAATACAGAATGTTTATTTAGTTAATTATGGTCCCATTAACAATAAATCAGATATAGAAACCGATATGGACATTCATTTCATTGTAAAAACTCCTGTAACAGAGTTGACATTAAAAATAATACAAGAACATGTGAATTTCTCATAAATGTTCAGTAGCCACTCAGAAATACATCTGTTATCGACTTCAGACTCTTCAAAATACTGAAATACAGCCAATATATGTATGGTGTTATCTCATGCACATAATTAACATAATTAACACATCAGCTTTCTCGGCAGATAACTAAAAGCAGAAATTTTCTTATTTACAGATTCCGATGATTATAACTTTCTAAGTTGTTACCTGCTAATGCTGATATCATGCCAATAATGCATCCCCAGAACAGTTTGTTCATCTTATTTAGTTTAAAATCCTCCCTGTATATTTTCAAACACTTTTTAAGGTGTTGTGTTGTCTTAAAACTAGGGGTGCAACAAATAGTTGCCATCGACAAAAATCGATGATGAAAAAAGTCGACAATGAATTCCGTTGTCGACTATTGTCACCAGACGTGTTTTTTCCAGTGGAGTGAGGCATCTTACTTACACATGCGCAATCGCATCTCCGCCGAGCAGTAGGGTATTCAAACATTCAAACAGCGTTTATTATCATTGCCACTTAATTAAAGCAACCTCATGTTAAATTTAAGAAAATATTATAATAGTTGGTGACTTGTCCATTATTAAAATAGTCGTTAGTAGCAGCCCTACCTACCGCAGTTTTTTGCTGACATGTTAAGAGTGACAACAGAGAGTTGATGTAGTTTTTGTAAATAAGTTAGAATCAGGTTTTATCATCAGTATACAGCTGAAAAATGATCTGAGGACTTCTCTTCACTGTCCTGTACAGACGCTGATGCCTTAAATGGTTGTTGGAATAGATACAACAGACATTGACAATCTCATGTTTTCTATCCTGTGATTATATAACCCAAAGGTTCAGAGTTCGACGCAAAGTTATAGTTATTCAGGCTCTTAAGGGTCATTTTAGAAATGGAGGTGTGGTTATAGTAATTGCACAGAGTTGGCTCTGGCTGTGGTTGTTGCGTCCAATGTTATATCATTTCATTTCTCTTCCGGTATTCCAGTCTGCGGCTTCGACCGAGGATTGTTCTCAGGGTTTCTCATAAACCAAGGCGAGATGGTTCCTAGCCATTAAAAGTGCTCTCTCAAGTCATCGAGTTATTCAGTGGCCAAACTTCATCCCCATCTCTGCAAGTTCTCCCAAACGGTTTCATTACCCAAGAGCCCCAGCTTCAGAGCAGCAGTCCACACCACTGATGTGGGATTTCAGTCATGTATGTGTGATTGATAAATCCAACACTTTAAATCCAACATGCAAATTTGGTCATCAGAGAGACATCACATCTGTTAGATACTTATGAAGTGAGTATCTGAACAGGATTGGAATTTTACAGACTATTGTTTATTAATTTCTCTGTTTAAGCGAAGAAACTGCAAAAATGTTTGAACTGTTAGATGATGATCTTTGTCCACTCAGTCCTTCACATTTCTGTCTGCTTTACAAGACTGGTCAACAGACCTCAACATGCTCTGCAGTAGGGCTGGGCGATATGGCCTCAAATCAATATCACGATATATTGATCAGTTCACCTCGATAACGATAAATGGGCGATAACTACTCCACAAGCTGCTCACCCCCTCCCACATTAACTTTGTCTACTTCAGCCGCGCCAACTTTCTCTCCGTCCTCCATCCCCTCACCTGTCTTTCCCTCTTTGTTACGGACTGGATGGGGTGGAGTCACGTCTCTGACGTAGGACAGCGTCTTAAAGGGACATGACACCATAACCTACCTACACACAAAAAACAACTTTTCTTAATTTAACACCAAATATACCGATACGGGCAAAATGACATTGGTTATTATCGCAAATTTTGATATCTGTAAATTTTCGGTTCATCGCCCAGCCCTACTCTGCAGAGACAAAGAGAGACGAATGGGTAGACATAAACTGCAACCTTAATGGCTGGTGGAGGTATACAACCTTAAGGTGGAAATTCTACTTAAGACATGCTCTTAAAGTGTCAAACGTTGGCGCCTTCTCGAACTCAGTCTATTCTGATGTGTCGTGGCGTCTGTCTGTGACAGTCTGAAGTCAGTGTCAGCTTTCACTGTGTTTTGACAGTTTGTGGAAAATCAAACTGTGTCCTCTTTTGGCTTCTGTTTTGATCCTTGCTTTGACACTTTGTGGTGAACTCTGTCCAAACTGATTATTTTAAAGGTTTTTCGCTCACTTAAGCTTATGATTATATCTCAACTATTATGACCATTCAAGCAGCATCTCATGTAACCCAGGACATCTTCTGCGGCTCTTGTCTGCTGCAGCTATTGTTTCTGTTGCTGAAATTTGCCTCATTATGGTTGCACCTTCTCCAAATAAAATCAGCCCCCGCTGTCATATGAAGCGACATAGAAGTGCCGTTGTGTACTTAAAAATGCATACGTGGTTCAGCTCTGCTCCAAGATAATTTGGCTGTTTGTATCCTGACACTTTTAGTGGTCGTCTGGGCTTTTGCCTTATTTGTGTTTACAGCCTCTAATCCAAAAGAAGTTTCTGTTAAACAATTAGCCCATACTCTGAACTTGTGATGACTCAGGGATATTACAAGCTAGAATGTAACGTTATTTTAGAGTGCACAATTAGATGTTGGATGCACATGTCTGTTGAAATAGTTTGTTGAAATGTAAAGATGCTGAATACATCATTGACATTACATCAGGGACATGCATTCTAAACGTAGGGCTGGGCAATGTAGGAAAAAGTTTATCACAATATATTTTTTTATATCAGTCAATATTGAGATATATCACGATATAAAAAATCACTTGTCAATCTTAAATGTTCCCTGTTGCGCAGACTTGGAGCAACGCCCCTTTTATTGGCTTGCATGGTCGACCAAAACATGGCAGAATGCTGACTATTGAAAAGCATATTGACCATGTTTTATATTGATATCAAGGGAAATTAATTTTTGATAGATATCATGATCGTTTTATCGCCCATCCCTTCCTAAAAATTATTTTTCTTGCTCATAATTGGGTTCATGGAGAGTTGGCTGTGTGTTCCAGAGCAGAAGTTACACAGGAATGGACGGGTTTAAAGGGTCAGGTTGTAGTTGGCGTGCTGGATGAGGAGTGTGAGTCACAGTTCACACACTTTGTGTGTGGCCTTATTGAAACTCACACTCTGGAGATGATGAGGTACTCCTGCTTGCTCTTCAGTGGAGGAGAGAGGAAATACGACTCATTCGCAGGCACAGGCTTGTTGTATCTTTGCTCTTTACACGTTTTATGCGCCGTTTTAATCTGCTGACTTCAGTGAAAGCTTTCAGACTTGTACCTGTGGCCTATATTAGTGTCCAGGGTGAACAGGGGAAGGTACTTGCAGAGATTTCACCGTCTACAGTTGTACAGCAAAAGCTTTTCATGCTAACAGACGTGTGCCCTTAATGTCATGTTTTTCTGTCCATGTTTTGTAAGTGGGTACCATGTTCCTTGAACTGTGCCTGAGGCTGAAAGAGGTGATGGGACATGTCTGCATGGAAGGATAGATGCTGATGCAATTATATATGAAGAGTGTCGAATCTGTCCTGATGCTTGTGAGGTGAGGATTACCATAATAAGCTTCCTTCAGTTTGGGTAATTACCACCCTGACTTTTATTGGGACAGCAGGAGAAGAAGTAAAATATCCAGTTTTTTTTCTAAACTTTTTCTAAATTTTAAACAAATTTACTTTAGATAGTTCAGAGACGAGTACATTCATCTGTTTCTTTCTGCTGGGATTGGCCCATTTTCCAAGTTTAGACAAATCTAACATCAGATGTGCCTCTATTTGAAATTTGGCAGATCACAGGAAAGTCTTCAAACCTAATCTGTCATTCTTCATGCAACTACTTGTTCCACCGCGCTCCTCATTTGCTAACTATAAATGTGTCAGGAAAAAGGGGTGTGCCTTTAACATATCAGCTTGTGTGTTTTTCCAGGAATTGCTGTCATTAAGACATTTTATATCATGACAGAAGTGCAGCTTTATTACATCCCTGTCATGGCAGGCTGAGTACATATTCTAAATTTGCTCCCTTTGGCCGTTCAGACACGTCAGCTGAATCCCACTTTTCAGTTTCTTCATACATGCTTTTGGGAGGATTTTCTCTCCACACACGTCTGGAAAGTTATTGACAAGAACCACAACCATACCAGTGTCACTTTGTTTAAATATAGCAGTTATAAAAAGGGAATATTGTCAATTTAAGACAAACAACCTCTCTATGGTGCAATTTGCCAAGTAATGCTGACTACAACTGACGCAAAATAAAAATAGTGACATGGAGAAAATTTCACAGACTCAGGCATTTTCTCGATTAAAAAATGAACAATACTTTGCAAATGTTAACAACAACATAATTCTACTAAGTGCAGTATTGTTGAAGAACAGCTAGCGTATCAGGCTGGCGTACTAAGTGTGTACCAAGTCATCTAATGAACAAATGAATGCATGAATTTCACTTTCTCGCAAGATTTAAAGCACAATCATTTGATCACAATCCCAGAATTCGTTCCTTGGGGATCAATGAAGTATTCTGATTCAGATTTGCATAATAAACTGATGTTATTCTCTCAAACTCAAACTCAAACTTCTCTATATCACACAGCATATTACCCATAGGGGTTAATTTTACTGTAATAGTCTTATTAGGGCTGGGCCATAAACCGAAAATTTACCAATACCGAAATTTACGACAATAACCAACGTCATTTTGCCCATATGGGTATATTTGGTGTCAAATAAATCTATAAATTAAAGTTAGTTTTGGATGTGTGTAGGTAGACTATGGTCTCATGTCCCTTTAAGACGCTGTCCTACGTCAGAGACGTGACTCCACCCCATCCAGTCAGTAACAAAGAGGGAAAGACAGGTGAGGAGATGGAGGACGGAGAGAAAGTTGGAGCGGCTGAAGTAACAAAGCTTAACATAGACACATGGTATGGAATGACATCAAATCATATTCAACTCCAGCAATAATCTTAATAATCACCAATTTCCTGAGATTAACTGCCAAATTTCAACTCAAATATTAGAGCTGCAGCTATCGATTATTTTAGTAATCGAGTATTCTACTGAATATTCTACCGATTACTCGAGTGATTGGACCCAAACGGCAGACTCACATAAAGTTAGATTTCCCTATAGCCCTGCAATGAAGTCCAGACTCAGAGAAATAGAGAACAATCGTGGAACAAGCGTGTGCGTTAGCGGATTGCAATGCTCGTATAAATGAGTACTAGAGGCAGAGAAAATTCCTCGATCATTATTTGTAATCGAGGAATATGAGGAATCGTTTCAGCCTTATGAAATATATCCGAATCCTGCCAGAAAGAAACTTTCTGTCATCCATGAGCCTGTTCTGAGTCGTCCAAATATCCTGTTCCAGAACTTTTTATTAAGTGTTAAGAATCAGACTACTGTTGGAAGTGCTGAGTATAACCAGCTGGATAGGAGTGAGAGAAAAGTGTTTAAATGGTGCGTATTACAGGTGCAAGTTGTGGATAATGAAACACAAACCACTGTACTGTTAATATGTAAAAAAACTGCTGTAAAAAAAAAAATTATCATTAAAAGTAGCTCTAACTCCAAAACCATAACGCCTTTTTGTTAGTCGTTCACTTTTAAATCGTACATGGTAGGTTCAGATAATATTACATCTTCAGCAGAGATGGAGATAAACAATCAGGTGTCTGTAAAATGGGAAGAATAGCAGTCGTTTAGTGTCTATCACATGAAGTCTGGAGACAGTCTGGAGACAGTGGACACCTTTCATCACCTGCTAGTTGAGAAAGAGAGAGAGAGAGGTGTCAATGATGGATGTAGGCATGCAGAAGCCTTCCCACTCTGCTTCTACTTAGATGGACCATAGAGCATCTGCAACCTGTATGATAATCTGGGTCTGCCAGATTTTTCTTCTGCCACCTGTGGAACAGATTGTTCAGCGATGAGGAATGTTAGGGTGTAGGAAAAGCCCATCTGATGTGCATTTTTCTCTCTGCAAAAACCAAAAGGGACTGAAAATGATGGACAGAAGAAAACTCTTAAACCTAAGCACAAGAAGAAAAGGTCTCACATCAAATCAAAACATCCATTCACAAAAATGAGAAAAATGTTCGATTGGAGCCATGAAGGAGTGTCAGGTTTGGGTTAGCCGGGAGCTGGCAGTCAGGCACAAATTTCCACTGGAAGACTCTCTACGTTCAGATCGTAAGGATATTTGAAACATGAAACAAACAAAGAAGTCAAATTTATGCAGATGCCAACTGTATAACTCGTTGCACATTTGAAAAGATGGCTACAATATTTGGCCCAGCTGATAACTATTGTTTAGTCACGTATGGTTTGCTGCATGAATTGATTATGTGTGTTTTTCATTTATAGCTGGAAAACAATAAAGAAGGTTTCAAATAATGACGTAAGACGAAAGGGTTGATCAGCAGTTAGCAGACAGTCTTTACTTGTGGAAGAACTTAAGATTTTCAGATTTCTCTGTTTGTACCATGCCCTAAATATTCTCCTGTTTCAGTTACGTTTTTCTGAGGCAGTGATGATTCATTTCTGAGTTAACTGTTTATGGGGTTCAGGCAGGTATTATAGCTTTAAAAGACTTTTAGGATGCAAGTTTAAGGTCAAGAGAAGAGGGCAATGCAAATGAAAGAAAATGTATACAACTTAGATCGAAACACTGGATGTAATGTGCCACCCCCAGGCAGTATACTGTGTTTTTAAGATGTTTCAATGACTGGTAATAAAACCACAGGTCACATTTTGAGACACTGGACAGAGTGAATGGTTAAGTTTTTAAACAAATGAAGTTTCAGGGAGAAATGTCAACTGAGGACAAACCACAGAGAAACACCTTCTGACCTTAACCAGCAACTCAGCCCAGGAGCTTCAGATGTGCTAAACTCAAAATTATTTTTCAGTCTTTTTAAAGTGGGGTTGTATGAGGCTCTATTTAGACATGTTGCTGCCAGAAAAGCATATTTATTTTGAGCCATTCAAGCATATATAAGTTCTTCCACCTGAAAAACTATTGGTTGTTGGAAATGGGACCATCCAAAGCTGACTGTGAAGGCAAATTAGTTCAGGACTCGTCTGGATTGAAGGATACCAGTGGCTCACATACAGCTGCAGTCTGCATTGCTCACATTGCTCCAGTTTGCATCTTTTTCACTTTCTTCATTATTCAGAAGTGAAATCAGGAAAATAGAAAAACCAAATCTGTAGTGTAAAAACAAGCGGTTTTCTGACAGCTAATTAAAGGGCTGATATTTTCCAGACAGATAATTCACTTAAACAGAGAACCACACTTTGTTGAAAGTTGGAGTTTGTTGAACCCAGCTCATTTATATGATAGAGCTAACTGCATCTTCAGCGAACGCCTCGTTTCTGTTTTTGTCCCTCACCCTGTTTCTCAACAAAGGGGCCAAAAAGAGGGAGCAGACCATAATCCCCTGTGGTTTATGCAATTTCTGTTGACAAGTACCTCATACAACCCCACTTCAAAAAACCCTGACTATCCCTTTAATTTCTATATCTTCCAATATTCAACACATTGCACTCAAAACACACAGAATCATGCGCGCAGACACGTGTGGCTCAGGGGGAAGCCCTGGTGCATAAATCAAACATGTAGTCGAGCGTACAGCTGATGGAAAAAAAAATCAGATTTCCAAAATTCACATGCTCAGCATACTTGACATAGTGTTCTGGATATCATGTTTCTGATCGAGACCCTCACAAAATCTGGGCTTTTTAGGCTGTCCTCTTATTTCATTAGATTTGTCATGTTTACTGGCTGTCCTGATGACACACAGTTGAGCAATTTACGAGTCTGCAGAAAAGTTTTCAGAAAGCAGCTGATTTAGTGCGGCTTTGTCGGGTTACATTCTCCCTTCAACTGAACGCAAACAAAAGAAAACCATTAAAAATTAGAAAATATACAGAGAGGAGTCATGTAGGGTTCACTTTTTTTAGCTGCCAGGAGTCGAAGCTTATAAACCACAACTGCCAAACTGTGCGCTCAAGTTCCCTCTGAAGGCAGCATCAATTGGTTCGACAATGCTTCAGAGATGACTCAGTCTGCGTCTCACTGAAGAGAGAAAGCTGTCCTCGAATTAAAGCTGAACACTGGATAAATATTATACTACTACCATCTAACTATTAAATATTATAACACCACCATTTTAAATCTATTCTCCCTCCTTTTTACAGGAGTGCCTTTATTTAAGCATCCCTGCAGACCAACATCCTACCTTTAGCCCACCCCCCACTGTTTTCATCACCGCCTTTGTCATCGTAAACCGGCCTCTTTTGTCCGAGTGCAGAGAAGCCTTTCTATTGATAGTGCAGTATTTTTCATGTCAGGTGATAACAGCCATATGGTTTAGTTTATCAATGAGAGCTATGTTTCAACATCGACTTGGCTCAGACCTACCCCCCTAAATACTTATATATAATAATGTTTCTATTGTAGTATAATTTGCAAACAGGACTGTGTTCTCCTAAATGAAAAAGAAGAATCAGATAGATGTTTGAGTTCTGTTTATCTGTTTATGTTCTCGCTCTGAAATGACAGATATAAAGTACCTTTTTATCAAAAGAGCACAGCCAGTCTCCTCGACTATAATCACCTGCTATTATGTCAAGAACGCAATAATTTGTTTTAACTCTGTGGCACACATAATTTGAGAGAACTACCCCGCAGCAAGCCTCTTGTTGCCAACTCAACATGCCATACAAATACACACAGACAAAAAAGAAAAACCTCTGCAGGAATGCTTTGAGAATATAAGCTAGCCCAGGGAGACGAGTGCAGTTCTGATGGGTGCTATTGTAACCTGATGAGCCCTGAGGCCAAGCTTCAACAGTTTCTGAGGGGATGGAGGTGGAGATGATCACTTCACTGCTGTGGCTCATCTTAAAACCCAAACCCCTAATTATCTGTGATAGAACCACACAAGTTGTAATAAAAGCAGCAGGTAACTTTAAGAAAGTAAAGAAACAGAGAGTGTTAAAAATGTCAGTGTGCTGAATTTGAAAGTTGGTGCGTGCAACAACTTATAAATTTCCTCTGACACACTTGTCCTACCTGACAATCAGCTGATGTAATTTAAAGAAAGTTCCTCTGTGTGTTTTGTTAGAGTCATGCAGTGTTCGTGAAGTTAAAACAGTCCTCTACCTTCTGCACAAGCCCTCTTTCTTTTTTTTTTTCTTCTTCACTGACGTAAGGCTCCCGAGGATCAGTGATAAATATTCCACTTTGCGTCCAAATCCACAAGATGCCAGGGAGAGGAAAACAAATTCTTTGTAAATTATCCCAAACAGTCCTTTCAGAGTCTTGCACTTGTTTGAAAACTGTTCAGAAAGTAAGTGAGAAGCGTCCCAGAGGCTGCAGACGGTGCAGGCTGCAGAGAGCTGCAGGTCCTAGTGCCTGTCTGACTCCACAAGTCCAGAGCTGATCGAGGGCTGATCCTTCACTCGGTTACATCTTTAGCTGCAGCTCATGTTTAGAAAAGTTGAAGTGCTGCTGTAATTTTTGTTATTGTTCACACAAACAGTCCCAGATTTTCAATGATTGTATTTTTCAGGAACTTTAGTTGACCAAACTTTTTCACAGGACAGCTCATCCTAACTTTGGCGCATATTTATGTAAGCTAGTTTTTCTGAAGTTCATGTTAAAAGTCAAAGATAATCCACGACTGAACCCTCCTTTTTTATTTTCTAGAAATGGATTTTAGAGGCTTTTGATGCCCTTATTTAGCATATAAGACAGTGGGCATGGTAGGTGGTATGAAAGAGTACGTTATGACAGACAGCACAAGGGCTGGGTATCGATTCAGATTTTCCAGATCGATTCATTTCAATATTATAAGGTCCAGATTCAACATCGATTCAGTCATGGATACCTGTTAAAATAATGCTGTAAATTTAACAAGGTTACCAATGTGGTACATTATTAAAAATTATGTGTACATTAAGAATTAAACCCAAACCAGTAACATTAATCATGTACTTTTATTTCAACATGACAATGTGAAGACAAGAAAACATAAATTAATCAAAATTAAATTAAAATAAATTACGAGGCAGACAATGTAAATAAAGTGGCGACAAATATAAACAGGTCTTCCAGCTTTTCTGCAATAATACCACAGTGGTTGTGAGACACACAACTGTATCAACAAACAACTATCTTTTGACTCATGGATAAATGTACGGGAAATGAAATTGTGCAAGAAGTCAGACTTTTTGGGGCATGGTCTTGGCCAGCATCCCCTGCCTGCCTCAAGAACTTTGTTTTTATATTACACTTATTGTTCTAGTTATTCTTGTGCATGCATCCTTAATTCTGTAGGCCAGGTGTATGAAAAGCGAGCTGAACGCTCATGCAGGACCGGTGGGAAAGGACCACTTAATGTAGGGTCCAGTTTTTATTTATTAGATAAATAATCAAACTCAGGCGTCATTAAGGGTGTCACATAATTAATGTGTTACCTTTTGGCCAATAATTGTATCTGAAGAAATTTTCCTACCAATGAGGACTTCTTATTAGTTAGGAACTGCAGATACCAATATCATGCTGTTGTCGTCCACCCCTGCTTCGACTCTGGAGTGGTAATTCAGGCCTGTTTGTTGCAGGAACTGGATTGATAGCATGCAGACCACTCCAAGATCTGATTGGAAGCAACTTGAGACCACTTCTTCCCCTTCACTTCCCCTTCGCTGGTTTTCGTTCAGCATCAGAACGCTGCTGCTGCGTTCATGTATGTCCAAACAACCCGAGCTGAGAGCGAAACGCCTCCTGTTTTAGATAACTTCTTGAAAAACAATCCAGGTGTGACGGAACATTAACACTTCAGATGTCACTGAAAGTTATAAGACGTTTTGAAGCTCCTCATCTGGCATGAATAATTTATAAGCAGTGACGGCTCGTCTGATTGTTGTGTGACACATAAAAAATGGCTTCAAATAACTTTTTTCCTTTCTTTTTATAATTTCCCCGTAGTAAATTTAGTTTAAGTGATTAGCCCGGATTGGTTTTTAGTATTTTCCCTTTTCAAAAACAGCAGCAGATGTTTCACAGAGACAGATGTTCATGAGATCATTTATTTTAAGCAATTAGACGAGCAGAAGAGGACTTTTCCAAAGATTTCTCATTACTGAAGTATTTATTTGGCTGATATCGAGGTCAGTAGTGACAAACCTCTGAATTCTCACGCTTCTCATTTCTAACATCCTACTAGGGCTGGGCGATATGGCCTCATATCAATATCACGGTATATTGATCAGTTCACGTCGATAACGATAAATGGACGATAACTACTCCACAAGCTGCTCACCCCCTCCCACATTAACTTCGTCTACTTCAGCCACTACAACTTTTGAACCGTCCTCCATCTCCTCACCTGTCTTTCCCTCTTTGTTACGGACTGGATGGGGTGGAGTCACGTCTCTGACGTAGGACAGCGTCTTAAAGGGACATGAGACCATAACCTACCTACACACATTAAAAAACAACTTTTAGTTATTTATTTTTTTGACACAGAATATACCGATATGGGCAAAATGATGTTGTTATTGTTGTAAATTTTAGCATTGGTAAATTTTCAGTTTATCGCCCAGCCCTAATAAGGCTATTACAGTAAAATAAACCCTTATGGGTACTATACTGTGTGATTACATAGAAGTTTGAGTTCAGGCTTGATTTGTCATTTCTTCATTAATTATGAGAATAACATAATTTTATTGTGCAAATCAGAATCAAAATACTTTATTTATCCCCAAATGACAAATTTGTTGATTGTGATCGAATGATTGTGCTTTTAATGTTGCGAGAAAGTAAAATTCATGCATACATTTGTTCATAAGATGAACAGGGACACACTTTGTACAGCAGCTTGATAAGCTAGCTGTTCTTCAACAATATTTACTTAACTGAATTATGTTGTTATTTTAACCTACATTTTTTAGTCGTAAAAGTTCAGTATGAGTACATTTTCGGTTTATCGCCCAGCCCTACATTCTACAATCATTTTTCTCACATTTTTGAGTCATCTTAGGTTTTTTGTGTTCCCCCAAATTGGTAAAATTGTTCAATTTATTTTCATCTTATGTAATTGTCAACACCAGCTTGTGCAGCGGATAGAGTTACAGTGCGTTGGTGTGTTCGAGCAGCGAGAGTGAATGGTGCTAATGTTTCAGGAGAAGATTTGAGCTCAGAGGTGAGACGGCGTAAACTAATCCAGGTGTGGGAAAAGTACGTATGTGACCGCGCTCGGGTGTTTCATATGGATCAGTGCGTCTATTCTCTCTCATCTCAACTCGGACACAAGGTCACAGGGCGGTTGTTTTTCGTACCCCTTCCTCATAAATAACATAATCACTGAGATTTATTTTCAAGTAAGGGCTTCAGTGTGTTTGCATGTATGTCAACGCCAGTCTCACACATCTGGTTCCTAATAGGGACACATGGAAGCAAAATGTTCTTACCATATTACACGAGGGTTGTTGCACTTATGGCTTTGATTATTTCTCTGAACTCTTCATGGTTGGTATTTTTGAAAACGGTCACAGCCATCACTCTCTTGTTTTCAGCTAGTTCTGTGCTACATGATGGATTAAATACAACATGCCATCCTTGAGGAAGAGTTAAAGTTGTGTGTGGAGACTCTGAAGGACCAGATACCAAGCTAGTGTTGGATGTTTCCTTCTTTGGCACTGCAGGGCTTTGGGGATTCGAAGCCTGGCCTCCCACTCATCTCCTGTAAAACTCGTTTGCAGAAGCTCATTTAGCCACTCAGACTCCTCTGCTGTTCATCACACATTTTGGACATCTTTAGACACGGCTGGGAATTAACGTAGCGGGGAGGAAGCATGGCTGGGAATACGTGCGGTGGAAACATAAGTCACACGTGGTTGTTTTTGGAGACAGATAGCTTTTGTTTCCAGGGTTCAGATGTGAACACAAAGCCCACAGTCACTTTTTTTTCTATTTAACCTGAAAGGGTTCTCTGGAAAAACACAGGGTGGGTCACTTAAATGTTTGTTTTGGTATTGTTGTGTCTTGTGTAAACATAAAATAGTGTTGAAATTAAATTTTGGCAGTAGCACACAGCCGTCCCTCCATGGGAAACTATGTGTTTCATTAGTAAGTCATTCATTTTCCAGTAACTCTGCTGTTGTTCAAAGGTCACTCTGAAGATACAGTTTGTTAAAAACTCTTACTGTCATCAGAGGTTTATGTGACTCTTATATCCCGAGTATATCATTCATAAATCAACGTATAATTATTGGAATATAAACATCATTTATACTTGTCAGGATAGGATCCCCTCCCACAAAAGCTGACATTTTATATTCCTTTTTTTTGTATTCGCACAGAACAAACTAGTAACATTGGTATTTGTTATGTAGTGAAGACTTGTGTGCAAAATAATTTGTATCGATAGTAGGGGTGTCACGATTTGGATTTTTTATCGAAATCGATCGAAATTATGTCATTGTCTCGTTAATTGAAATCAAAGAGAGGATCGACGATCTCCCTCCATGGATGTGCAGCAGACAAATCTGTGGCACCTGTGTGATGCCATCAGGTTGATATGGACAAAAATATTCAAGACCTCGTTGAAAGTGTGCCATTAAGGTGTAAGGGGGTCCAACCCGGTTCTGGCAAGGTGTACCTAATAAAGTGGCCAGTGAGTGCATTTCTAACTAAGTATTCCCAATTCTACACTCTTAAAGTTAACTGGAAGACTTACATAATCTTAAAAATACAACTATCAAGTTAGCAGTGATCATTAAATACCATCTGATTACTTTTTTAAAAGTATATTTCCATTTCAATTCATGTTACCTGCTTTTTTTAAGAAGCAGTTTGTTTTAGCGAAGGCACCAAGAACTCTGTTGGGAGTAAAGCAACGACACCGTCTGGAAAAAAGACAATGAATTTAGTTTCCACAGTTTATTTATGGTCTCTTTGTGGAGTGCTCCTAATGTCCTTTGACTTAAGTACGGCTAAGATGTGAATTTATCGCATGTATGTTCGTCGTCTGTGGCTCTACTCCATCTTCAGGGATACATCTTATGATCTCCTGCTTTCCCATGAGTCTTTCGGTCTGGCTGGATTCTGTTCCTCACATCTTCTTAAATCTCCTCAGGATGAAGATCTGCCAAGCGGCCTCTCATATAACTTGTACGATCCCTTGATGTCTAAGTCGTCGCAGTTAAGCCGAGTCTGCATTTTGTTATGTTGTTTGTCCGTCACCATTTCTCCTTCCTTGTTTCTTGACATGGAGAAACCAAAATGGTTCCACGCATCAGATTGAAAAGCCGCTGGAGCATACCCAATTTCAAAACAGTCTCTGTTTTTCACCACTAATGTTGGTGTGTGCTAGTTTAGCTGTTCTGGAGGCAGCAAGAGGCAGAGTACGGAGGATGCTGGGTATGTACGGGATGGTGGTCCCTCTGCTCTGCTTCACTGCGGCTGGAATAAAACCACACTGAGCTTGGAAGACATACTGTGTCATACTATTCAGGTCCACAAGAGAACTGAGACCCTTTTGTTCTCATGATGTTGTGAAATTGACAGCTAGTGGTTAATTGTAGGGATGCACGATACTTATCGAGTTATTTTTATCGTTAAGATAGCAAAATAAAATCTGATAAATTGATCAGATAAATAAATGACTGGGAAAAATTTGTTTGTAAATCGTGTAGCCCCTAAACATGATGTGTCACGCTGGTTACATCGTCTTTCGTGTCTTACCGCTAGGACCCAAGCCTGGCCTCCTTACTACCTGACTGACAATGAATCAGTGCTAATAGCACATCTCCTGAGCTAGCATGTCTTCACCAGTGTGGACGTTTTTCTCAGTGGCAGCAGATGACAGCAACATCGCTGTATGCAAAACATGCGCTGCAAGGATTTCGAGAGGAGGAAAGAAAGCGTCAAGCTTTAACACGACAAATCTTATAGCTCACCTGAAACGTCGTCATTGTGGAGAAGCGGTATTAAAAGAATACGAAGCTGCCACAGAAGCTCCTGTACTGCAGGCATTTGAAACCTGTAAAAACTTTGCTAGAGACGGTAAAAAGGCTAAAGCCATTAATGAAAAAGTGATGGAGTTCATAGCGCTTGACAGCCAGCCTTTTATCCCCAATTTCCACCGCATTCAGAACTGCGCCAATTTTCGCCATCCACCAATTCCTACCAGATCCGGTTTTGAGGTTCGTGATACTAAAATAGAACATTTTTAACCACTGAATCCTCGTTTTTGTATCATCCTGGATGCACAAACCAGATTATATTAAATACAAATATTAATTTATCAGTATCGGCAGTGAGTAGCAGGAATTTATTGGTTATCAGTATCTGTAGAAATTTTTCATATCGTGCATCTCTAGTTAGTTGCATAGTTGAAGTACATCACAGATCTTACCACTTTACTAACATTTGAACCTGTTTAAAGAATTGAAGTCATGCTTCTTAAATGGAAGCAAATCAACTGAATGAAGTCAGCAATACTTCAGACGACAGGCTGTATTTGGAGACTTGGCTGAGAGAAGATGTAACAGCACCCCTCATGCCTTCATGATGACTCTTTTTGATAGACAAGCTCTTGTTATAGAAATCAAAACCAGAACAGGGATAAAGAATAATAGAAATAAGCTGTGTGGTTTCAAACACACCCTCTTCCAAACCTAACACAATCTCAGCTACCACTGACATGAACGGTATTTCACAGATGACCACAGATCTGTCCATATTGTAAGGGAATACTGTAACTGAGTTTTTCCTGAAGAAAGAAAACGCAAGCCCCGCTGTTACGATCCACATCTGGCCTTCATCAGCCACATCAACTCGGATCTCGCTTTGAAGAGACAGCTGACTTCGTGGAACTGAGCAGGAAGTAAGGGCTTAATCTTGATTCTATGAAACATTCAGATTTGATTAGTACAAAGACACAGCAGAGCAACATGCAGAGCGGTTCATCTTTCTCAGTCACATTTACCTCTCCAGGTCGACAGCGGTTCTGCCGCACATCGGTTAAGATGCTAACGAGAAAACATGCGTACTGTCATGATCAGATTAGCAGATTATCTGGGGATATATTTTCCTTTCTTTAAGATTATCACAAATCTGTATTACACAGAGAAAAATAGCTGCTGTTATCCTTATTGAGGTTCCTGGAAATATGACAAATGACAAAATGACAAAACCAAATAAGAAAAAATATTACATAAAATAATTGTAAGTTTTTTCCTCTTTTCAACAGGCTTTACCACATATTCAGGCAGGCAGGAAAAAAATCCACCAACCAATCAATTTTGTGTCACATACTATACATTTCTTTCAGCACACCTCACTGAGATATTATGGTATCATGTTGAACAGAAGAGGCCAGAACAAGATCCGGAGCCAAATTCCTTCAGCAGATCCATTTTTGATCAATTCAAGCCTGAACTCACAGAGCAGGACGATCGACTCCGAAACCAAGAAATCCTCAGAGGAAAATCACCACAAAGAAAAGTCCTGATGAGCTCTTTAACTCTTTAATAATAACAGATGTGAATTATGTTTAAATAAAGCTTTTCTGTCTTTATCATACATGATCTTGTTTGTTGCTCTTTGTTGTTGGTTAAATAAATAATATATATTTATATTATTATATTTGAAGAAATACACAAATAACAGTTTTAACTTCATTATTTTCTATAGCTCGATTAAAAAAAAACCCCAAATTATTCACACTTGTCTAGAAACTGAGTTTTGATCCTGAAAGGTTTAACCAGGGTTACTGATATATTGTACAGTAAACATTTGAGTATGGTGGCAGGTGAAAGGTTTGTGTGCTTTATTGACACAAAAATGAATAAGAGTCCCTCATAACCCTGATCATGTGGCACCAGCAGCCGTGCCTGCATCACTCTGCATCCCTACATCTGCTGCAAAGTCCTCTGGGTAAAATTCTGAAATAAGTAAATACCTCTCTGTGCAGGTAATTAAGAATAGTTTATCTTTTTTAATGGGGAAGAGAACTAAAAGTGTGTCTTGTACACTTTTAGTACCATAAAAGTGTGTCTCTGAGAGCATATTTATAATATATTTTATCTTCTCATACTGTCATCATAAAGACTACCTTTCATTGTTTGTTTTTTTGGTCATAAAACAGCTCATATTGAACTTTTCCTGCACTCTGTTTACATTTCTTAGGAATGCTGTAAATCTGAGAAAGAAGATTAAAAAGATATTAAACCATAAATGACATTTAAATGATCCTGTAATAAATGTGTTTTTTATATAATGTCTTTTTATTCTTGAAGATCCAATCCAACCTGAGTTCGCAGACTCAGTTTAACTCTTGACCTCGTGTCGTTTAATCTGATTTCAACTCAGTTTTTTTTTCTTCCCGTAACCAAAAGTAAAGCTCTTTGTCAGATTATCTTCAGCTAATTGAGCACCTGACTTGAAGTAGCGATCAGAGGGAACTGCGCTCAGACCACCAGCCAAAACGCAGGCTAAGCCTGTGACCTCTGACCTCTGCTCCACACAGGCTCAATTAGCCCAGGGCCGCCAGGCAGATATTCTTTCAGGGGAAGGCTCCCCACGTCAGACGGACAATGGTTGTGTTGTCTTTGACAGAGATGAGCGTCGCTGGATTGGATTTCGATTCTTATAGGACAGAAAAATTTAAACAATTTAACAGCAGCTCTGTAATTTCATGAGCTTTAACCTCTAGGTAGCATGTTCCCCTCCTCAACAATAATCCTAGTAATGTCTTTGCACTTTCTTAGTTTCTGAAAATGAGGGTTTTTTTATTTTTCAGCGGCAGCAAAAGTCCTCAAACGTGTGCAGCTGATCTGTGGAGACCTTACTGTACTTCCTGCTCAGCCACGTCTGTTCCTCTTACATGACATGATTTTCAGCACATCTGTGTTTACAGCTGTGTGATGATGATCAAGGGATCTATTCTCTCTGGTTAGTGTTTGTTTACAGAGGCGTGTGTGTGTGTACATGTGTGTGTACATGTGTGTGTGTTTGGTGGGAAGTTGTGTTGCTCCGTGAGGACTGGCCGCTGACAGAGGAGATCTCATTTGTCACAGTTGTCAGAAGCATGTTGTACTGATGGTTGAAAATGTCACATCAGGGCAGGATTTAACTTCTCATAAAACAGTGGTAATTGATGTCATCTTGGAGTTTCTGTTGTTTCTGTGATAACTTGTTATGTCTTGTATAGAGTCCTTTGTTTCCAATCCTCTTTTTCTGAGGATTTCCACACACTGTTGGCGATAGTCCTCCCATCCAGACTGGTTTCAGTTAATTTGGATTGTGTGTAAAAATCCTGTTGTCAAACTTTTATGGCATTTCCATGATCCCTTAATTGAATGTGTTTTAAATGGAAATGTTAACAGATTCAGGCATGCTCAGATTTTCATTTTAGCACACTGTGAGGTTTGTATGCAAGAAACAAGTTTTATTGTTTTAACAACATTCCCGACCCAACTTGGAAAAATCAAAATATACATTGCAGTCGGTTGACATACTATAGATCAGTTTTTGACCATTTGCTTAAAGTAATAATGTGTATTGGTTGTGCAACCTATTTGTAAATTGCTGTCGTTTCAATGGAAATTTAAATTCTTACCAAGAAACTCGCCAAAAGATTAAAAAAAAAACACAGAGCGAACATTAGCAGGTTTTGGTTTCTCTTACAACTTCACACCCATATAATTGTGCTGGTCACTAGGGCTGGGTGATAAACCAAAATTTTAAAGATACCAAAATTTACGACAATAACCAACATCATTTTGCCCGTATCGGTATATTTGGTGTAAAATAAATCAATAAATAAATCAAAGTTGGTTTTGGATGTGTGTAGGTAGGCTATGATCAAGATCAATATACCATGGTATCTGTACATTTTCGGTTTATCACTGAATGCTGGGATTGATGGGGCTGAAAGTTGGAGAGCAGCAGATGGTCTATGCGACTAGTAAATGGACTTAGTTTATGTCGTACTTTTCTCGTCCTCTGACCTCCTGAAGTGCTTCTACATGACATGTCACTTTCACTCCACATTCACACACTGATGGCAGAGGCTGCTGTGTGAAGAGCCCTTCAGTTTTTGACTTATCCCATTCACTCACCAGTGGGTGCAAGTGGGGTCAAGAGTCCTGCTCAAGGACACATTGGCATGTGGACAGCGGAACCACGGATCAAACCCCTGACCTTCTGTTTGGGAGTCAATCCCCTCAACCACTGAGCCGCAGCGGCCCCTGAGGCAAAGACCGGAAATCTTACAGCTTTTACATCGATTGCTCAATCTGGAGGATATGTTTGTCAGGTGATTGTGAGAATGACTCATTGCCATTGTGAAATTAGTGCAGCTCCACTTGCCTGCCTGAACTAGCTCCCAGGCATTGCTTCATTAAAAGTTTTCATTGAAACTTTGTTGTAGAGAGATAAGAGCCAAAAAAGAGTCTTTGTGTTTTTAGATGAGTTGAGCTTCTGCTTCATGAACAGTTGGCTGGCACGGAAATAATCGCTCCAAACTCAGCTTTGGAAACTTGTTTATATTCAGTTATGTGAAGTGTTGTGTAATCACTTACACATAGACTGAAATGCCACAGTCTTCCTGCAGTTGTGATGAACATAATCTACAGTCAGTATGTGCATGTGACGTCCATCACAGCGTATTTGAAACTTGTCATTTAAGGGATGTAAATGCTCTGGTTTCAAGATCGTGATCTCCATCACTGTGGCACTCTGAGACATACTCTCTATATCTCCATGTTGGCTCGGTTCCCATCACTGATGCCCCGCGGCCATGATTCAGAGCCTAATGCTTGTGCTGAAGGCTGATATACTGTACCAGTGGAAAACACAGTCTGACAGAGAAGTCGGCTGTCACAAATCACATTTTTGTCTGTCACTCAGTTGGACTGTTTCCAAATATTAAATGCACTCGTGGTAAATTGCCTGAATTATTCAGGGCCATGTCTGCAGAAGGGCAAAGACATTTAGTACAAGAGCGGGCTTTTTTGTTCTTGTGTTTTTGATTGATGCTATAAATCTTAAATATATAGATTTAAAATTACTAAATTTATCCAGATTAGAAACATATTTCCTCTCGACCACACTGTTGGTAATGAGAGCTGACGAATCTTCTCAAGTGGTTAAAAATAAATGAGCAAAGGAGCAAGTCTGTAAGAACTTCTGTTGTGGCTTTTACGGCCGTAAGTATTGTATTATGAAGTTAATGTGAAACATCAGATCTAAACCAGATCTGTATAATTGTTTGCAAACCCTCAGACCTTGACATGGAGGTCCAGCTTCAGATCTTCTAACTCCCACCTCGTTAAGTCCCTCACACCAACCACAAAAACTCTGCCAAGCACAAGATCCAATGAGAAGCAAATTAGAAGAACCAAATAGGACTGGGCGATATGGTCCCAAATCAATATCAGGATGTATTGATCAGTTCACCTCGATAACGATAAATGGACGATAACTACTCCACAATTCCAACAACTTTTATGTATTTATTTTTTTGATGCGGGCGAAATGACATCGATTACTATTATAAATTTCGGTATCTGTAAATTTTCAGTTTATTGCCCGGCCCTAGCACCCAATCCTCCTCTCCCTCCGTTTCTTTCCGACCTGTCGATTCAGAGATCGGCCCTTGAAATCAAATACGGTTGAGGCGGGACACATTGTCAGAGGGCTGGAAAGGTTTGACCTCAGTGTTGGGATGTTACCTATTATCCTGTTGCCCCAAGGCTCTGAGCACCCCCCATCCAACACACACACACACACACACACACACACACACACACACACACACACACACACACACACACACACACACACACACACACACGTAGAGAGGATCAGGTGACCCTCCAACCTTTTGAAACCCTCTGCCTCTACATTGAGTGGAACAGGCCTGTATCTCCCCCGTCACGCTGCAGTTACACATAGTTGGGACGATCACAGTAAACGTAGAGCCAACACATTGTTTTTAATATTCATCTGTTTGCTTAAGAGCCCCAAACAGAGAGAAAAATAGGTTTGTGTCAGCTGTTAATCGCAGCCATCTTGAACTTTTTTGTTAAATATAAAACATGTTCCCTCCTTACCCCCTCTCTGTTATTTTTCACTCTCTTTTTTATTTGTTCTTTATTCTGTCTTGGCTATGAGGAGCGTCAGTGTATCTCTCTGCATATATGATCGACTTCAAGAATATTTTTGTTGGTTGTTGGCAAAAAGATTAGCCAGTGAGATCTTCGTTTGACCCCAACCAAGTATTTCAATCGCTTTACCCGAAATACTCTTAAATCACCATGTGCGGATATTTTAGGGTAGAAGGTGAAGAGCCTTCCAGTCCAAACAAGAGATGCACTGAGGTACCTTTAGATCTCAGATACCGATACCTCTGACTATCTGTTGTTACCAAGTGTTAGGCCAAAATAAGTTCTCCTATGTTTGCTTTACACACACCGACGTACTCTCACTTTGATTATTTCATTGTAAGGCAACCTGAGATCTTTGTTTGTTTGGGACCTGCTCTGATGAGAG